AGAATGTATGAAATGAGGTGGACACACAAAATAAACATTGGCAATAGAACACTTATAAAGGAGATAAGTCACTTCGAAATAAGCTTGTCACATTAAAGCATACACTATCAAAAGTAACTAGATCATATTTTACGAGGTAAAAACAAAAATGACAATACAACGAGAGCAAAAAAGAAATTCAAGGAAAAACGAAAAATGTGTTTCTAGGATAAGATAGGATTTACATATTTATCCCGGCGGATCGGAAAGCCTTTAAGACGCTCAATCATATCACGAACCACGGCTTCTCGTCCGGTTACCAGTTCTAACGGTCCGCAATCAGGAATTTGGATTCAGAATTTTCGGTGGAGTCGGAGCCTGAGTCATATTTTTGGCAGGGTTGAAATTCTAAATTTGTCGAAGTAGGAATTTCAGATTCTGCAACTTTTCTGACCAGCGGTCATGTCAACCACCCTTCGGCGGCGAGGAGTCCAGCAATCATCTCCCTGCGAACCGCGCATGGTAATCAGAGGTGCGATTGCAAGCGTGTTCCTAATGCTTAGTTAGACACTACCTCCGAGTTGAATAACTACGTTGGCGGGAACAGGAACCGCTGTCAAAAGTGTTGATTTCTACATATTCACCAAGCAGTCATGTTCGATCAAATATTCAATTGTCGTTTAAAAATGCAAATTTCCGGAAAGGTTTGTTTCACTAGTATAGGAGCCACCAAATGTATATATTTCATTGCACGTGTAACGCGATAAATCAGGCTGCGTCACTGAAAGACTTCTTTATTATAATCAGTACTTTTTATGAAATCCATAAGGATAAGAACAACTCCACCCTTAAATGTGAAAAATATCATTACGAATTGCACAAAAACAAAGATACTATAAAAAAATTACATGCCCTGCTTTAACACTTAAATTTTAATCAGTCGAGATAGATGTATTCGCATTAGGAATTTTTCGAATTGCATAGACTTAAAAAAAACATGTGGATTTAAGCACAAATAGACAACGATTACCATGCATAGATAAATCATACATAACGAATAACGCACTATTTACCCCCATAGAAATAAAATCTATTACGTCGCTTTCCGTATCAACTGGCACCCCGTATTTCTGTGTCTCCTATACATATGCGTGAACAGTTGTTTTTGTTACCGTTGGTCACGACATTTCACTCAATGGTTTTACTGGATAGTAATGAAATATGTTGATTAAAATTTCATTTGCGGGCTTCATGAGACTAAATAAAAATAGCACATTCCTTTTTAACAAATTGTATCAAGTCTACATAAGTAGAGTAGACCTCAATATGTGTCAACTTCGTAAGTCGTTTCGTTCTGTACATTCTGAACAAACAATCTCTGGTCCACACCGATATATCAAGGTTAGGAGGGACTTTCTCCTGTTTGATTCATCAACTGCCCAATGTAGCAAGTAGGCTATTCGAGTTAGCGATGACGATCAAGAAAAAGTTCTTCTAATAAAAGTATACAGATGATTTTCAATCTTTTTCGAACCGCGGAACACTTTTCAGATCATGAATTTTTCTCGAAACACCAAACGAAAATTTCCGATTTTGTGGAAACTATCTGAATAACCAATGATCTCGATCAGTTTTAGCATAGGAATAAAATCACAGCAAGACCAATGGCTTATGATTTGCGTTGTATGAAGACGTAACAAATTGAAAACCATGATTACAGAAAACAACAAAAGTACGCCGAAATACCAGTTGGAACTATTTAATACTGGCAGTTTGTAGCCGTGCATAGCATTGCAATACCAATACGAGCACAAATCCTCTAGTTTGGCTGGGATTTAGGGAAGGCAAACACGCGGTTCTTCTTAAACAGTTGTCGGTTTCTTATCAATATGATATAACTCGCGGTATGCATTATAAATAACGCTGACAAATTGTTCTTATGGTGTCATTCAACCTCAAAAAGATTCTGGTGTTTCAGAGGTCGGCTTGGTGATAACGTTATTGTTGCCCGAGCATCGATTCGTTTATTACATATTAATGACCAATCAGCAATATGTTAAAATTAATATTTAGGCGATCGCTCAGACTTATTGGCTCGGTTTATGTGCTATTTGTCAGTTTTATTAGTGTTTCTGAAAATTTAGATACGAATAAAGTAACTTTTTCACGAGTGAGAAATTCTCCCTGCACTTCTACTACCATTTGACTACTTTTAGTGCTCATTTTGGGAGTATTCTACGTGCTGGCATTCGCAAACTGTGTAAAATTTCAAAATCAATATCTGGTTCTTAAAAGACTAAGTAGCTGCAATTAAAAATACCGAACGTAAAACACGACCAGTAATATATCCAAGCTGTTTTGTAATCGTTTTTTTTATTGCGACATTTCGAAACTAAAGTTTCTACACGTAATCCAGCTTTAATTAAGCAATTTTATTCTATTAATGGAAGGCCAAAATGACCGCTCGATTAAAACCTAAATTCTGAAAACATAAGAATATAACAATATAGCAGAATTTGACCAATGACGACTGACATTACGAAAACGAGTCAATCAATGTTCATGCTTGGAAATATTGTCTGATTATATTTCAATTATTACGTTTCCGTCACCTTTTCTGTTTAGTCACTGTTTCTGAACAATGAGTAAAGCACAATGCAACAATATGCTACAATAGTAATGGAAAAATTAACCAAGCTCTAACTAGGATTTAGTAAAGCACAATGGCTGATATTTAAAAAAAAAATTATATTTGTATTACAGCTGATAATGATGACAATTGATTTCTACAGATAAAATGAACTCAATTAAAAAATATTTTTCTAAAACTACCAAATTAAAATACATGCATGGCAAATTAGCGCAATTAGGGGGGAATAACAGAATACTAGAAAATAAGTAAACTTCTGATGAAAAAGGTACATTATACATCGAATAGATTAGAAGTTGTGATTGCATAAGTCAGGGGTGTGCAAAGTGCGGCCGCGGGCCAAATGCGGCCCACAAGGGAAAATTGTGCGGCCTGCGGAGAAGTGCTAACTTTGGATGGTGTCCAGCCAGCGAAATGAGTTTTTAATTTATTTTAATTCGGTCCCCTTTGCGTGACAAAGCTCATATCCGAGTCCAATTTAATATCTATGCGTATGGCGTTATAATCTCCTAACAGCGAAACAAACAATGCGATTCAGAAAGCTGTCACTTGCTGTGCAGCATGCAATTTGAGGAAAGTGCTGAGCAGACGCTAATGAATTAGTAAGAACGGGCAATTGAGAATTAGGCAATTGGAGAGAAGTTTAAAAAAAAATTCTATTAAGAGATACAAAAGCTAAATAGATTTTGGTTCCAATCTTAAGTTGATTTTGTCTGAATCTAATCCAGAAAAAGATTTGACAGCAAATTATTTAGAAATTAATCCTAGCGACTTTCATCGAAAACATCTCAACCAAGTTAACTTTCCATATTTGAAAAAGTCAAGACAATTTTCGGCTCAACATATTTTTTTCTAAAGTTGGCCTTACAAAAGAAAAAGACTTGGAAATGGATATAGAATCGCTAGCACTGACATTAAAGCAAATTTGGTTAAGGTTGTCGGGAAAATAATCCAGCAGCAAATTTCTCACTCAATTTGTTTAAATTTGAATAAAAGTTTTCAAACATTTTGCGTTTCAACTCATCATTTCTGCAAGGACCTCCAATAATGCCATGAGATCGATAACAAAAAGACACTATTCTGCAACTAATAGAGAGCCAAGTTAAATGAAGGTGTGGCCCGCAGTTTTACCCAATTATCGATATCTGGCCCGCCTATGAAAAAGGTTGCACACCCCTGGCGTAAGTAGTTAGTTCAGTATTATATATAAACTTCACTCTATAGTACCAAAGTGCATTAGAATTATCAAAATATAAAATACTATGAAAAAAAAACATGAAATAAAATGAACATAATGAAATTAACATTCTTATTTTTCCTGCAAGTATGCTGTAGCGAGGGGGAAATAACTATCCCTATCTTGCTGCACACTAACATAAATATATTGTGTTGGTGTGCAGCGAAACTCCTTAATCACTTAATGATTTTATTACATTGAAGCCCACTGTTATTCATAGTTACTTGATCTAACACAGTGTACAGAGTTGATAAATCAACCAATGTCACAAATTAAATTTATTATGTAGCAATGACTCGCAACATTAAGATTCAAGTGGATATGGAATAAATTAAATAATTATAAAAAGTGTAGTTGAAGAGAAAATCGCATATTGATTTACACAATTAGCACCAATGAAATATGAGGAAGATTTAAAGGTGAATATTGTTATCTTTTGCTAGCAGAAGTACATTTGGAATTTATATTACAATGGAGATTGCTGAACCATGACAAAAGTTTCAAATGATAAGTGATTAGAATAAAATTATGAACCTATATAGCAGTATCCTCTGGTTGGTTACAGAGCTTCCCCTGAAAAACGAGAATATCGGTCGGAGACTTATCGATCGAAACAAAATCGCATATTGATTTACACAATTAGCACCAATGAAATATGAGGAAGATTTAAAGGTGAATATTGTTATCTTTTGCTAGCAGAAGTACATTTGGAATTTATATTACAATGGAGATTGCTGAACCATGACAAAAGTTTCAAATGATAAGTGATTAGAATAAAATTATGAACCTATATAGCAGTATCCTCTGGTTGGTTACAGAGCTTCCCCTGAAAAACGAGAATATCGGTCGGAGACTTATCGATCGAAACTGCGATTTCGATTCATGACTCTATAGTGACACCGAGTGTCCCATCACTAATTAATTAATAACTCGCTAATTATACGACATAATTCATCCAAAATCAATAGGCTTCTAGTCCGAGATATGGTGAATGCACTATGCACATGCAAAATTTGGAGCAGATTCAACCACGCCTTTGTGAGATATCGCGTGCATCTAACAGACAGACGAACAGACATATACCTATCAACATACTCACCTATCTAAAGATTGATAAGTAATGACTACTTAATGCATAATTAAGATGGAATCAATTAACAGTGGAAAGATAAAACCTATCGAATGGATAGTTGAACAAAATTGGTCATACTGCAGATTGCAATATGTGGAACTTTAGGAATAGTAATTTTGAAGAAGCAGTAAATATAGAATTTAGGAGCCATACTGGTTTATAATTTGACTCCATAGTTGGCGTAGCGGTGATATGAGAGTCGGAATAAATCATAGATGAGTAAAAGTTTAAAACGTGCAAGTGCGATAACACACAAAAATTACATAATGAAATTGGTAGAGTGGAAAGGTTGAAAGAATCTAAATGAATTATACAATGGGCAAGAATATAAAGTATGTATGTACCTAAGCAAATACTAAATGTACATGCATAATTACCATGGAATTAATTAACCATGACAAGAAATGGGAGAAACTTGGACAAAAACTGGAAAGATAGTAAATGTTTGTTTGAAGATTCAGGCTTATTTGAATTATAAATCATTTCCAAATTTAATTCTTGATGATTCTCAAACTAACAGAACAAAGTTTGCTTCAAACATAAAAGGCAGAGTCAAATCTGACTGATACTGCAGTTCACAGAACTTTCTAATATTCAGTAAGTGGTCGCTATTATCCTTCTCTGCTAAAATTTATGATAATGACAGTATCAATTTAAATGGACGAGATTCAATATAATATTGTTCGTATAGTGTACAATGTCCATTGCTCTTGTTAGTATCTGATTCCTTCTGCCTTTAATTTTGCCTTCAATGCTTTACGAAGCCTTTTGGTATGGACTTGATCAGGATATCCATTGCTGAAATAGATTAGAATGCATAAGAGATGATGGTAGTTGCATATGAGTCTGATTTTTATTCAGTTGTAAAAAATCTGATGTTCAATAATTGAACTCCCAAAGTCACAAATATTTGACTCCTCAGTACTAATGAATTCTTAAGTTAGCAATGTCCTTGTGAATAAGATTTACCAGTAAATGTAAGGTTTTTATGTGTAAAAAAATTGTCAACTTCACTTGTAGGTAGAGATGAATCTTCGAATAATTGTTTTTTTAGAATCCTAACTGAAGCCAAACACTTAGGTGCAGAGGAAATCTTTGCCAGAATATAATATAGAATAAGAATTGATTGAGCGTTGATAGCCTAGTTCAGAGCTACTAAACTGGTGGACCGCGGCCTGAATCCAGACCGCTCGAGTATTAAATTTGGACCATGGCTGCTTCTTGACTTCGAATGCATTGTTTTATTTTGAATTTTGATTAATAATCGAAATGCATTTTTTGCTAATTCGCTGAGGTAGAAAATTGTCATAGCCACATAAGTTTCTCAGATCATCTACTGACTTGTTTGCTCCATTATAACATTAGCTAATCAGCGAGATGTGAATAGTGGCATAAAAACTCAAGTTTTAGCGTTTGGATACATTTTTCACAGATTTTTAGACATGGTGGTAAACATTAGCGTGATTTTGTGGCTTTGCATGATATTTGTCAGGTTGTATTTTCAAAATTTGAAATTAGAAGATCATTAACCCGATGTTACAAAATGTTATAGCTACTCTCACTCAAGCGATGCATTTGAAATTTTGTTTGCATATTTGAGATATATTTTTTGGAATGACCGGACCCCGGTAATTTTTGAATTTTGTGTCGGACCTTCGGTGAAAATAGTTGAGTAGCCGTGGCCTAGTTAATACAATAGACATTGCTTGCTAGACATCCTTAAATAATAGTAGATCTCAGTAACATCCTGTACAGGGCCTTGTTCACAGCAAAATGCATCTTAGGAATAAGCAGTGAAAGCATAATTCTTTATGAAGTTGCTCAATGAAATGTTGACAAAAAAAAAAAGCAAAAAAATTAGTTGTTACTAATTGGATATTGATTCCAGTGACAGAGAGTACAACATGAAGCCTAGCAAACAACAGCTGGCAGTCATGTTGTAAAAAATGAAGGCATACCCCCCAATATTTTGGCAACATCATGACAAATCTTGGACAATATTTATCAGAAATAGAAAGAACGCTTCCAGATCATCCAATCAGAAATGAATGATAAGAATGTAATACTTGATTTAACCTTGGGCATGATATCTGTGTCAAGTAATTACCAATTCTACAAGCTGATTGGAAAGTTATGGGATCAAAATCGCAAACCAAAGACGCCTTTCTTTGATAAATATATAAGAGCGAAACAGCCCTTGACACAAATCAGGACTTTTCATGTTAAAGTCCATTTTTCTAACTTTGCATCAGACAGATTTTAGATTATTCAACTAAACAACTTACTTATTTGGGCCTCCATGTTTGTTAGTCTTATGAGAAATTTCATTATTCCATATTATTTTTCCTCCATTGCTTTCAGTTATCTGAATCTTGAAGAGCAATCCTGCATTGAATGCTTTCTGGAGCAACTCTTCAAGGTACCAGGATGCAGACAAATATTCAGTAAATTCTTTCGTCTCATATGAAACACCCTGCAAAAATAAGCATAATGAGTTATTCAACTCCCATCACTGATAAGTTGTTAAAACTGGCAAGAACAGTCAGGCATATGTGAAGACTAGGGCTGTCCAAGCGAACCGAATATTCGAAATCGAATCAAATCGCAAATTATTCGAAGCGTTTTTTGGCCAATTTACGAATACAATACGCCTCACGACCACCTTTTGCACTGTATTTTTCACTGGGCAAGCAAAAACACGTTTCTATCGCTTTCTTTGCTGTAAAAAGGTCTCTTCTATTGCCCGATGACATGTAATTTCCATTTCATGCATGATCATAAATGAAAAGTTATCGATAACAAAGATTTAAAGATAAGGTTTTCTGAGAGAACACAAGGAGAAAAAGGCAAATTTAGCATCGGTTGCCGAATCGGTTTGTAGCTGTTGAGTCAGTCATAGGAACATGGTACAGGACTGAAACACGTTTTGGAGGTCTAATACCTTTTTTCAATAGAATTTGTAATTTCTTTATAGTGGCAATACTCTTGCATGTTGATGGCTGTTGCACAGCAACAATATGGTCATCAACTAATAATGTCATCAAAATAGCTCTGAATTGTGAGTCTTCGAAAGGCAATTTTGAATTTTAGTTATAACTATATTATTAGTTGTTTATCATTTTTACTGAAAATTACACAAAATCCTGAGTTAATAATACTAATGATAATAGGGTTAAAATAGCAACTACGGGGTTTGCATGCCCTATTGAAACTGAATCCATTAAAAGAGTCTGCACAAAATTCCTTAGCGGGCCACAGGTTTGTTAAATCAATGTAAATTAAAAACAACAAGAATCCTAGTTCCAGTAAAAAATTTAATTACTCAACCAACTTAATTCATTACATGACTCACATTCAGACTTCCAGCAGGGAATGAGTAGGAGATGACAGAGTGTTCCCACCCTTCATATCCTGGCAGTGATTCATCCAACCTTTCCACTTGTCATTCTTCCACCAGGTGGTTGTTGGTTGATGATTCTTAGACCAGATGAGGTAGCTTGACTTGAAGACTGAGATCCTGTAAATTGCAGAATTATTTTAGATAATGGGATTTGTAAGAATCACCATCGAACAGGATTCTAATTATACATGAAATAAAAAGATATATTGCATATTGTAATATTACATATATCCCATATATATAAGTCCCATCATTTATTATAAGCCCTCGTGACAATTCTAGGCTGAAGTCAGATATGTAGGCATGCTACTATTATTTGTAGAAGCGACATTGCCTACTCAACCTATTACACCCCGGGTGAGGTGGGGGTGTGGATTTCAACCAAAGAGAGGGAAAGGTAATCTGAAACTACAATGGTTGAGCCTAATGCTTTAACCACCACGTCAAATGTAACTAGACATGAACAACCCATAGTGATTTAGGTCTCACTGCTCACTTCAGTAATCTCAGTTATGAAACATAAATGCAAGAGATTGTACCTGAAGTGTCACTCCTGTATCCACCCACTGCTCCCATCTGTGGTTCTTGGGCCTTCTTAAAACTTTGGCGACTCGAAGCTGTGTTGCCCAAGGAAGTTTTCGAAAGCAATCTGGCACTTGGGGTAGCGACAACCACTTGTTGAGCATCTTGATCTGGAAACTTTTCGTCGGCTCGAGAAATTATTTCATCAAAAAGTACATCGTAACATTTACGAGAATCTTTGACCAAAGTTTCTGAGCGAACGGTTTGTTTGAGAAATTGTAGGGGCAATTTTCTGAGGTTGAGAAGGCCGAACAATTCTTGAAAATATTTTTTCCTTTTTTGAATATCATGCTTTATCCATCTAAGAGCTCCATGCCACTTAACAGTCTCAGAAGAATATTTTGTTTCTGGGGATTTGTAAATTCTTATGATATCATCCTTGCTTATATCACAGAACTCTTTTTTCTCAATGATTAGTTCGAAATTTGCTTCCAGAAATCGATTCATGACATCTTTCACTGGATTTGAGTTTGTAACTTGACGAGTTTCAGCCATATTCTTCAGGATGAAGCAGTTGTCAATCTCAAGATTTGTCTCAAGATTCTTGACATCAGAGAATAATGCAGTGATGACTGAATTCCTTGCAATGTCATTACTTTTCACCAGTGGTTCTTCCAACACAGTCTCCAGAAGAAATTTAAAAGGATAAGTCTGGATATTGATGACTGTAACAAGGTCGGCAAAACATCTCTCTGCATCTTCATCTTTTGCTTTTGCCCATGTTATCATAGCTTGCCATGATGTTTGATAACTCACATTTGAAACTTTTATGTAACGAAGGAGATCTGGCTTGATAATGAACGGGAACATCTCAGAGGAAATTACTGATTCAAAATTAGTGATTAGAACCTGTTCTGCTTGTTCTTTTATATCATGACGATCGTACGCTTGAGCCAAGTTGATGACAGAAAGACAATTGGTTTGAGAGAGATTGGTTTTCAAGTAATGGAAGCAAAAGTTTGTCAAACTAACCATTTGTAACAGGTTGGAAGCTTGCAGGATTTGTTGAACGTACTCCATTTTCAAATTTCCTACTCCTTTATACATGAACTCTATACATTGGGAAATCCCATTGTGATCGACATCCTTCATATTGATAAAACCATCACGAGATTCCTTCATTTTGCTCGTAAACATGGCTTTAAAGTATCCTGATGAGGCTGCCAAGACACAGCGATGAGCACGGAACGATTTGTCACCGACTTTGACATCGAAATCGCAGAGAATGTTTTGTTCTCTCAAGCTATCGAGTGATGTCATAAGCAAACCGGCTTGGGTTGAATTTGTTTGTTTAATGTAATCTTCATTCATGATCAGTCAGCTCAACCTTACTCAAATCAGTAACTAAATATAAAGTTTTAACACCTGTTTGAATATAAACCATTTCTATTATATTTTTGACCAATATTCAATAAACATATGAAAGATATATTAAATAGAAGGATAGACATGCCAAATACTATATAAAAGAGATGAACAAGCAAGACTAAGTCAGTGCTCATGTACGGTACATATCGGAACCCACACTTTATTCAATAAGTTATCGACCTGGAGGCTACTTTCAGACTTTGGAATTCATATATAGACAAAGATTGTGCTACAAAATTTCATTTTATCCACACCACCATTTCTCAGGCATTAATACAGTAGTATGTTCCTAATTAACCCTGAGTTTTTTATTATCAATTTTGGCATTCCGGCATTTGTTCATACTTTTAACAATTTTCTGGGTTAATTTAGAAATTAAGAATAAAACTTATTTTTTTTTACTTCAATTGCCTACAATATTTCATTTTATACCATTAATTGTACAGAATGACCCCAGCGTTTTAGACTACTGCCACACCTGAACACTGAGTAGCTTTGATTTTTTTTAAATCGCTGAGCTTCTGAAGTACGGTACCATACGGTACCGGTATATTTTTCTATTGCGCGATTGATTGCTGATTGTCGGTACCGGATGCCGAACATAACACCTACCGGTACCAGTACGTCAGATTATGGTAACTGCGATTGGATGAGTTTGATAATTTTCTTACTTAAACAAGAGGAAAGGTTACCGATATGCCACTCAACAACGGCAACTCCGCCACAGTCACGAAGGTCATCTTTTTTTTTTTTTTTTTTTTTTCGTGCCAAATAAATTCCAATGCCAAACGGAATTTTCGTATTAATATTTTGGTATCAAATCATTTTATTATAAATATATAAATAGATATTTTTTTGTTTCCATGTTTTTGTTTATCATTTTTTAATTTAATCCCATTTCCCCCATACATATGAATAGTAAAAATCAAAATAAAGACAAAATTCATACCATTACCATGATGTCATTAATTAAATATAATCCAATATATGTCCAAAAAAGTTGAGTTAATCCACATGTAATCCACTCATCAGTTGGTTGAATATAATTTTAATTTACAGGTAATCAGTTTTTATTTTAATTTTTTAGTTAGCATGAAAAATACAAGAATACAAAAATTAGACAGAGAATATGGAAAAATCCACGCTTTCATATTGGGTTTTTCCCATTCGCCATCTATGTTTCATAGTCGATACATCTTCCTCTTATGAAAATGATGTACAGATAACATACTTTCAATAATTTTCAGAGTATGGTGTTGCATATAAACTTACATCATGATTGACCTATGTAAAAGATCATCCATGTGCTCATATAACAATAATTCATTTCTTTCGCTTTCTTTTAGTAAATTTAAAATCCCTACCAGTTTACACTTGAAAATTGAACGCCGGTATCTTATTGAAAGTATTCAGGCATCGGTGTTGCATTCAGAAATATTCAATTCAAGACCACACTAAGTTGCCAAATCGAATAAGTATAAAATTTAAAAAAAGACACTAATGTTCTTAATATATATTTAGAAAACATCATTGAACAGCTATAAAAAATATTGAAAAGTATTAATGAGACTGTGAAACTTTTAATAGTTTTAACTAATGTGAATGCGTCATGAGTAACGCCACCACACTATTCTTCGGTATTACACCTGGCAACGATTTTTTATGCAACTCCGCCATGAGAATGATTCGTATTTATGACGTCATAGGCAATAAATATAGGGAAATGTGGGATCTTTATGATGAAATATTTGTACTAAAGTATTAGCTCGCTTTTGTATGAAAGGTAAGTTCAGTTAAGACAGGGGTCGGCAACCTCTGGTCCGCGGAGTAATATAATCCGGCCCGCGGCGCTTCACTTAAATAATTACAGTAACAAAACAGCTGTCTTGACGATTATATTCTTTACGTAACAGAATTTATTGTGAGACACATGTAGATTATATTATAACCAATCAAGTATATAATTCACAATTACTCGTTTAAGGAGTCTACAATTTAATTATTATAATTAGACAAACGCAGAAAAGTTGATGCTAAGTGCAAAAGGTTCAATGACGCAGAAAATATTAAAATGGAATATTTTGAGAAATGATCTGTGTGAAAAAATGTGATTCATCAACCATCCGTTCGATTTTTAACTTTATAAAAAAATATGCGGCCCGCCAATCACTTGCAAGAGTTGCAACCCTAAATTTGGGCCCGCGAGCGACAAAAGGTTGCCGACCTCTGAGTTAAGATAATAATTGTGGTTCGGAGAGTCAGATTTAATATATGAGCGTTAGTTGAGTACCGTAGTTAGTTCCACGTCGATGTCGCTATACGGGCTCGTCGTCCAACACATGTCATCAATGACATTAAACAACATGATAGGCAACTCTGACGTCACTCCATAAGACTACACGCGAAAGATTGTATTTCATGATACGCTCCAATGCACATATTTCTCGTCGCCTTTCGCGACCGTTTTCCGCTCGCTTTTGCTACTCGGCGTCTTCTTTACGTGTACCTGCCTTTTTGCGCCTGTAACGAAAGAAAATAATCTCTATATCTAAGAAGTTTTGCTCACTTGGAAAGCTGGAATGGCAGACAAGCTGTAAAGAGTAATTCTGGACATCATAGACGTTTTTTTTTATCAGAGAAGATTACAAACGCGATAGCGTAAGATTTTGTGGAACATTTTGCAGATAATGACAAAGTTCAAAGTTAGTAATTTTAATGTTTGCGCTTAAACATTGAAATTTCATTTAAAGAGGGTGTCATACAAAACAGCAAAACTGTTTTTACTTCTCTTAACGGTGCTGTGATACAATTCCATAACACAAAGTTTGCACCTATCGAACTTGCTTTAGTAGACATAATTACATATTTAGTTAACCGTAGGTAACATTGCTGGTACATAATGCCTCGTAGATAGGTTTGTGTCTAAATTAGGAATTTAGTTCATAGCCCACTAATTAATATTATCTTCTATGCGGAGGTTGCAGGGCTGATTCAACTTGCAGCCTTACCGATCATCTGACGATGCTCATTTAGTTTGGCTCGAGCAAGTCTTCTTGAAAGACTTGTATGAATGGAAACTACCTATATGTTTTGCCTTCCTCCGATTTTAGAAGACAAATTTATTCTGAGGGATTTGGCATATAATTCTCATTGAATGTTGGCTGTTTATGATTCCTATTAATTGTGAATTCTGATTATAACAAAGAGTTAAAAATAATTTTACGGAATTTACGGGCACCTTTTTCTTGTCAATACTCCAAGCTGAGGTAATAAACAAGACAATACTGTACATTTATGTCTGGAAGCAAAATATGCACCTAATTAAAAGTTTGACCGTAAATTATACTACTAGTTTGACACATTGAGATAATACATCATGACAGAAAATACAAGTTAAAGATATGTATGACCATCACATGGTAATTAAAATTAAAAAAAAATAATAGGGGCTGTGGAGTATGAAAAGTTCAAGACAAAGAAAAGAACAAAAGTTCATAGCTCACGAACTCTCAATTTTGCCTCCATTGCTTTGTGAAGGCCAATATATTCCGAGTGGCTGAATTGGTTTACCTTTATGATAGCAACGATTTTGTATTTATGTAGCGAGATTTTTTTCAATTTAATTGAAGTGATATTATTTCCCAAAGCAATGCTTGAATCGTCTAGAATAGATCAGTGGTGTCAAACTCATGGGTTTTCGAGAGCCGCATTGCATTTAGAAAATTGTGAAAAGGGCCGAAAACACTTTTTGATAATGTATACTTGAAAGATATTTTTCAGATAGTTTTAGTTTGTGACATATATTGTGATGCAACTAAACAGTTGATTAAGTTTTAATATTTTCTTTAATTTCAAATGCAATTACATATTAATATTTGCATTCCACTATTATTGCAAGTTACTGTATTAAATTCTATATACAACCATCAAAATCATTTTTGAACAAGCTTTGGATAAGGAAAGAATAATACATTCACTAAAAATGACTTAATCTAAATATATGGACTTAAAATTAACAAAAATACTACAGTATAAACTCAATGTTTTTTTAATTACATTTGTCCTGACGTTTGGCATCTCTTTGTGTCACCAGCATGCTAAGGCCAGGCTGAAATGATTTTATAGTACCAATTCTAACTAACGAGATCACATGATCATGGGTTAAGCTGGATCTTTGCGAATGTTTAATTAATTCCAGTAATGCAAAAAAGTTACTTTTATCATTTCATGAATAGATCAGTAAAAAAAACAAATGACAGATATTTTCGACAAGAAATTTCGCACCACATTGCATGGCATAGGATTGCTTGAATTATTTTTGATATTGATTTTTAGTAACTAAGTCGTTGTATAATTATATTAATATACAAACACATGGAAATTTTCTGTTCGAAGTTGGTCTTCGAAATTGTCATATTGACTGCTGAGCTTATTGTGTTTTTTCATTGTACTGATGAAAATATGACATTGGAAATATGAGATTTAATAATTTTCGTTAAGAATAACTAAAGCAGTCTATATGATTTAGATTAGAAAAGCTAATAAATCCAATATCTCATGTTTTATGTAAAAAATGTTTCACTGAATTTGGTATATAAACCAACTAATAAAGGGATTTAGTCAGAAAATTACAAGCATCGGTGGCTCCAAATACTTGAGAGATCGGACTATACAATATAGACCGGTATGAGTGAAATGTTAGGTGAACTTGTTAACCCTTTGATTCAATACGCAAATAAAAGTGAATGAGCAATAGTATGTTACAGCAATGAGTATATATCCTCACTGATTGAAAAAAATCCAAATGGAGGTGCATGAACTATTTGAAACCATAAAGGGTAAGTAAATATGCAATTTCGGCAAATGGGCAACTACGTACCGTACTGATTTAATAACTTCGTGTATTTGACAAAAGCTGGCTTTCCCACATGTACTTAACAGTGCGATGCCCGAATTTGATATACAACAATAGTATTTACCTTACTTTTTTCCGATTTCTTTTTACCTTCAATTTTCCAATATATCATTAAAATCGACAACAACTGTCAAAGCAGGCACGAACACCATTCGTGCTATGCCTTGAAAGCAGCACACATCCGCTCGTTTTCGTCTCGTCAAGTATGTGCATTGGAGCGTGCTATCGGATACGATCTTCGGCCATAAATGCCGGAGTTGCGCATCATGTTGTTTAATGTCATTGATGTCATATACGCCGGATTTAATGGATGTCGGATTACTTTAATTGCTATAGGAATTATATCCGTAATGTTGAAGATAAGAAGAAGGTGAGTGTAAGATTTTCAATTTTCTATTCGTATTTGCATGAAGTGGGAGAATGAATAAGATTGTTTTACTGAAATTCGAATTCTAAGCAATGAAATATCCAGTAAGAACGTCTCCGCGCCCAGAATATCACACCCCAGTTCAATGTATAGAACAACAGTTACCCGCACCAGATCAGTGGTTTTCAATCAGTCGGGCCCAGCAACATGAAATAAAATGACTTCTCGGACAGGCAACAAACTGAGTAGGCTACCACTGTACGAAGCCCCTGTCACTAATACAAAAATTTTAGATTTTAGAAAAACTGCCCCGCCACGTTTTTTGAAATAACAAATTAGTATTTATCCAGCGTAAGTTGCATTCCTAACTCAAACATCAACTGGATAATTACTTATTTCGGGAGGTGGCGGGGATGGTATTTATTTTGTTCCTTCGAGTTTACTGGCAAACTCGGTAGCACATTTAAAGTGTAATAATAGACATTATTTGTTCGATTTAAATATGAAACTAAATCTTCATTTGATAAGAAGCATCGATTTTGATAGAAGTAATATCCTAATTTCTTCGAAAGTATTTCGATACTTGGCGTACAGGGGTGGAAAAATTGGGAATACACAATGCATAATAATTTTGTGTTGAACTTATTATTTTGTTGTCCAGTAATACTCGTCTCAATTTTTCACTTTCATAGGACGCGATGTGGACTATAACACGCGTGTAGATTCTTAGGATGTCGCCGGGACAAACAATACCCCGCGTAATATACAGCGAAAAAGACATCGCCTCAAGCAACGAATCCATATCCCCACCCGTTGCGCCACAGAAAAACACAAAGCAAGCTATGCTTGAGAAAATACTCTTTTCCGGAATAACTGACGTAGTCTAGAATAAATTTTCAAATTGTATGTTTTGTACAATGCCCCCGCAATCAATGCAAAAATGTGCGCCACGTTTTAAATTAAAAAATTCGTAAATATCTAGTTAGCGTAAGGAATGATTTGAATTTGCAGCGTAATCTGTATTCCTAACACTCACCTCATCTGGATAATTACTGTATACTATTAATGGATAGTTGAGTGGTGGCGGGGCTTCGTAGTTCGTACATATCCTTCTGTTTGGCCGAACGTTATTCGTAGAACAATGTGCAATTGTGATATTCAAAACAAAAAATAGAACGCTTACTTCACAAGTAGAGGCAATACTGTATTTTACGGACCGAAAAGCGCACTTTAAATATATTTTTCTCAAAAATCGATTTTGCGCCTCGTAAACCTAATGTATGGATTAGGTAGTGCTTTATGCTTCATTGCCGTACGATGAAAACAGGTGCGTTCATTCTTCCTCACTGCGAAATGTACAGAACACAAAAAAACTTTATATATAAAATGAAACAACTCATGCGCTCGCCGCTTTTACACCCAAAATTCTATTTAGTAATAAAATATTCGTATTGGGAACTTTTGCAAAATATATATTGTTATTGAGGGTTTTTCCTATTTTATGTTCATTTTAACTATATATATAAAATGAAACAACTCATGTGCTCGCCGCTTTTACACCCAAAATGCTAATCAGTTAATATATTCGTATTGGGAACTTTTGGCATACCGGTATATATATTATGAAATGAAACCTATGAAATACATTTAAGTATTAAGACGACAGATATGACATATATATAACGCGTGCCCTATTTGCGTCAACGCAAAATACGACCACTACGTATCAGTCAGTGGCGTAGCATCCACCCCGCGGTCGCGGGAGGGCCCACAGCGCAAAGGGGCCTAAGCGGTTAGAATTTAGAAATTTAAGCCGCAAAACTAAAAGCTGCACTGCAAAACCAATAATGCACATCTTATAACGTTGATGTTAGTTCTGCTCAAATCGTTTTGTTACGTAATAATGCCAGGGAGTCTTCGATTTTCGGCGTCTTGTGGTTTGATCGCACCGGCAAAATTACGAAGGCTGTCAGAATGATGTGGAAAGCAAAACCTCTCAGTGGCGCACAGAAACGTAGAAAAAGGACAGAAGAGGAAGCACGTGTGAGAATAATTAAAGCAACAAAGATAAACGGCAAATTTTAGGTTACCATCGCCTTTTAATAGCGACATGTTATGCCATTTGACGAAGTAAAAAAAAAGAGTTTTTTAGCTAATTTAGGGTCATTTCCACGAAATATTTTTGCAGGGAGGGGGTGTGGGGGGCGAGAGTTTTGCTACGCCACTGGTATCAGCGTCACTTTCTTGATAGGCCTGCTGGCACCCGGGCTCCCGAGTGCGAAATGGATGCCTTGCACATACGCGTAAACGGTTTAATAATTGCCAATATTTGGTAACGATATACCATTTCATCCGCTGTTTCTGCTTCTATCCTGGGTTATGTTGACTAAAGTACGAGGTACAAGACTCGAGGACTTGTCAAAAATGATTACAACTGACTTAGTTTACCGAGGACTTGCTAGGACCTAAAGGACTTAATCGCAATATTTCTTTTTAACAAATCGTACAAAGTCTAGTTAAATAGATTTTAACATCTTCGATATTTACTTCAACTTCGCGAAGCGTTTCATTCTGTACTGTACGTTCTCGACAAACAATCTCTTGTCATCGCCGATATACGAGTATAGAGGTTTTGAAGGAAAGTTCGGTTCATAGAATTCTCCGACCGAGGGTATGATTGCCGAGACTTTGTCCCAGGTGAATACCTCACAAACTTCAAAGTATTTGATCAGGCTTTAATAAATTGCCCTGGTCCTTAATTACTAAACCGTAAAATCAGTTTTGTCATCTCAACATATCCTGGTATCTCGCTTAATCGTCATCGGTGAATAAAGGTTCTTATTTTGTTTGTCGGTCCTGTGAAGCAGTGGTTACCAACTAAGCGGCACAAATGTTTTGAAAAATAAATTTTGTAAAATCTTAGGACTCAGGGATATGTTTAAATACTAAACTGCGTGTAGAGCTTTTATGAACAAAAATTAAGTGAATAAAATAAAACAATCAATTTTATATAATATTAATTGGTTCTCACATAGTATGTGAACCAAGATGGCGGCCAACGGAACGTAGTATGTGTACTAGGTTGGGCCATGATTTTATTGCAAATTTCCCAATTTAAGTTTAATAACGAATTCGGTGATTAGCCAAGTGACTCCGATAGTATTTGTAATTAAATTATGGCATAACCCTAACTTGGTACACATACTGCGTTTCGGTGTCCACCATCTTGGCTCACATGCTACGGGAGAATTTCCCCAGAAATTGCCTACAAGTGAGAAAACTGTGCATGTTTACCATCAGCGAGTTTTTGAAATTGTAGCGTGGCTTTACTTAAGCAAAATAGATGTTGCAAAGTCTTTACCCTGTGATACTCCCTACACATATAACGATGACAACGTACATAAAAATGAGAAAACACCTGGTGACAATTATTAACTATATTTCGCCAAACACACACTTAATATAAAGCATATAAAACTAGTGAGTTGCACCCAATAGTAGATCATGCATTGCGGGTAGGCAACGCTTATATGCTTGAAAACATTGTATTTTCAAATTTTGGATATTTGCCTAATATGAAGAGGATGTTAACAAGAGTATAGTATTTTATATTTCTATAATATTAGAGAATTTGGGTTAAAGACCAATTCAATTTGGAACTAATACCACACCAACTACCACACTAGGGATAAATATTCGGTAGACTATAAACTGAGGACCCAGTTCCTTCATACTGATTTGTTAGGAAAGAAAATTCAAATGCCATATATAAAACTAATGAACTCAGCACTAAGAAGATAAATGACAATCATATTGAAAAATGCTGAAAAATGAAATAATTGTGTGCATGTATGATGCAAGACTCAAAAAAGTTTTGAAAAAAAAAATTTATTTTTATTAAATCACAAAAATTGACCTCAAAATCAATAACAATTGTTAATGAGGGTAGTTTTTGTATATTTATTTGGGTTTTGAATTCTGTTCAAGCTTTTTAAATCAAATAAATCCAATTACACGCAGTAGTTAAATTTTTTTCATAAAAAGAACCCTACTCGGCTACTTTTCACCACTACAAAGAAACTGAATCCTTTTTGACGGGTATATATTGTGAGGAAATGTAAATTTATCTTACAAATACTTTCGAAAACAAAGTACATATTAGATTCATTTAAAGGTAATTCAATTGCATATCAGAAGTTATTAATAGGCTCCAAGTATCATAAGGAAATTATTGACACAGATACAGAAATGTATATAAAATGCTACAGCGGAGATGGAAAACACAGCTCTAACTAGGATTTAGTGAATCACAATGACTGATGTTTATAAAACAAAATTTGCACCCATATTACAGTTGATAATGACAATTAATTTCTACAGAAAAAATGAACTCAAATAAACAATATTTCAAAAACTACCAAACTAAAATACACACCATACATGGCAAATTAGGGACAATTAGGTAGAAATAATTAAATACTTAAAATAAGTAATGTAAATTTCTGATGAAAAGGGTACATTATGCATAAAATTGCTTTGAAACTGTGATTGCATAAGAAGTTAGTTTAGTATTATGAATGAACTTTAGCTTTTTAGAATTAAAATTCATAGGAATTGTCAAAATATGAATTACTATAAAAAAAAATTAAAAAAAACATATAGGAAATTAACATTATAACATTGAAAAATACTAATGTTTAGAATTACTCAATCTACTACAGATAGACAGAGTTGATAAATCGACCTATGACACATAACAGATTTATCCATGTATTATGTACAAGTGACTCGCAACATAAAGATTCAAATGAATGGAATAAATAAAATAATTATGAGTGCTGGTATATATAAAGTGCATTTCTTTGAAAAATTGCATATTTGAATTATATAGTCAACAACACTGAAATAAGAGATAGAATTGATCAAAAGGAATATCTGATTAATTATTTGTTGCCAGCAAGATAAATATGAAATTGATAGCAAGAAATATAAAAATCAATGTATATTGCTGAACCATGATAAAAAATTAAAATAATAAGTGATTGGAAAAATGATTATGAATCTCTCTTTATGCAAAATAAAGTCATATACACATCTTAAACAATAAACTCACTCCAATCATGGCCAAAAAAGGTGCATGAAAATATCACATAAATATAATCAGTGGACCATTTGAATTGCATATTCTAGCAATTATATAACGATAGATATAAAATAAAGCATATCATATTACAGAATAAAACATAGAAAAAGCTAATGAACGCTAATATGGTCGTATATTCTGTGATTAGTTACAGCTTCCTCCGCCAAGTTTATGATACATTTGCTCATTTAATCTCTTTCATATTTAGATTGGCCACCAGGCCGATGACAGACTGCTCACTATATAAATAAGTTGGCACTCCAAGTATGTGAACCATTATGGCGGACACCGGAACGTAGTATGTGTACCAGATTAAGCCATAATTTCAGGTACAAATACTACGAGAGTCACTTGGCTAGTCCCCGAACTCTTAATAGAACTAAAATATGATATGGTACACATACTACGTTCTGGTGTTGGCCATCTTGGTTGAGTACCAATAAGTTTTTATTGCAACTCTCTAAACCCGCAAAACAAATGGGTGATATGTTAAAAATAAAAGCAAATGTACCTTGAGTGGCTGCTTGCAAAGAGCGAGTAAAGAGCCTCTTTAGTTTAAATTACATGGAAAAGTATTGGAAAATCCCTTTTCCCTTTGCATAATTGCTGCATAGCAATGTGGTACCTTGCAAAGAGCCTCTTTTGTTTCACTTATATTACTTGGAGAAGTATTAAAATTTTCATTTTCTCTTTGCATAATTGTAAAAGAAAGATAAAACAGATCGGATAAATAGTGAAGACAAAATTGGACATACTGCAAATTAAAATATGTGAACTTTGAGAAAAGTAATTCTGAAGAAGCAGTAAATATGGAATTTAGGTTTTTATTTCGACTCCATAGTTTGTGTAACATCGACGAATGTGTCAGAAAAAAATAACAAGTGCTATAGCACACGAAAATTACATTATGAAATTGGTTGAATAGAGAGATTGAAGAAATTTAAATGAAATATTATACAATAGATAAGAATAAAAAGTATGTAAGCAAATACTAAATGTACATGCATAATTACCCTGGATTTGATTAACATTACAAGGAAAAAGAGAAAATTTGACAAAGTTTATAAAAATAGAAAATGTTGGTTTGTTGAAGATTCAGCCGTATTTGCATAATCATTGCCAAATACAATTCTTTATGATTCTCCAATTAACAGAATAAAGTTGTTTTCAAACATGAAAGACTGAATTGCAGTTCATGGAACCTCCTAATATTCAGTGAGTGGCCTATATTATCCTTTACTGCTAAAATGTCCGACAGTATCAATATAATGAACGAGTTTTAAATATAATACTGTTTGTGTACAATGTCCATTGTTCTTGTTATAATCTGATTCCTGCTAACTTTAATTTCGCCATCAATGCTTCACGAAGTTTTTTGCTATGGCCATCATCAGGATATCCGTTGCTGAAATAGATTAGATTGCATAAGAGATAATGGTAGTTACATAAGATTCTGATTTCTATCAAACCGCAGTGAATCTGATGTTTAATAATGAAACTTTTAAAGAGTTACAAATATTTGACTCCTTAGTACTAAGGAATGCTTAAATTAGCAGTGAGATTTAGATATGTTGATGTGTATAAAGAATGTCAACTAGAATTATAAGAATAAGCAGTGAAACCATAATTTATATCAAGTTGGATGTTCAATGAAACATTGAAACGAAGAAGCAAAATAATTAGTCGTTACTAGAATATGGATCAAATAATTGTAAAAATTGGGCAATACTGATCCCAATGACAGAGAGGACAACAAAAAACCTAGTAAACAACAGCTGGTCGTTGGTTACAGTCATGTTGTAGAAGATTTAGGCCCGAATACCATTGGTTGATTTCAATTGTCACTAGAAAATTACCGTCAGTTACATTCATCCCTACATTTGGCAACATCATGACAATTCCTGGTCATTAATTATCAGAAATAGAAAAACGCTTCCAGATCATCCCAGGCCCATGAGAGTTACTTCTGATTTGACATACTACGCGGTTTTAATGCCAGCCGTCACATTCAGTAAAACTGCAGATATATGAAAAATTAAATTAGACAATATTCACTTTGCCAAGTGCAGTTTCAAGCATTTTGTGGCGTATGAAGCTGCAAAACCATGGCGGGGTTTCAAAACCATGGTCGTTACGGCCAAACCCATGGCGACTGACTTTTTAGCTGCCACAAACCAATGGCGAGATGACGTTACCACTGCAGCAAATTGAGAATTAAAGGCGGGTGAAATGGCGATAAATATTGGGTAAGTGGAACATTTTTCTTATGGATACAGTTTTTATGGATTTGGGGTTAGGTTACAGGTTTAAGTAGATATAATTCCGCACGTTAATCTAAAATCTGGTACACAACTTTGTGAATATACCCGTAACAGCACCATAACCACGGCAAGAGCCACTGGTTTGGTCGTGACAGGAGCTGCCATGAAGTGGTAAGAACTGTGCCTCCACTTTGCCACTTATTTTATTGTAAAGTATAGAAAGTGAGGCAGGAGGTCGCGAGGTATGTATAAACCACCAAAGGGGGTCGCGAGCCAAAAAAGGTTGGGAACCACTGTACTAATATTACAACTGGAAGATAGTAGTGGCTGCTTAAAGGCAGATAAAAAACAGATATGAAAAATCAGATGTTGTTCAAAACCAAGAAATGAATGATAAAAATGTGCTATTTATGGTGACATGATATCTGTGGTTACCAATTCTACAAGCTAGATGGAAGGTTATGGGATCAAAATAGTGACCCAAAGATGCCTTTCTTTGATTTATAAATATTTTTCAAAATAGTTTTTGACACAAATCATGACTTTTCATGTTAAAATTCATTTTTTTTTTAACTTTGCACAGAAGGTCAGTTTAAAAAAAATATTGCTTTGGATGATCTTAATTTTTGCAATTCATATTTTTCAAAAATCTTGAATCTCAAATTTATTTGAACTTAACTTCCATTACATCTGTACTTGAGATAACTTACTTGAAGTACCAGTCTATTTATGTAACATATTTGCAGATTTGAGATTATTCGACTAAACAACTTACTTTTCTGGACCTCCATATTTGTTGGTCTTATGAGGAATTTCATCATTCCATATTATCTCTCCTCTATTGCTTTTAATTATCTGAATCTTGAAGAGCAATCCTGCATTGAAAGCTTTCGTGAGCATGTTTTTAAAGTAGCCCACTGCAGGCAAATATTCGGTGAATTCCTTCGCCTCATATGAAACACCCTGCAAATATAAACATAACAAGTTATTCAACTTCCATCTCTGATAATTTTTTAAAACTGTTATAAACACCAGGTCATATATTAAGCTTTAAACAAAAATCTCTGCAACTCAAGATTGTTTCGAATAAATTTGATGATTCCTACGAAGCAAACAGTTGCAAAATATTCGTAATTTTTAAGGAGTTTTTAAATGCTCACTCTGAACAAGGCTTGGCATTGCTTGCCAATTTATTTACATTGAGAGAAGTAGCCAAACTACGTTGACATCACTGGTTAAAAATCTTGGATTCAAGCACATTACTCAGATATATAATGAATTAGGTTGGCAATGCAACCAGACAGATTTCAGTACTACAATAAATAGTAGTGCCTTGCGTATCAGTGGCTGCTCATACATAGCCTTGTTTGAAATAAAAAACATGAAAAGTGTCATAGAAAAATTTCATATGGAAAATTGACTTTTTAGGCGTTTGGTATAGTCATATAAAACATCACATTTAGGATAAATTTTCATCTTTGCACCAATTATTGCCAAAATGGAATAAATTACTTTTTCAAATACTTCTGGAATGTTATTTTCCAATATGAAATATATTTAAATTGTGTCATGTCCAACACGAGTCCGTGAAAATCTCTGAAAAATTTGTGGAAATTCAGTATTGCAGAATAACTGAGAAAAACACTGATTGGATTGATTTTTGCAATGTCAGATTTTGGTTTTCTTCAGTCGTCAAATGCCTCGTGATACAAATTTAAAATTGAAACCCTAAAATCAAGATTTTTCTCTATGAAATATAAATAATTATGAATATAGTCTATTTACCAGCACTTGTAAAGGTAAATTTTGCAAGGGCTATCGAACCAACATGGAAAAATGATTTCTGGGAACAAAGAATATTTCTGGGTGATCTAGGTACTATGGCAGTGTTTCCCAAACTTTTTAGAGTTGGGACCCAGTATTTATTACCACAGCTCATGGCGACCCATTTAACTTTTTATGACATAACAAAGAACACAGCAATGGCTCATCATCGCGAAATTACCAGGTTTCTTCGAAAATAATACCTGGCCTGAAAATAAGACCTAATTTGAATTTTAAAAATGATTTTCTTCAAACCCTACCCTCAAAATAAATTTAAAATGTGTGGGAGAGGAAAGGTTCAATGACTTGAGGTAGGGTGAAGTTCACACCACTATTCAAGATTGTGTGATGTCACAATCACAATTATGATATTTGTCACTTGATTTTTGTATAGGAAATACAAATAAAAACAATGGATGTCGGTTTTTATAAAATGTTCATTAAAAATCTCGTGATTTTCTACAATGTAATTTTATATTTGATAAATGAACTCAGAAGACTTCTTCCAAAAAAAAAACATAGTGTTATTCTTCAAAAGAAAATAAATCTAAATCCAGTCTAAATTTTGGGGAAACACCGTAAGAAGTGCTGTACAGTGTACAAAACTGCTATGTGTAAAAAAGCCACATGGTCATTCTTTGTGTAGCAAATTTTTGTTCCTTTGTAAAGAGGAAACTTTCAAGAATTAGAATTTAAATTTAATTATTGTTTTTTTGAAGATTTATTGATTCGAATCGACACCGATCCTAGTAACCAGTATAATTAATCAAAGCCTTTTACATCTTTTCACGACCCACTAAGATTCCTTTTGCGATCCACCAGTGGGTCACGACCCATAGTTTGGGAACCGCTGTACTATGGTGTTGTGATGGCCTTGTGGTTATAGCATTGGATTTAGCTATGTTGGATCATAATGTAAAATGGTCGAGTTCAAGACCCAAGCCCACTGCCTTGTCCATGAAGTAATAACAAGAGTGGGAATGCCGAAACGAAAAATTACAGTCCTTCCGAAAAATACTACCTTCTTATGTATTAGCGGTTGCTTGTGCAGATTGCTGTTCTAAGTGAACAATATAATAAAAAACGTGTAATTAGGATTCAATTGCTATTTGGGGACCAGGAAAATTGTATTTTGCAAGATTTATTGTTAAAACATAGACTCGATGTCAATTAATATAACAAATTAACAAGAATCTTGGTTCCAGTAAATACATAATTTAATATTCAACCAACTAAATTCATCACATGACTCACATTCAGACTTCCAGCAGGGAAAGAGTAGGTGATGACAAAAGTGTACAACTCTCCATATCCTGGCAGCGATTGATCCAACGTTTTCACTGACATTCTTCCATCAGGTGGTTGTTGATGGATGATTCCTAGGCCTGATGAAGCAACTTTACTTGAGGACGGAAATTCTGTTAATTGAAAATTTATTTTAGTAAAAAGAAATTAGCATAGGACAGGGATTCTAATTATGCATAAAATAAATTGATTGGGCATATAATAAATAAAAATAAAAAAATTCGAATTTTCGAATCTGCAAAACCCTAAGCCAGGCCTGCACAACATACGGCCCACTAGATACTTCTGTGCGGCTCGCGGGTGATTTGGAAACACGTCACTTCTTGGGTCTAACAATCAAAGCCGGCATTGTTATGCAAGCGCGACGCTTCTCTGATCATATCCTAAATCGTGAGATTTATGTTTTGCACTAGTTTCAATTAATATCGAACTTTGTGTGAAATTAGTGTGCCCTTCGCAACCCCTAAAATTCATCGCTCGACCCCTGTTTGGGAAACCCTGATTTAGATAGACAATATCGGTATACAATCTCACACCCATTAGTGCATATTAGCAACCTATTAATAACCCCATTATTTTTTACTAGCAGTTTATGAAACTTAAATTTCTTATTTAGGGCAAAGTTTGCGACCCGCCGTGCCTTCGAATTTATGATTGCGGCCCTCGTGGTAATTTGAGTTGTGCAGGCCTGCACTAAGCCCTGATAACAATTCTAGCTTAAATCGGATATTACATTTTTCCTAGGGCTTTTGGATTTGAGCAGTATTGAATTTTTTATATGACACTCATCTATGCCTTTCGTTCTGAACAAAGTGCTGTACAAGCAGTCACCAATATATAAGGAGCTACTATTATTTGGTAAGAGCGTCATTGCCTCCGCAATCTATTACACCCTGGGTAAGATGGCGATGGGATGTAAAGGTGTAAACTGCAATGACAACAGTTAAGCCTAAAGCTTCAACCGCTACACAAACACCCAAATATATTATATTATTAAATTTTGGTTTTAATCTCATTACTTTTGAATCATATATACCGGGAACTCGAGGCGAGTTGAGGTGACATATTATAAACAAGAATTTTGCCATTAATGCGAGGGCTTTTTTTATCTTCATGTCTGCACCACATACCTTATAATTTCGGCAAAAATCGATCTGTGATGATAAATTAGTGTTAAAAAAGAACCTGCATGCAGCTAATTCATTAATTTAATATTAGCACGCAAACTATTGGTTAGCTTCAAAATTTATCCGCTTATGGGACTCCGCCGAGCCACGGATATAACATTTAAGTTTCTGTTTATAATCGAAGTCATGTCATTCAAAGGCCAGTCAACATTTTGCAAGATTTTGAAATTAGAGCTTGATAATTTTTTGAAAGTATTACGCTGCAAATTTTAGTTGGGTGGCTATTCCCCTGATATAGAAATTGCGCACTCTTATTACTTTATTTAAAGGTATCTATACAACAACGTTTGTATCAGTAAACTTTGTAAAATTTTAGTTTTTCAATGACTTTGGCTTGAAAGCCCTGTCATTAATTTTACAGTGATAAACCTGCATTGTGTTAAGCATTATCAAGCTACCACAAATATATTTTGCTACCTTTTATCTTTTGCTTCAATTCCTTATTTTCTTTCTTCGTGTCTTCCATCTCTTGTGATTGTTGACGCATCATCTTCTCTAATTGTTGTCTGGTCCTTTCTAATTCTTGCTTTCTTTCTCTGCTTCATCTTTCTGTTGTTTAAGTTTTTCCACTGTCTGAGGTTGGTCGAAGCCTAATAAATACATAATACAATCATGTGACAATGTATAATAGATTTATTGAAGAGCCCTTTCATCTTTTATATTTGTATTCTAGTGTTGAAGGCAAAAATGAACACAAACTACGATCTAATATTAAAATTTTCTTTTGTTTATATTTATAAAACAGCATATGTTTAATGAAAGAAAACGCACCTAGATTTGGAAATGGGCAAACCAGTTCCCTACCAAAGCATTTATGCTGTTGGATTTGATCCAAAGTAGGTCGCTCTCTTGGAATTCGGCGAAGCATCCAGCCGACTAAATCCCTCATCTCACTTCCAAGTTTGCTCAGGTCACAACCTTGATTTTGCATTATAAGGTAACTCCATCCAACAGGGTTATCACCAAATGGGTGACTCCCATCAGTTTCAATGAAATGTATCACAAGGGCCAGTGAAAATACGTCGGCTTGTTTGGATATGACATTGTCACTGTATGTCTCTGGGGCTCTCCAACCATCTGTACCAATGCCTAAAGCGCTCGCTTTGGTGACAGAATGACCGGGTTTCATTTCTTTGCTTAATCCAAAATCTATTACTTTTAATTGCATTCCATGTTCTGATACCAAGATATTATCAGGTTTTAAATCGCGATGTATGACATTGTTTCTATGGATGTAAGCAATGCCATTTACAAGTTGTTGCTCGAGTAGCATCTTGATATATTGGGTTCGTAAAGAATATTTTTTATAAAGCTAGTCAGAGTTTCGGGGCCACATAGTTCCATTGCTATGAAGATATGCTTGACAGGGCCAAGGCGATAAATCCCAGAGTCGATAATGTTGGAAATGTTCTGGTGAGGACTGAGTTTAACAAGAATTCTTGCTTCCCTCTCATTTTCCTCACTATACTTCAAGGATTTAACGACGATATCACCTCGACCAGAAGTTCCAAAAACCTTCACTCCTTTATAAACATTTCCATATTTGGAAATAGGTTGACCATGAAGCATGTAAAGTGAATTGCCCAAAGAGATTGAACCTTAAATACAAAATACACAAATATTCATTCCAACCAGAAAGATGAAACATAATATTGATAGAATGGAGTGTTGAATCTAAAATTATTGGTGTGCAGGTTAAAGACCTCATATTTCACATCCACTACCTCATGCAGGTAGCATACTGACGAGTCTTTCTAATAATAGTAGCAAATACCCCATAAAAGTCATATCTTACTATAAATTGAAAGAAACATTCAGTAATTCAATAAACATATATATGAATGCTCAATCGAACAAAAGAGTTAATTAATAAATTCAACTAGCAGGTGCTGTATATCAAATTTTATTTCATTATTTAGGAAATATACAACACAAAAAGTATACAGTAATATAAATACTGAGAAATCCTCACTTCCAACAGTAAGTAACATAATTGTTTCTAACATCTATGCAAACTAGTACAGACTAGAATCTATGTAGTAGCGGTTGATTCACATGGAATTCTTACCCAATAAACAATTTTGTTTGTACATAAATACTGAACCTGTGTTTAGGTTAAGCATTGTAAAGTTGCCTTGAAAATAAATCTTCCTGAGGATTTGAATTATTTTTGTAATATAGAACAAACCTGGGATTGGGTTAGTTCGTTCTGGATTTGCAGAAGAAGAACCTTCCCCGGATGAAGACTCTTCAGGTTCTCTGTTGTTATCAGTTGTTCGAATGAGATATCAGAACATTTTGAAAAATAGTTACCCGCCTTTATAGTATCCCCTGAAAAATAAAATACAATAAGACATTGATCTTTCAGTGAGTAGGACATTCAAGATAAATATATAAAATGATTCACTGACCTTGCTTTTGAGTAAAAGTTACAGTTTTGGCTGCTATCACAGTTACATGCTTTTTGGGTTCTTTCATCAGTAAATCCAGACCTCGAGCCAGATTTTGATCTAAAGCTTGACTTGTGCCAGGTAAACTTAGTGCTTGCGAAGTATTTTGAGATGTTGTGGGATCTTCTCTATCATGAGAAGTTGAAGGTTGGTCTGGTGATTCTGCATCAGAGTCATCTAATTCCATTATATTTGGCAACCTATCCGTTTTCTTTTCAGAATTATTTTTGTTTTTGTAACAACAGCTGTAAGAACAAGATTATCAATTGAATTAGGTCACATATTCTGTATATTTGTGAATCAGACTGTAATTCACAGATTCAAGTTTATAGTATACAGTAACAATTTTATTCGTTAGCCAAATATTTGTTCCAGATGCATGGGCTTGGTTATATTTTTAACTGAATTTCTTGAGTAGCCTATTGCAACCTGGATTCACAAGATTAATCAAAGATAGATTATAAATAATACTGTAATAGGATAGGATTTACATATTTATCCCGGGGGAGATAACAAACGATAGGATTTACATGTTTAATGTCCAATAATAAATACATGTAATTTTTTTTTTTTTTTTTTTTTTTTTTTAATTGGTTCACTCATTGAGTGATTTCAATAAATATGTAAAAATTAAATAAACAAATAAAATAAATTATAGTCCACATTCCATTCATGATCCATTTGTTAAATTGAGTTTCACAGTATTTCCAGTTGTTTCATCAGTAATAAGTATCCAACGATAATAATGTTTTTTTATAATTACAATGATATAATACATATAAAAGGAAATACACAAAATTAGTAAATACAAAAAACTTATTATAAACCTGATTTAATATCTAAATTAATGCTTTACATAAATTTTGTAATTCTTTTTCAAAGGGTTTGTCTACTCTGGAATTTTCTATATTTTTTCTATACATTAGGGCCATTTTTATCTGTTTTTTAAAGGAGAGCAATGTCAGGTGTTTTATTTTCAAATATTATAGAATTTCTCATTATCCAAATTTTATATCGCACTATTGATAATAAAAGAATAATTGCATTCAAATCTAATGCTGTTATATGACTAAATAAAGGATCATTAAAATTCAATAATATACAAGAATCATAATTTATAACAAAATTTATTCTAATTAATTTTATATAATTAAGGAAACAAATTCATCATAAATTTTCTGAGTAAACTCACAAAACATAAAAATATGTGACACAAACTCAGGTTCTATATTACATAATAAACATAATTCATTTCCTGCAACTCTTTTGATCTCTGGTTTTGTTTTCAAGGGTAGAATATCCCATATTAACTTATAGTTGAAGGTCCTCATATAATTTGCCAAAATTTTATTTTGAATACTGTTACAAGTTATACTGAGATTGAATTACGGATAATTACAAGTCTTTCCCCATTAATACTTTTTAAAACTTTATCATATATAATTCTATGTTCACCCATTTTAATATCATTCATATTTAAACTATAAGTTTTCATAAATCAATTACGCTTTTATAATATTCATGTGGACTAAATCTATGTAATATACTATTATTCAATGGTAGACCTAAATAAACACATAATTGTTGCCCTATGTTATATTCTAAGTAATTAAAATTGATAGTTCTGTCACTAAATATCACATTATTTTCTATAGTTTCTATATATTCAAAAACACACATAATATACATAGACATTGTAAAAATTGGAATATTCATTATATCGTATCCCCCATACATTTTGGCTTACAAATGGTCTCTATTTTGAGCTTTCTTTTTCCATTGAATACAAATTTTTCAATAATTTCATCCACTTTTTTGGCTATATTTTTGGCATCGGGAATATTTTACATAAAAACAAAAATTGAGGTAATATCTTGAGCTTTATTATTAAACATTTTCCTTCTAAAGTAAGAGGTATTTTTTGAAGATCAACTGCTATTTTCTTCACTCTCTACAGACAATTATTCCAGTTCCAATTTCCAGTATTATTATTGGCAAATTTGACGCTTAATATTTCTATTTTATCTGCTATGGTAATGTCTTGAAATGAAGGGTCCTTTGTCCATATTCCGAGTTTCATGAGTTTCGTTTTAGTTCTATTCAATTTCATTCTAGTAGCCAATTCATGTTCATCGATAACTTTTAATGCTTCATTTATAGAACTTTCCTTATTTAAAAATAGTGTAACATCGTCTGCAAATCCTAAATTTTTCAGTTCCATATTTCCTGGCGTCACGATTCCTTGAACATTTCCATTCAAGTTTATACTAATTAACAAAGGTTCTATTGCTATGATGTACATAAAAATACTCATTGGGTCACCTTGTCTAATTCCCCTTCCCGGTTTGATTTTTTCACTTAAATAACCGTTTATTAGTATTCTAGTCTCAGCACCTTCATATAGACTGTGTAATAACATGATAAATTTATTTTTTATGCCAAATCTTGCTAAAATTCTATATAAATAATCTAAATCTACTGAATCATATGCTTTCATGAAATCTAACGATAATAATGCCTTTTCCCCTACTTTATTTTGTTCTTGTATACAAATATTTCTAATAATTAACAGTGTGTCACTTATCCTCCTCCCTGGTACAGCACCTTGGTGTCTATCTATGATGTCTAGTAGAATTATTTTGATTCTGTTGGCAAGAATTTTACTAAATATTTTATAATCTGAATTTAAAAGAGTTATTGGTCTGTAGTTATTTATTAGATTTGCTTCTCCTTTTTTGTATAGTAAAGTTATGTAACCCATTTTCATTTCTTTCGGCATATCATTTGTTATAAATATTTCTTGTATTACTTCAAAAAATTCATCTTTAATAATTTCCCAGGTCTTTTTATAAAATTCTATTGTTATTCCATCAGGACCCGGCGATTTGTTTTCTTTTAAGTTTTGGATGACCCACATTATCTCATCTAGTTGTATTATGTCTTCTAAATTATTTGCTTGTTCCTCGTTTATTTTGCGATATGATTCATCCACTTTGTTTAAAAATAATCTTTGTTTTGTTTCATCACAATGTCTCTTGGTATACAATTCTTGGTAAAATTCCTTCGCAATGTTCATTTTATCTTGGATAGTTTCACATTCATCTCCATTTTTATTTATTAGTTTCCTTATACTTGATTCTTTCTGTCTTATTTTGAATAATTTGAAAAAATATTTGTTGCATTTCTCATGACTATCATACTCTTCTGCATTCCTTTGTATACCAATTTTCTCATTCTTTTTCTTCTGCATCCTGATTAATTTTTGTTTTGTTTGTTTAAATCTTGTCATCACTCTTTCTCCTTTATCCAGTTTTTTTTTCAATAACTTCAAATTATCCAATTCAATTTTATATTCTTCTCTTTCTTTCTTGGCCATTTTGACAGAAAATCTAATTGTTAAGTTTTTGATTTTTTCTTTTATCTCAATCCACCACTCAGCTTTAGTTGGAAATAGCCACTGTAATGTGATCCAATTGTCCCATTTATTTTTTAATTCTGAAATATATTCTTCTTCATCATACACTCTAACATTATTTTTCCAATAGCCCTTTCCACGTTCTTCCATTTTTGTTTTAATTTCAATCATTATTAAACATACATCGTGATCAGAATAAATAGTTGGTTCACACATTATTTTTTGGACAATAGTTTCATTGGATGTAACATAAAACCTATCTAGTCTGGCTTGAACTTGGTAATTACGCCAGGTATAAAATGGTGTTACATTAGAAATTAATTCAATGGAATCAGTTAGCTCAAAACATTCAATCAATTCATTTAGAGTGTCTGAGACATATTCTCGTCTCGGTCTTTTAATATTACCAGTTCTATCTCTATCAATGTCATGTACACAATTTGTGTCCCCCCTAAAATTATTGTATGTTGTGAAAAAATAAATCTGTATAACCCATCATAAAAATTGTCTTGTATATTATTATTAGTTCTACATGGTGCATATATGTTTACTAAATGTAGTTTTTCACCATATAAATTAATATCTGCTGCTAATGTTCTTCCGTCGTTATCCCATAAAATGTTTTGTAATTCAAAACTATTTAATTTTGATTTGAGTAGTATTGCTACTCCTCTAGAGTTTGATGATGCCGAGTTCCAAATACTGTTTCCAAATGTCCATTCTTTGCTCCATTTCCTTTCTACCTCTGGTGTGCTGTGAGTTTCTTGTATAAAAATGATGTCTGCATTCCGTTTGGAGAGTTCATTAAATAAGTTTCTTCTTTTTTGGTCATCCCGGATACCGTTCACATTCAGAGTAAGAGCAGAAAGAAAAATTACCATTACAATTATTTAGAGTCAATTAATTGGAGATTTAACAATTTGTGTTTAACAATGAATATCAATCTGTATCCATTTCTTCGTCTATAAATTTTCTTGCTTGTTCAAGTGTCATTGTTCGACTTTTTAGTCTTTTTTTCTTCTTTTTTGGACTTTGACTTTTAGGCGACTTAGTACTATTTTCATCCGAATTTTTAGTTACGCTATCTTTATTTATGTCAATGTTTATTGTTTTTATATATTCTATGGTGCTTCCTACACTGGATTCTTTTTTGCTTTCTTCATCGTTATTTTTAGAAGCATCCAATGGCATAATATCTTGTTGTGATTCTGTATTTACAGAAACATCTCTAATTTCTTTATCACTATCTTCTGCACTGATTTCTGATAAGTTACCAAATAATTCTGAATTTTGTTTCACTGTCGCCATTTTCATCATTTGTGATTACGATGTAATTTGCTGGAGTACTTTGAATATTTTCATCTTTTTCGTTTTCTATGCTCCCAGATCCATCTGATGTTTTCTTATTCATTGGTTTATCTTTTATGTTTAATCTTGGGTTTTCAAATGTTACTAATTCTTTACTTTTCAAAATTGTAATATCTTGGTCTGTCGTTTCATATTCATTGCTTGTTTCATTCACTGTTCTTTGTCCTGATATTTCTGGTTTTTCAACCATTGTTTCTTTAGTTTCTCTTCTTTCAACTTCAATTCTTTCATTTCTTGGTATATACCTTTCACATTTCTCCATCAAATGGTCTTCGCTGCCACAAATTCTGCAAGTAGGTTTTTGGTTCCAGTATTTAACAAATAGAGTATGCCCTTTGATTTTTATATAACTTTTAACTGGATTATTGATTATGTCTGAGGTTTTCAAGAAAATTCTTCTCATTCCATTTTTCATGCCTTTGTCATCTGTTAATTGTTCTATTTTATTTGTAATTTTTCCATAGTTTTCTTCAAAATGTTCTTTTATTGCTTCATCTTTCATTGGGAAAGGTACTCCATGTATAGTTATAGGAATGTTTTCCGCTATATACAGCCTATGCATGGGTAAATCTCTTCTGCCCCCTTTATTCATATTCCATAATTTTTGGTCTACTTCTATGGCTGTTTTTCTTGATTTGTATGTAATATCAACTATAGTTTTCAATCTAATTAGAAACCCATCTACTGTAGAAAATTCTATTCCTACATCCTCAAATAAAGTCCAAATATCTTGCCTTCTAAGTCCATTTGGATAACATGTTTCATCAAATTTCAACGACATGCATTTAGATCGATCCAATGTATTTCTTTCTCTTTTTCTTGGCTTGCCTTTTCCGCATATGATAGTACTCAAGTTGTCATAATACAGCAATACTTTATCAACGACCAGACAGCGAATTTATATATTTTTATAATAGTCTTAATCAAAACAGCAATACATGTAATTACAATGCCTTCAACTTGTATATTGCTCATGTAATAATCTATCTGAAGCGAAAAGTCCTGAAAGCAGCCAATACGAACGACTTCACTTTTCTGAATCCATGACAGCGGTGTTGGCGAGAGTCTAAAAAATCACAAAAACCCGTAGTCGTAGTAACTTCAATAAGTATTTAAAACCTACTAACATTAGGGGCCGAAGTAAAATTCCATTGCACTTTTGTTTGGTGTTAACTATGACAACTCAACACATTCGGACAGTTCTTATTTGTGACGTCATAGGGACAAATGGTTTACGAATATTCTTTATGACGTAATATTCACTCTGAAGATTGGTTCGTTCGTGTGCGACACTCAACATCGATTCAGACGCCAAGTCCAGATACAGTAAATGCTCGTTTTAACGCCCGGTCTTGATTAAGGGCCCGTTTGAATAGCCGCCCGTGTGAACAAGACATAAAAATAAATAAGGGCCGGTGCTTGAATACCCGCCCGGTGTAAAAGTTTTTTTTTGCGGATTTGTACCTGCGGTGCGTAGAAAAAGTCAAAATTTTCATTATTCTCGTTTAAATCATACTTGACGGCTTCCTCCACCACCAAGTCCATGCTTCCGAAAACAAACAATACAGTAAATTTAATCCCATACCCGACTTGGAATGGTAACCGGACGAGAGGCCGTGGTTCGCAATAGGGATAAGCCGTCTTATCGGCTTTCCTCTCCCCCGGGATAAATATGTAAATCCTATCCTATCCTAACTGGAAATGATAATATACGGTATTAATTATTGTAACGATCGATCTTATCAATGACATTGTTTAATGTCATTGATCTTATCCACCGGTATTTTTGTGTGTAATTTTACTTTAAAAATAACAAGCGCCCCTGCTTGAATAAGGGCCGGTTTGAATAAGGGCCCGGTTGGTGAGTGTTTAAAAAAATAAGCGCCCGGGCTATTAAACGAGCAAATACGGTAGGTAATTTTATTTCATATATGTACTGTTGTTGAATTTAAGAATGAGTTCCACGTGGATATTGTGACATGCGTTTGCCGCTGAACATATGCTAAACAAACTGACAATGCCTGATTAATTGACATTGGACTATTTTAATTTCGGCGTATAAGTACACAGAATGCCGGAGCGAGGGAAGGCCCACGATAAAGCAGGTCAGTGTACTATAGGATAAAATATTCCCATCATATCCTCCTATAATCACAATCAGAGGTGAATGCAAATAATCCTGCTTCATTATTCATGTACTTAGTGAGTCGTCTTGAGTTTGCTACAGAGCTTGCTAAAAAACAGTGATAGAACGATTATCCTAGCCTAGGATTAAACTAAGGTGCACAAATCAACCTTGTGCTATTAACGGCAATGATCAGTTCAAATTTTGGTGATGATTATTAAGGCCTTGTATTGATGTTAGGGTTAGTTCATATACGGGGTTAGGTATTTTGGATCAAAGGCACATGACAACATGACACATCAGTATTTGTCTATTCTATATAAATGAGAAATTTTTTTTAGCTATAATAATTACATTATATTGTGAAACACACACTACATGTAGACTCAGGGTAAAAACTAATGGTTTGCAAATATTATGCATTTAAAGTCATAGGATTTTTATGGGCAGATTGAGACATTGGCTTGGCGTAGGGAGCATATGAGCATGGGTACATTATTATATAAGGTTGGAGATCTGGTGTTGAAGACAAGCATTTACCCACCATCACCACATCGGGGGTAGACATTGGGTCGACTGAAAACCATAAAATGTAGCTCCAGTTTCTTTCCATACCAAGTTGTTAGGAGAGAAAAGTCAAACACTATATATAAAATTAAACATCATACATCAAAGAGACAAGTAAAAATTATGTTGAAAAATGCTGGAACGTCAAATAATTAATCATGGGTAAGTGAGATAATGCACAACACTCAGTAAAGTTTTTAAAAAACTAAAATGTACTTTTACTGAATCATAAATATTGTTTTCAAAATCTACAATTATCAGTCAAACTAGATATTATGGGTATTTTGGAAATTCTGGTTTTCAAATTCTGTTCCAGCTTTTTAAAATAAATAAGTTTCCTTAAAGCAGCTAATTTTTCAAAAACATAATTCTATTTATCAGGCTTCAAAAAAGTTTAAATGTTTTTACATGAATATACGATGAAATGTAAATTTATCTCTCAAACGCTTAATAAATGAAGTACAAATTACATTCATTTGAAGGTAATTGATTTGCATATTAGAGATTAATAGGCTTCAGGAAATTATTTACACAGAGACAGGAATATATATAAAATGCTGCAATAGAAATGGTTTAAGTGATTAACCAAATTAACCAAGCTTTAACTAGGATTTAGTAAAGCACAAAAGCTGATATTTTTGAAAAACAAAATGTACACTTTTATTACAGCTGATAATGATGGCAATTAATTTCTACAGAAATAAGAATTCAAATGAAACAATATTTCTAAGACTACCAAACTAAAATACCCATCATGCATAGCAAATTAGAGACAATTAGGAAGTAATAACTAATTATTAAAAAATAAGTTGAAGTATATTTCTGATAAGAAAGGTACATTGTACATCGAATAGATTAGAAGCTGTGATTGCATAAGTAGTTAGTTCAGTATTGTATATAAACATCTCTTTACATGTATGAAATTAACATTATAATTTTATCATCAATTCTATGAGACTACTTATTTGCTCTTCCTTCTGAACAGTAACATAACTATTTCGTGTGCAGCAAAACTACTTAATCACTTATAAATTTATTACATTGAAGCCTACTGATATCTATAGTTACTAACATGAGTTGACAGAGTTGATAATCAACCTGTATCACTGAAGCTGACTGGTCCATATATTATGTAGCAATGACTTGCAGCATTAAGATTCTAATGAATGGAATAAAACAATATAAAATATTTATAAAAGTGTAGTTGAAGAGAAAATTGCAGATTTGATTTTCATGATTAGCACCAATGAAATAAAGGAAGAATTAAAGGAAAATATAATTATCTGTAGCCAACAGAAGTAAATATGGATTTTAAATTACCATATAAAAACAATGTAGATTGCTTAATCATGACAAAATTTTCAAGTTATAAAAACAATGATTGCGAATCTCTTTTCATGCAAAATGAAGCCATATATACAGGTACATCTCAAATAATATAATAACACCAATCATAGCTAGCAAGTCGAATTTTAATGAAAATTTGAATTCAATATATTGAAAACTTATCAGTGGGACATTTGAATTGCATATTTGAAAAATCATATCCTTTGATTAATTACAGCTTCTGCCACCAATCAAGTTCATGATACATCCGAATATAGATCAGATTTCCGTAACTAGGCTAATAGCGGAGTCCTCAACTAGCCTTCTCTGTCAGGATAAATACAAAACTTGTATTTTGCAATTAAATAAGCAGACTATGCCATGCATCATACTGATTCAGGTTTCTCTCTAATATTCCCCGATTGGCCGCCTAGTTAGAGTAAAACTTGTGAGAAGTATTCAAAAAACTGGCTCAAAGCATCTTTTTTTCAATAAACACAAAAATACTCTTTTCTTTTTGTAAAGTCTTGAAGCAACTTTTCCCAGTATGATAATGACTAACATAATTGATAGTAATTGAGATGGAACTGATTAACAGTGGAAGAATAAAATGTATAAAAACGGGTCAAATATGCAAACAAAGTGAGTAACAATACATGAGTCTGGAAGTCAATCTACAAATACCGTATTTGCTCGTTTTGTAGCACGGGCCCATATTTCTTTCAACCAACTCACTAACCGGGCCCTTATTCAAACCGACCCTTATTCAAGCACGGGCGCTTGTTATTTTCGATCGTTACAATAATTAATATATTGTTATTTCCAGTTCTCAAGTATGATTTAAATGAGAATAACGAAAATTTTGACTTTTTCTACGCACCGCAGGTACAAATCCGCAAAAGAAGAAAAGTTTTGCCCTATCATTATTGAAACGACGCACTTGCACGTCGCGACGCCCAGTTTGAGAACCATGGTGTTACGTAATCAATGCTATCTGTTATTTTTCCTATTGTTCTCTACCATTAAAAAATCAGCTTTTACATCGGGCGGGTATTCAAGCAAAGGCCCACTATTTATTTTTATGTTCTGTTCACACGGGCGGCTATTCAATAATCAAGATCGGGCGGTAAAACGAGCATATACGGTGTATACATATATGCATAAGTATCATGGAGTTCATCAACAATAAAAGGATGAAACAGATAAAAACGATGAAAAATTGAGAAAAATATAAATTGTTGGTTTTGAAAATTCTGACTAATTAACGTTGATTAACAGTATAGAGTTTGATTTAAAAACGAGGGGTTGAGTCAAATTCGACTGATATTGCAGTTCATCAAACATTATAATATGTAAGTAAGTGGCATAATGGAATGCCTGATAATGACAATATAAAATCAATGGAGGGGTTCTAATATTATATTGTCCATGTGAGTCCAACGTCCATTGTTGATTTTGTATTGTTAGTATTTAATTCCGCAGACTTTCAATTTCTACACAACTTTTACAAGATAGCTATGGGTAATTCCGGTAGGTTTAGATGAATTTTCCACCCCGTTCAGGCAATTTAGGGTCTGTTCCGGTAATGACAGGAACTTATTTTTTACCACTGTACCCCCAAAGTTTGCTGTTTTATCTTGAAAATTGCTTTGAGATATATAAAATGTCCTTTAAAGATATCTGAGTCAATCTGACTGATATTGTAGTTCACCGAACTTTATAATATTTATAAGTGGCTTGATGAAATGCTTGATAATGACACTACAAAATCAATGGATGAGTTTTAATATAGTATTGTCCAGTTAGTGTTGAACGTCCATTGTCGATCATCTATTGATAGTATTCAATTCCTACTGCCTTTAATTTCGTCATCAATGCTTCATACAGTTTATCGATATGGTCACCATCAGGATATCCATTGCTGAAAAAGATTAGATTGCATGAGAGATAATGGTAGTTGCATATGAGTCTGATTTCAATTAACTGAAAAAAAAATAAGATGTTCGATAAAAGAACACTGAAAGTCACAAATATTTGACTCCTTAGTACTAAGAAACGCTTTAACTTAGCAATGCCTGTGTAAGCGAGATCTGAATGTAAGGTTTAGATGTGTAAAAAGAATGTCGAGTCAACTTTACTCGTAGGTAGAGATGAATGTCTAAACAGGTAATTTTTTCAGGTATTTGATTTCATTGATACTGTACTAAAATATGAAACATCAAAATCACTAAGCCCAACACCTTATCCATGGTGCATGGGAAGGCTTCGCCGAACATTGATCATTTTAGAGTTTTGAAACCGAGTAATGCCCCAAAGTCTTATTGTCTGCTTGAACAGAGCACTGATCAAACCGAAGTTGCACAACCACCAAATAAAATATAAATTTATGATGCGCAATGGCATAATGGTTGAAGCGTTAAACTTAATTGGGTTGGCATCGCAAACTGCACATCTTTGGTTCAAATCCAATGGCCATCACCCTACCCAAAATATTGAGTCGCAATGCCGAACCAAAAAAAAACTAGTTCTGCCAAATATTATTAGCTCCTTAAATATTGCTACATATCAGTGGAAGCTTAAACAGGGCTTTGTTCACAGCAAAATGTGTGGATAAGCATCGTATAATATAAAAACTCAAAGATCTTGTTTATAATGGAATTTTAAGAATAAGCAGTGTAAGTGCAACTATAATTTATATGTTGGATGCCCAATGAAACATTGACAACAGAGAAGCAGAAAACTTAGTCGTTACTGGAATACGGATCAAATAGTTACAAAATTGGGCAACCATAATTCCAATGACAGATGTGACAACAGAGAAACCTAGTAAACAACAGCTGGTCATTGAACCTGGTTACAGTCACGTTTCAAACAATTCAAGCCTGAATACCATAATGGTTGATTCTGATTGTCACTAAGAAATTATCCTCAGTCACATACACCCTAACATTTTGCAACAGCATGACAAATCATGGTCAATATTTATCAGGAATAGAAAGAACGCTTCCTGGCCATCCCTCGCCCATCAACTGAAATTTGATGGATGCGATGGTTTTTTATATATAGCTTTGTTCATAGTGAACAGTGTATAAAAGTTGTGTATTGACAAATTTAAATGTTGCTTGAAGTCAAGAGAGGAAAGTTGAGAACGTTGTACTTGATTTTACCTCGGACAAGATATCTGTGGTTGAGTGGTTACAAATGTCACAAGCTGGATGGAAGGTCATGGGATCAAAACTGCAACCCAAACATGCCTTTCTTTGATTTAAATATAGGAGTTTGCAGAATAGTGTTTAATACAAATCATGACTTTTTGTGTGAAAGTCCGTTTATCTAACTTTGCATGGAAGGTCAGTTTGGAAAATAAATATTGCTTTGGTTGAACCTAATTTTTGCAATTCATATTTCAAAAATCTTGAATCTCAAATTTTGTTTAAACTAATTTTTCCTTACATCGTTACTTCATATAACTCACTCGAGGTTCCTTTTAATCCTTATAATAATTGTACAGAATATTCAACTAAAGAACTTACTTATCTGGGCCTCCACGTTTGTTAGTCTTATGAAGAATTTCATCATTCCATATTATCTCTCCTCTGCTGCTTCCAATTATCTGAATCTTGAAAAGCAATCCCGCATTGAATGCTTTCTGGAGCAAGTTCTCAAGGTATTGACTATCAGGCAAATATTCAGTGAACTTCTTTGCCTCGTATGAAACACCCTGCAAAAATAAACATAATAAGTTATTCAACTTCCATCTCTGATAATTTATTAAAACTGATATAAACACCTGGTGCTCCAGAAGTATGCGCACCAAGATGTCGCACAACCTGAATCTCAACCGGTACACACATACTGTGTTCAGGTTGTGCGACATCTTGGTGCGCATACTTCTGGAGGTCCAAGAGTTTAAACTAAAATTCCTGCAACTCAGAATCGATTCCTCAGAAGCAGACAGTTGCAAAAGCATTTTTTTTGGTGATTTTAGTTGGGATGTTTTCAAATACTCGCTCTGAACAAGGCACAAAACAAGCAGGCACTGATACGTAAATACCTTAATTGAACGATTGGAATCTTTCTCACTAAACATTGACTATCAAAACATTTGATTTCTAGGTCAGGAGGAGGGCACACATTTGAACCAAAGATGTTTTACATGTGCAAACAAGTAAAATATCCTCAGAAAACACATAACCAGTGGCACCTTGTTCAGAGTTGCCTTCACATAACATTTATCGAAAAAAAGTTTTAATTTTTCAAAAAAGAAATCAAACATAATATATCTATGTTTGGGAGCAGAGTTAGAATATGATAACACTAACATATTACTGATACACAAAAAATCCATTGATATGTAAGAGGTTATTTATGAAAAAAACAAAGGACCAACATTTTTTCAGGCAGAGCATTGCTTGCCAATTTATATACACCGTTGGTGAGATGTCGATCTGGAATTTGAAGATTAATGTGAAGAGAAGTAGCCAAACTATGTTGGCATCACAGGTTAAAAATCTTGGATTCAAGCACATTACTTAACATGCACATGCATAATGAAATAGGTAGGAGTGTAAGATAAATTAGGTTGGCAATGCAATCAGAATGATTTCATTACTACAATAAATAGTAGTGCCTTGCGTATCAGTGCCTGCTCATACATAGCCCTGTTTGGAAAAAAAGACATGACAAACGTTTCATAGAAAAAATTCATATGGTAAGTTTGTCATTTTAGGCAGTTGGAATCTTATAGTCGGACAAAACTATCAGACTTAAGATAAATTATGATGATTATTGCCAAAATGAAATACCTAATATACTATTTCATATAAATTCTTAAATAATATTTTTTTCCAATATTGAAATATATTTTAAATTGGGCCATGTCCAACAAGAGTCTGTGAAAATCAATGTACAATTGCATATGTGGAAATTTAATTCAGTAATGCAGAATAACTGATATAAACACAGCTTGGATTGATTTTTGCAATTTGCAATGTCAGATTTTAAAGAAAGTCATACGATTTTTTTTTCAATAACCAAATGCTTTAATAAAAGACAAATTTTCAAATAAAAACCTCAAATCAAGAATTTGCTCTATGTAATATAAACAATTGTGAATATATTCATTTATTTTGGACATCAGCACTGGTATCGGTAAATTCTGCAAGGGGCCATTAAACCAACAGAAAAAACTGCTTTCTGGAAACATCGAAAAAATTTCTAGAACATCTAAGCACTAAGGTGTTGTAATGGCCTTGTGGTTATAGCATTGGACTTAGCTATGTTGGATCATAATTTGAAGGTCTTAAGTTTAAGTCCCACTGCCTTATCCAGGATGTAATAACTTGAGTAGGCAATGCAAAAATTACATTCCATCCAAAGATGATAGCTTATTATGCATTAGCGGTTGCTTGTGCAGAGCCCTGTTTGAAGTGAACAATGTAATAAAAAAAAATTGTAATTAGAATTCAGTTGCTATTTGGGGGCAGAAAAATTGTATTTGGAAGATTTAATGTTAAACATAGAATCAATGTACATTACATGACTCACATTCAGCCTTCTAGCAGGGAATGAGTAGGTGATGACATAAGTGCACCCGAATTTATATCCTGGCAGTGATTCATCCAACCATTTCACCGACATGCTTCCACTAGGTGGTTGTCGGTTGATGATTCTTAGGCCAGATGAAGTAGCCTGACTTGAAGACTGAGATTCTGTAAATTGAAAGTTATTTTAGTGAAAGATGATCACAAGACATAATTCTGATTACGCTTAGAATAAAACGATAGGGCATTCGAAATCTTATGAGCCCCCCCACGGCTGTGCTAGGCTCAAATCGTGTAATATATTTTTACTAATGCTTTTGCATATGAGTAATATTGAATATTTTGTCAGAATCTACTATTATCTATAGGTAACGACATTGCCTGCCCAATCTATTACACCCTGGGTGGCGCCGTAGGATTTGAACCAGGGAGGTGTAATCTGAAATGGCAACGGCTAAGCCCAATGCTTCAACCACTGGCAATGCACCATCCTCGTTACTTTTAAATCACAAGTACTAGAAACTCGAGTGGAGTTGAGGTGACCAATATTCTAATTATGTTAAATATCAAACCAGTATTTATATTGTCTATGGATTAACATTAATTTCAATTAGCCTACATATATTCTGAATTAGAATAAATTCTAAAAAAATTAATAAGAATGACATATTTCATTTTTTTGAGTTGTCTTGAAAATAACATTTTATTCAAAAACATCAATTTAATATAGCAGAACTTCCTAAATATGTCTTCATTGAAGCGTTTTTGTGGGAGAAGTGGAATCGGAGTACTTGTATAAAGTATCATATTATAAACAAGATTTTCGCCATTAATGCAAAAGCTTTATCTCCCATGTCTGACCACATAACTTATAAGTAATAATTTTAGCAAATATTGCTATGTAATGAAAAATTGGGTTTTAAAATTACTCGCACACAGCTATTTCATAAGTTTATACTCGCATGCAAATTATTTGTCAACTTTATAATGTTTCCATTAAAAAACGAAAAAATGGCGATTTCGCAGACTGCAATTTTTACACAAAAAGAGATTCAGTAGTGAACACTGCTCATCAGAATAATGTCATACTAACTGAAGTATGCTTATGGGGCCCTGTCAAGCCATGAATATAACATTTGAGCTTCTGTATATAATTAAAGTTATGTCTTTTGAAGGCCTGAACATTTGCAAGATTTTGGAATTAAGGCTTGACAATTTTTTGAAGTACAAGATTGAAATTTTGAATTGGGTGCCATTCCCCTTATCTAGAAAGGTCCTTCATGTATACAACAACGTTTGTACCAGTAGAATTGTATAAGTTTTATTTTTTTAATGACATCAGCGTGAAACCATTATATTAATCTTACAGTATATCTTACAGCCTTACAGTTATGCACAGGTGAAAGATCCATGACTGGTGAATGGTGATGCTGCTAAAAATTTGCCAAAAACACCATTCAAATCTTAAGGCCATGCAGACTTAATTCCTCGATAATAACAAATGACAACAGCGAGAAACTAGTTTTATGTTTGTTCCAGTTTTAGGAGCTACTTGTTTATAGCCTTGTACAAAAGTAAGAGACGAGATATATTGTACAAGAAACCCAACCTGTAGTTTTAGATCTTGCTCCTGATGATGAATTCCCCTGCTTATGCTGATGCTTCGGTCTTGCAGAACGTGAAGTTGCAGGCTGCTCATCCAGGCTTCGGCTCTCTAAATGTTTAATAATGTTTAGGCCTCTAATATATATGAATTTTTTTTTTATCCAAGAAACAAAAAATTGTATAGTTAAACTGAAGGAGCCTAAAATTATGACTACCGGTAATTATATTAATTTTACAGGTCTCCAATTCATAATTTGAATACTGCTTGAAATGCTGTGGACATGAAATTTATATTCATAGAGGCAAAAATATGACAACGGTCACTTATAATCATGATGAATGCCAAATCGGTATCAATTTTGAAGAGGGAAGACTGAAATATTACATGATATTCACCGTTTTGTTAATAGTGTTTGCACATTTAGTGTTATAATAGTACATGTATATGTTTAAAATTGCAAACTGTGCGTGACACTTTGGGGATCGAACAAATGAAGGCAACACGATAATTTATGCATAGTGAAAAGATCAGAGAGATTGGGAATATACAATAGCAGGAATAGATTAAAAATAATTTGGAACCGCACTGGCCTAAGCCTATAACCAGTTCGGCCTATATCAGGTAAGACAAGTATTACATAATTATTATTTATTTTATTCATTTGGGCGAAATTTAAAAAAATATTTTTTTGTGTCATCAAAATTTTTCATAACCTTATATTTTTACACCATTCGAAGCAGAACATTGAAAAATTTTGGCAAATTGAGGAGAACTGGATGAGATTTTCTGATGCGCAATAAATATCCAACATAAATTTTCATTTCCTCGATTAGACATTATCATGAGTAGGTGACTTTCGGCAATACAAAAATAAGGGAGCTTTCCCAGCACAAATTGCCTTAAAAGACTAACTTCTGAAAATTTGTTTATTTTTGTTCTTTGAATCTAATTTAGAAGAACATTGTTTAAGAGTATTTGGTACAAATTTATTCACGTTATGGCATTAATATTTCCTCACTCTGTTCCATTTCTGCACCTCCTTCGATACTGATGCCAACAGCTTGACTTCCTGAAAATATAAAAAAAACAATAGGATTAGTCAAGAAACATTGATTTGCCAATATTTGGAGTTGAAAATATGCTAACAAAAGCATCACGTATGTAGTTATCCAAAATATTTATAATCTTGAAATACTAAGGATGACTATTATAAAAGAATTTAATATCATATATTGGTAGAGAGAATTTGATAGGACTGACGATTGTGTATGGAACAAACCATGGCTGTTGTCTATCTGTTTTCAATTGTCAGACAGGTTAAATTAGACAGCAGATGACTATTATGTAATGACAAGGATTAAATTAAGAAATTTCGTCACAGAAACATCTCCCATGGGATGTGAACCCACATAAAGTGAGGAAACAATTGTTCAATTAAATATGGATCAAATATTCTCACCTTCAGTATTTCTGGCATAATTTGCATCAGAAGCTCCGGAAACGGTGCCAGCTCCAACCATAATATCTAGGAAAAAATTAAGTCATATTCATTGTTTGCTAGTAAAAGTGGATAATGTAAGTGGCCCTACTGTACATTGTTAAGAGAATGGCCCAATATGAATCTAACGGAAGAAAAGCAAAAACTCGAATATCACAAATCACATGAAATTTATTTGTATATTAAAATTTTAGCCTGAAAATAGTCAATTGAACTCTTTACTTTTTCTTATTTATATATTGCAATTATATACAAAATAAACATATATTTTAGCAATACCTCCATGGATTTGAACGATATTTTTGAAGACAGGAGTTCGATTGGGAGAGTCGTCATAGTTGTGTTCTGAAGATTTTTTTTCTGAATTTAAATAAAAATATAAAATCAGTCAACAATTGTACGTGTGATAAAATAAGTTTATTGCACAACTGCAGACATGATATAGATACAAATATGACCCTACGCTACAGTCTGTTACAGTAAAACAGTACCACTGTGTTTGCAACTTCGTATAATATTGAGATCGCTTATGCTTAAGGGGAACAATTTTTATTATTGCACACAAAAAAACAAATCTATCGAAATGAATAAAAATAAACCTTCTAACGAAAAATAAAATCTTCAACAGCTGAAAATTTCCAAGCTATGGGTAGTAGTAGAGAAAAGTTATTTTTCATGCGGTAGGAACAACAAGAAAAATAATAACATGATGATCTATAACAACAACATAATAACAAAACGATCTAAAGGACCACTTTGTGCCCAAAGATTAGTAATTGAAATACACAAATAATTTTTTTGACTCGTATGAAACTGTCAACACCTGTTGGGATTTCTCAAATCTTGGGATTCAAATTTCTAAGAACATCTTTTTGTATCGTACAAATGGTTATTTTGTTGTGGTCATGTAAAGTCTGACTGATTATTAACGACATCCCCTGATTCCCACCACTTGATAATATGCAATATCATAACTCAATAATAAACTATTACAAACCTTGATAAAGAGCTCTTTTGAGGTGTCGTACATCTCCCACAGAATAAACAAATTTGAGGCTATCAGAACCTGGATTTTCAGGATCTAATAGAAATGAAAAAGCTTTGTATAGCTCTCTTTCATAAAACTCCATTGTGACTTTTAATATAGTTTTTCCCGCACTTTCGAATTTATACTTTTCGGGTTCCTTACTCTCTAAATTAACAGGGAGTACGTCTCCAGGGTTAACTGTAAGTTTTGTAGATGGAGGATGAATGATTTTATAGCCAGTTTTAATCCATTCGCTTTTTAGCTTTTCTGCAAGTTTATCACTAGAAACAAAATGAACGGATTCAAAACTACCCAAATGATCCTTGCACAGAAAATATAAAAGGTCAAATTTTACAAGTTCCAGATCTTTAGAATTTACTGCAGGAATCTTTTCACAGAAACTGTCAGCGGTGAAGGAAACATAGCCAGAATCAGTCAAAGACACCTCATCACAATACTGCCATTGTCCCCTCTTTTGCCTTTTATAAATGTAAAGTTTCACTGGTCTTTTGCATTTTTTAGATATACTACACCAAATTGGCATTTTAAAAACCACAGGAAATTTGAATTTTAAACCTCCAGGCGCACAATGTAGGGGGAGTGAGACAGGTATCAGACCAGAAGGCAAAGTAAGATTGTCAATGTCATCTGACACATAAAATTTTGTTCTAATTGGAATATCAACAGCATCTTGGGGGAAAATGACTTCATATGAAAATAGCTTGATTGTGCCTCCACCAGGTCCAACAGTGTAACCTGAAAGTAAAACATTCAACCGAGTTTATGGATCTGCAAAATGATACTTTAGTTTCAATATATTGTGCGAGGAAATACACTAAGAACTGCACTGCATATGCTAGTTAAAATACATGAATTAGCCTTCATACAAAAATCTAATTGAAGTACCCATAAATTGGTTGATGTTTCATTATAAATAAATCACCACATAACTACTAACAGCGCTTGACCGTGGAGTAGATGCACAATTGTAAGAAAAAAAAACTTTTACTCTGGTAGGCAAATATGAAAGCTCAGTTGGTTATTCCCTCCCGCTCAAAGTTAGTTCAAGCTTGGGATTTTTCTAATCAAACTATAAAACGAGAATATCGGTCAAAGACCGAAGACTTATCGATCGAAAGTTAGGGGATCCCCCAAAACAGCGCTCTTATTCCATAGTGACACCTTGTGTCCCATCACTAATTAATTCATAACTCGCTAATTATTCGACATAATTCGCCCAAAATCAATAGGCTTCTGGTGCGAGATATGTTGAATGCACATGCAAAATCTGCAGCAGATCCAATCTCGTTTTCGTGAGATATCGCTTGCATCTAACAGACAGACAAATACCTATCAACATACTTACCGATTAAAATCGATAAGTAGCAACTTTCTACAATTATAGCTCTACACTCTAAATAGCGATGATAAATTATCTTATCCTAGCCCATAATTTTTTATAGATAGATGGAGGTGTTAGAAATTTCTATAGATGCTGATTGACAAGCATCTGCACTACAACCACAAATAATATATTTTCATTATTTTTTGAACTCAAGCCTATTTATTTATAATTGTACAGAGCCTAATAGCCATTGGATATTTATTTTAGTATTTTCTTAATTTCCAATACATTACTAGTTTTTTAATATCAAAATCAATATTGTACACTTACCGATCATATTATCTCTCAAATCTTCAATATCTATTCCTGCTAGTTTCATCATGGTTTCATATTCATGCTGAATCCTTTGAGAAATTTGAAGCATTTTATCAGAATGTTGTTTTGCTTCCAGCGCTGCTTCTCTTTCTTGCATTAGGTCTCGATTTTCTTTCAGTACTGCTTCTCTTTCTTGCATTAGGTCTCGTTTTTCTTTCAGTACTGCTTCTTTTTCTTGCTTTAGGTCTGTTTTTGGTGAGAATATAATATATTGTAATTTTTGAACAAACAAATTTTAGTGTATTGGACATCATTTTTAGTTGTATATACTTAAATGTGTTACTTTTTATTTTTTTCTCCATATTTTTATGCTTTTCTTTTTTCTTTTTCAACTGTTGCAGTTCATCCTGTGGAAACTCCCCCTTTTTCTCATACTCCACAGGTACTAAAGAAATTATTTTATAACTCGATTAATTGCAGTAATGCGACTGCAAACTCCAAAGGTTCTGTTTTAAATGATAGTATTAGGGTTATTGTATAAGCAAAAATGATAAGCAACGGGTTACTCAACACTGCAAAACTTGATAATATCTTTTTGTGAATTGTTTGTGACACGATCAGATTTATCTCAGGTCATGGGTCAATTTAAAAAAGTTATCTACCTTACAGTTCTCAAGGCTCTTTCAATCAGTATTCTTAATTGTATTATTAATCCATCATTCATAAAGTAACAGTAGGTTAATTAACGAATTGCCTAAATATGGCTTAACTGTGCACATTTCTTGCTAACAGGATCAATAAAGCTGCATGGTAGTTTACCTTGATAAAGAAAAATAGGGTAGAGTCAGGGGCGGATACTTTCCGTGATTTTTTTTTTTGAGAGGGGGGGGGGGGCGAACTTTGATCGCCAACCAAAAAACACAACGCCTTGTATCGCTACATAACAAAAATTCATCGGTGTCATTCTCTTGAATATTAGCATGTCATTTTACTACACAATTATCCAGTACCTAGGCCACTTTGCTTGGACATGGAACTCCCGCGTCACTAAACCAATCCCTTGAATTCCTTTGGAATTAGCCATGGCTCTTGCTAACAAACAGAATCGACAAATTTCGTCAAATTAGAAATGTCAAACAAGATAACAGGTTATTGTACGAAATTTTACCTAGATATTACCAGGAAAATATTATTTGACCAGTAGAATTGCCAATATCACCGATTTATTTAATCATCATTCGAACGCAAATTAACACTCAGGAGTTACGCAATTTTTATTTCTTATTTACTACGAAATAAAACAAGCACAATGGAAAAATAAAATCAACAGCTAGCCTGTGATTTCATGAGTCTTGAGGGTCTAAAAAGTGTTTCAAGCTACCAAAAATTGCTTATGATACAGAAAATGCTTTCACTTTTTTTACATTTCAAAAGCATGGGGGGTTCGACGTTGTGTAAGAATTGGTCTTTGTAATAAAAGTGTGCAGAAATATAGCTCGCCAACAATAGAATAGCCAGTGTTTTGGACGCCTGTTGTATATATATTAAAAATATCCAATAAAACTATTCGATTTTGCTCACTCTTCTGATCTATAATTACAGAAACGTGTGGTAGTCTGAACACTGATGCCATGAAAGTTAATAAAACCATCATTAAAAATTGCCTTACTTCAAGGAATTGGCATTTATTTCATATCCCGAACACAAAGAAGGTTATATTTTTTGGATAGTTTCTGCGGTCTGAATAGTCGGATAAGCGTTTTGACATAGTAAATGCTATGATCTTTGCCATCAAATTATGCTCGCACCTTGCGCGAAATTCATAAAGTGAAAAGATACGTCCAGCGGTGAAAATTGTGTATAACAGTTTTAAACCTGATAGTGTGTTTAGCGATACTAATTAATTGTTGTAATGAAATACAGTTTGTTTGCCTCTTTGATTTTTCTCGAGTGCCGACAATATTGAAAGATTTTGGAAATGGGGGAAACATATCTACTTATAACAAAAATGACCTAGGTTGTGCAAAAGTGAGAACCCTTGTGATAATAACAACAACATGGAATGGCGAGCAAAACCGGAGCATGTGATCGGCGGTGCGTTTGAAGACCATGTATTACCCGTGAGGCCATGCATCTTTTACAATAATGTGAAGTGCTCCGATGGTGCTCTCATGTACATTATCGTACGAAAACAGTTATCATATTGGTAACTATTACCCATATGTTTGCGCTCGACTATCGCACTCTTCGAAAATGATAATTTTGTAAGGCGAAAACAACATGTGTTTAAGTATAGACGAAATTATTGAGGGGCGACCGCCCTCCATCGCTCCCCCGGGTGTCCGCCCCTGGGAAGAGTCATCTTCACAATTGGTACAGTCATGTTTGCTATGCATGCATGCAGAAAAAGCAGTGCAAAATAAAGCTCCATCTGAACCAATGAATTATTCTAAGGTTTGTTTGGCCGATTCACTCTTACAGTAAGCTCAAAAAATCACAGTATTATTTCAAAGTGTTTCATATACAAAGTTTCCCTTTCGATGCAAAACAGAATTTCACAGGCTGACAGGGACTAATATAATTGAAAAAAAAATTTGTGCTACCAATTACAAATGAAGATTGATACAAATTTGACAACTTAGATAGATATTTTAATAAAAGAAAAATTGTATGAACAGACACAAAACAGCTCACTTTTGATCCATTGTCTTCACAATTCATAGTGGGTTATCGCTCTGTATTACTCTAAATCAATCACTCACTATCTCAAAATGAGATATAGTGGATAACTTGATTTATTGAGAAATTAGATTTTCTGAACTAACAGCTGGAAATATCAAATTGGTCCCAAAAAAAAAAATTACTCAGCAAAATGATTAAAAAATTTAACTAATCATCCATGGAAATAGAGGACAATGAAGACTTTTTATCGACACTGGAAGCTGTTATCGCCCTTCTCTGTTTGTAGGAGACTGCAGCTGTTATCGCCCCTTTCTGTTTGTCGGAAACTGTAGCTTTCTCTGCTGAGCTTGTCTCCACTTCTCTCCGACTGACATATCTATCCCTTCTATCAGTTGATGCCTCACCTCCCATAATGAATATTTATCAAACAAATCGGTTAATAAACCAGAAGCAAAATGCCATATTTATGGAGGATAAAATGGCTAAAAAAACTTGTATAGATAAACATAATATTAATTACAATCTATTCCGAATATATCTTCGTGAAAACAACAATTTCATGACAGGACTAAATAAAGTGAATCGTGACATGCTGGTCAGTCAGTGCGCATAATGTGATTATTGGATCATTGTATAAACATCCAGAAACGGTCATGACCTGGATGTTCAATACATTCAAAATTGGTAACGACAAATTACTGAATTAACCACCGATTTAAATCTGTCATTCAGTATAATAAAAACGATATATAATACTAATATATGACCGAACGAGAGGCCGTGGTTCGCCATATAGTTGAGCCGTAGTCGTAGAATTGACTTACCTCTTCGCCAGGATAAATATGTGAATACTATCCTATCTTGAAAAACGCTTCACGGCAGTAACATGCTGACATGTGGGCACTGCTATGATATGGGATAGCATTTACATATTAATCCCGGAAGCGAAAAGGGAAGACGATAAGATGGCTCAATCATATGGCAAACCACCAAGTGCAGTTTTAAGTATTTTGTGGCAAACCTACGGCGACTGACTTTTTAGCTGCCACAAACCAATGACGAGCTGCCGTTACCGCGGCAGCAAATTGAAAACCAATGGCAGGTAAACTTTTGCTGCCGAAACCACGGCAGGTGAGCTGTAAAGATGGGCCTGACCTTTATGGTGATAAAATTGGGTAAGTTGGAACGTTTTTCTTATGGATACAGTTTTGAAGGATTTGGGGTTAGGGTTAGAGTTTAAGTGGATATAATTCGGCATGTTCAATTAAAATCGGGTACAATAATTTGTGAATATACCTTTAATACTGATTACTGAATAGCGCTATAAAACCATGGCAAGAGCTGTCGCGGTTCGTTCGTGCCATGAAGTGGTAAGAACTGCGCCTCCAAACCACAGCCTCTTCTGCTCTTGTCAGGTTACCGTGTTAGTCTTGGAGTCCATGTCGATGTCGGGTATGAGTTTAGTTACGGTACACAGTTCAGATGCATTGACTTGATGGTCTGATGCCTCTCACACATAATTCCCATATCCCTTATGGGGTTTGAACTTGAACCCCAAGCAGGCTGTTATTAGTACAGGATACTGGGATAAGAATATGAGTTTCATATTTATCCCGGGAAGTGGAAAGTCGATAAGATGGCTAAAATATTCAATCAATCAATTTTATTTGGTCACTCTGATACAAACAAAAAAACAAAACAACAACAAAGGGCAAACAAAATACAGAGGACCTGGAGGACGGGCATAACTTAATAATAAAGTTAAATACGTACAAGTACGAGCCCATCCTCCAAAAACAGTCAAAACACAATAAAACAAAAACACGATGTGACATCGGGCAATATCTTATAAATTCAAATTAAAATGTGAGACATGTATGGTGGGCATTGGTGGCCCATCGTTGTCACGCGTAAAATTTAAAAAAAAAATAAAAATAAAAAAATGAAAATAAAAGTAAAATAAAAAAATAGTTGTGAAAAAACATAAAAACAAAAAAAATAATAAAATAAAAATAAAATGTAAAAAAAAATTAAAACAAAAATGAAATAAAAACGGAATAAAAAAAAAAGCAAAAAAAAATTAAAAAAAAAAAAAACGTGAATGAAAATAAAATAAAAAGGTTGACAAGGATGGGATGGGCCGCCTCGTGGTAATTTTGAGAAAATTTGCTTCTGCTTGGAACCAACGTTGTCGTGCATAATCCAACGCGCTCAAACGGTGTTCCCTGGGTTTCTAACTCATTACTGATTTTCTTCAGCAATATTCCGTAAATTTAATATGCAAATGTTCTATAAATTCTTCATGATACAAGTTCAACTGGAAGTAATTTATATATTTAAAATAATGATAAGAGAAAGTAGAATTGAATACGAACATTCGAGCAATTTGTTTTTACGTGTATAAGGTAATTGAAGTGGAGAATGCTGCTTAAATGCCCAGTTGTCCGGACACTCGTTCGATACCGATACCGTCTGATCGTACCCGGTACCCACTCAGCATACAGTCACTCATGAAACGAGTGGGAGATACGGATAGTCTAGTAGAATATGGTGAACTGAGAGATGGATTGAAATAAATGGTTGAGCTCGCGCGATTTATTATTCGTCTGGATCGGTACTTACGGCTGTACGGTATGCCATACCGTATGCACTACCGACATGCACGTTCCATTGAAATCAGGTCTAACCATAATCGCCTTCCAGCCTCGTGGTTGTACGATCAGACAGTAGTTGCTAGAGCCAACGGACGAGTTTATCTAGGCTACTTTACGCACACAGTCCTTTTCTACTAATTCAAGTCTGTGCTATGTGAATTATTCACATTTTAGTTTTGCAGTTATTACAAATTACGATTACCATACAGGTGCTTATTATAATGGCTGAAAAGAGATTTTGGGGCAACTTCGTGGAAACAATGAAAGATAAGAGGAAGAAAAAGACTCCATGACAATTACAATAACCGGTACCATGCTGGTAATTAATATTATGTACAACCTGTAACTGGCTGCGCTCAATCCACCCCTCGATTCACTATATTCTACTAGCTAGACTATCCGTATCTCCCATTCGTTTCATGAGGTATTGCATGGGTACAGGTACGGTCAGATGGTACCGGTATCGCCAAGAGTGTCCGGACAACTGAGCAGTTGAGCAGCATTTCACCGCAGGGCCGCACAATTTTTCTTTGCGGGCCATAGTTTGCATGCCCTTTTAAACCAAAATGCATGGACAAAATATCACTCACAAGGATAATCTTGCACTAACTCAAGAATGCTTACCTTGATATAACAAGTATAACATTTGGGATTCTGTGGATAATAAAAGTCACAATCTTTGAAGACATCATTACCAAGCAATGATTGTATAATTGGTTGACATTTGGATTTTAAGATTTAAAAATTGGAATATTATCTGATAGAATTAGCCTGAAAATGGCGGTCAGGCTGTTTTAGGTAGTATGGCCAAGAACCACCATTCGAATAATTTATTGCCATGCTGATATGCACAATAGTATATAGTATATAGTATTTATATTGAATCCCATTTATCCCAAAAATTTGTATTTGTATAAACGCATACATAGTATACATATTGGATCCCCATATGAAAAATTACTACGCTTTGAGAAACCCAAAGCCACAATATGAGTCAGCTCAAGTGTTGGAATTTTGCAAAACAAAAAGGGTTTCTGGAATATCAGCTTGGATTGACTGATTGTCTGTCTGGTTTGGAGGCAACAATTTGCCATACTTGAATGGGTGCAAATTGAATATTGATAACACAAAAGGATATATTCTGTTACCTTTTATCTTCTGTCTCAATTCTTGTTTTATTTTCTTCTTATATCCTCCTTTCATCTGTTGAAATTCTTGTGACTGTTGACGCATCATCATCTCTAATCGTCGTCTTCTTCTTTCTGTTTCTTGCTTTTTTTTCTGTGCTTCATCTTTGTGTAATTTCAGTTCTTTCACTGTCTGAGGTTGGTTGAAGCCTAATAAAAACATAAGCAATACAATTAGGTAATGGGTATGATAAGACATATTGAAGAGCCCTTTTCATCTTTTATATTTATATTCTAGTGCAGATGGCAAAAGACAACTATTTTAAAAACCTCCATTTTGTAATTTGACAAGAGAAATTGTTTCGTACTATGGGACTTCATTGTCTAGAATGGATATCAAGTTTAAACAATAAAATATATCCGTTGGTCCTGGAATATAGTTTTGATTTATGCAGAGAAAAATCATGGACAATAAGGTGGTCAACAGTTCAACTTCAAAAATACGAAATGCCATGATTCGATCAATTCAGATTTGAAAATATAAATGGATAATATTCTTTGGTTTATTATCATAAAAAAGTATATATTTAATAAAAGAAGACTTACCCAGATTAGGAAATGGGCAAACCAGTTCCCCACCAAAGTATTTATGCTGTTGGATTTGATCCAAAGTAGGTCGCTCTTTTGGAATTCGACGAAGCATCCAGCCGACTAAATCCCTCATCTCACTTTCAAGTTTGCTCAGGTCACATCCTTGATTTTGCATTATAAGGTAACCCCATCCAACAGGGTTATCACCGAATGGGTGACTCCCATCAGTCTCAATGAAATGTATCACGAGTGCCAGTGAGAATACGTCGGCTTGTTTGGATATGACATTGTCATTGTATGTCTCTGGGGCTCTCCAACCATCTGTGCCAATGCCCAAAGCGCTCGGTTTGGTGACAGAATGACCGGATTTCATTACTTTGCTTAATCCAAAATCTATTACTTTTAATTGCATTCCATGTTCTGATACCAAGATATTATCAGGTTTTAAATCGCGATGTATGACATTGTTTCTATGGATGTAAGCAATGCCATTTACAAGTTGTTGCTCGAGTAGCATCTTGATATATTGGGTTCGTAAAGTATTTTTTATAAAGCTAGTCAGAGTTTCGGGGCCACATAGTTCCATTGCTATGAAGATATGCTTGACAAGGCCAAGGCGATAAATCCCAGAGTCGATAATGTTGGAAATGTTCTGGTGAGGACTGAGTTTAACGAGAATTCTTGCTTCCCTCTCATTTTCCTCACTATACTTCAAGGATTTAACGGCGATATCACCTCGACCAGAAGTTCCAAAAACCTTCACTCCTTTATAAACATTTCCATATTTGGAAATAGGTTGTCCATGAAGCATGTAAAGTGAATTGCCCAAAGAGATTGAATCTTAAATACAAAATACACAAATATTTCATTCCAATCAGAAAGATGAAACATAATATTGATAGAATGGAGTGTTGAATCTAAAATTATTGGTGTGCAGGTTAAAGACCTCAGGTTTACATCCAATACCTCACGAAGGTAGCATACTGACAAGTCTTTCTAATAATAGTAGCAAATACCCCATAAAAGTCATATCTTACCATGAATTGAAAAAAAACATTCAGTAATTCAATAAACATATATATGAATGCTCAATCGAACAAAAGAGTTAATTAATAAATTCAACTAGCAGGTGCTGTATAACAAATTTTATGTCATTATTTTTCATTATTTAGGAATTATACAACACAAAAAAAATACAGTAATATAAATACTGAGAAATCCTCACTTCCAACAGTAAGTAACATAATTGTTTCTAACATCTATGCAAACTAGTACAGACTAGAATCTATGTAGTAGCGGTTGATTCACATGGAATTCTTACCCTATAAACAATTTTGTTTGTACATAAATACTGAACCTGTGTTTAGGTTAAGCATTGTAAAGTTGCCTTGAAAATAAATCTTCCTGAGGATTTGAATTATATTTTTGTAATATAGAACAAACCTGGGATTGGGTTAGTTCGTTCTGAACTTGCAGAAGAAGAACCTTCCCCGGATGAAGACTCTTCAGGTTCTCTGTTGTTATCAGCTTGTTCGAATGAGATATCAGAACTTTTTAAAAAATAGTTACCTGCCTTTATATTATCCCCTGAAAAATGAATGAAAATACAATCTTTCCGTCGAAGGACATTTGAGATAAATACATAAAATGATTCACTGACCTTGCTTTTGGTTAAAATTTACAGTTTTGGCTGCTATCACAGTTACATGCTTTTTGGGTTCTTTCATCAGATAATCCAAACTTCGAGCCAGATTTTGTTCTAAAGCTTGACTTGTGCCAGGTAAACTTAGTGCTTGTGAAGCATTTTGAGATGTTGTGGGATATTCTCTATCATGAGAAGTTGAAGGTTGGTCTGGTGATTCTGGATCAGAGTCATCTAATTCAAGTATTTCCCGAACTGCATCCATTTTCTTATCAGAATTTATCTTGAATTAAATCAGTTATAGCCCTAATTAAGAACAGTGGGGGACTGCTGAACTGTAAATACAAAAATATTTCAGTTTTTATTGAATTGGCAGATTGGGTTCAGTCTTTAAACCTTACGGTCAGACGGTACTTGAAGTTTTGTTTGGTTTCCTGATTTTATCTTTCAGTACCGCTATTTTTGTATGTAGTTTTTATTTACCGGTATTTGTATCCATCAACCACTTATCTTTTCTCAGTCATATTTATGTATTTCAATTAAAAACACCGCATACCAGGTACCGGTACGGTACCTACCGTAGTCCGTACCGGTATTTCAAGTTTCGGTACCGGTATCGTACAAAATCTTACACAAGTAAAATATAATCAAATAAAAGGGAGACTAAGAATAATAAAGATATATAATTTAAATGTCTTCGAATCGGATATTTCCCACGTAATGGTCGAATAGAAGAGTTTGCAAAGCCAAGTCGAAATTGAAAGCAGCCATTGCGAATGACTCCTACTTTCCAAATCTGCTGTCGGCGGTGTAGATAAATTGAGAGTCTACAAAATTACTAAAACCGGTAATAGGTTGTGCGCAAATGCGACATAAATAAACACAAAGGCTTGAAGTAAAACGCCATTGCACTTTTGTTCGGTATTAAATCTGACAACTCAACACATTTCGTCAATTTTTCATATGTTACGTCATGGGTGACAAATTTAGCTACGAATAATCTTTATGACGTCATATTCATGTTGAAGATTGGTTCGTTCGCGTGCGAAGCTCAACATCGATTCAGACATCAAGTCGCGTTTTTAGGCCAGGGTAGGTTAATTTTATATATGCGCTGTTGCTCAATTTACGAGAGAGTTCCACATGAATATTGTGATATGCGCTTGCCGTTGTCAAGTTGAACATATGCTAACAATATAACAATGCCGAATTAATTAACATTGGACTACTTTAATTTCGGCGTATAAGTACACAGAATGCCGGAGCGATGGAAGACACACGATAAAGCAGGTCAGTGTCCTATAAAATAAAATATTCCCATCATATGCTCGTAGTTGATCGGTTTGAAGAGTTGCAAGCTGACCAACAGTTACCGTACTTGAACCACCACCTCAAAAAATGAGAATCCACGCAAATAATCAGCTCATAATTAACTGAAGGCATTTGAACCCGGGGAGAGGAAAGTCGATAAGACGGCTCAATCATATGGCGAACCAGGTCTATCGTCCGATTACCAGTTCTAACAGTCCGCAATCAAACCTAATGATAAAAGATCCCATGTCTGCAATTTTTTTGACCAGCGGTGATGTTAACCACCTTTCGACGGCGAGGAGTCCAGCAATGATCCCGTGCGAACCCGCGCATGGTAATCCGAGGTGCGATGGCAAGCGTATTCTTAACGCTTAGCTTGGTCATACCACAGGTCGAATAAACTACGTTAGCGGGAACGCCCAGATGACTCATTGTCAAATGTTACATTTTCAATACAGAGCTGGTTTCAACCCGATTTGATCGAATTGGGCTCCGCACGTTAAAGCGGCCCCGCGCTAGTTGAGGTCTTTTTCTGCATTATGAGGTACAAAATACTACTAAAAAGGTAAAATAAAGAGTGGAATAATCATTTTATAATGTTAATTTTTTTCCGGTAAACTTTATAAATTCATAAGTACAGCGATGCCAATAAATAACTGTTGCATCGGGGAAAGAAGCTTTTCAAAGCTGAAAGTAATAGCATACTTGAGGTCTGCGGTCTTTCAAGAAAGACTTTTCAATGCTTTATATAGGAAGCGAGATTGCTAAAGCTGTTGAATTTGAAAATATTTCGAATGATTGGAATGCTAGGAAAGTAATGTTCTGAAAGAGTATAATTTAATTGCTTATTTAGCCTTTCTTGCCGTTAAAAATAAAACAATAAAAGCATCAGCATTACCTTAAACTTTGTTTTATAGCAAGTATTAAATGTATATATTTTTTGGTTTGTATGTTTTTTTTTTTATGAAATATAAACACCCATAAATTGTACTATGAATAGTAGGGGCCCCGCCATCAGATTTCCAATTGGGCCCCACAGTTTCTAGCACCGGCCCTGGTCAATCATCAAATGCCGTATAACAAAATGCAAATGTAATTTTTAGAAAGTTTATGGTTTGTTTCACTCAATGACTAACATACCGGTTTCACTATAGTATAGGCCTGAATATATTTCATTTCACGTGTAATGACCCAAAGGCGATAAATCAGGCTGCGTAACTGGAAAAGTTTTTTAGTATAATCAGTATTTTCTATGAAATTTTAATCAGCAGAGATGCACTCGCATTAGGAATCTTTCGAATTGCGTAGATCTAATGAAACTTGAAACGTGATTTAAGCTCAAGTAGACAAATAAAAATACCATTTATAGATAACTCATACATAACGATTAACGCGTTATTCACCCCCATAGATACAAAATCTATTAATTTACCTATATATATTATCGTCGCTTTTCGTATCAGCTGGTATTTCTGTGTTCTCTGTAGTTTTTGAAACCGTCCGGTCACGATATTACAATCCATGTTTTACTAGGTGGCAATGAAATATGTTGCTTAAAATTTCATTCGTGGGCTTATGGGTTGGAGAAAAATAATCCCAACCGGTCCATTATACCGGAAGAGCAAATTGTACAAAGTCGGCACAAGTATAGTTTAACACATTTGCTATTTATTTCAACTTCGTGGGGTGTTTCATTCTGTACATCCCCAACAAACAACCCTCACTCGTAGGCCTATATCAAGGGATGAGGGACTTATATCTGGGCTCCCTAAACTAGGGGCCGCGACCCTACAGTGGGTCGCATGCATACATAGGATCAGAGAAGAGGCGCGCAAGCATCACAATGCAGACTTTTAGCATTAACGCTGGAGAGTGAGCCACTTTGTCGAATTGGAACCATGCAATCGGTAGCCAGCCATCATTATACGTATAACTTTGCTGATGCTGCGAAAATCTTATCTTGACTGGTGCATATGCCTCGTCATCGAACGTGAAATATGGTTTACTCTCGTTTCTTTTTGTTTTCGTTACATTAACAATTTATTGCGCCAGGTAAATAACGTTGCAGATCAAAGATTATTTAACTGTGTAAATTAAATATTTGAAATGCATATTTCGAACTGTTAGGCATTTTAAACGTCAACGGGGGTACCGGAAAATTTTATTATATTGAAAGGGGTCACGAGCCTAAAAGTTCGCCAAGCCCTGCTTTATACCTACTCAAGTTTGAAGTATTCGATAACGGCTTAATGATTTGCCCTGGTCCCCGATTACTAAGCCGTAAAGCAATTATGTCGCTTCAACATATTGAAATATCGGTTTACCCGGAGTGTACCAGGGTCGGCCATAATTTCAGGTACAAACACTACGGGAGTCACTTGGCTAGTCCCCGAACTCGTAATAGAACTAATATATAGAAAATTGGAATAAATTATGGCCTAACCCTAACCTGATACACACACTACGTAACCGATGTCCGCCATCTTGGTTTACATGCTTCGGGGCACCGAAATATCGGCGTATCTCGTTTAAACGCGAGAAAAATACTTATTTGGATTGCGGTAACTAGCTGATATAATCACAATCAGAGGTGAATGCAAATAATCCTGCTTTATTATTCATGTACTTAGTGAGTCGTCTTGAGTTTGCTACGAAGCTTGCTAAAAAACAGTGATAGAACGATTATCCTAGCCTAGGATTAAACTAAGGTGCACGAATCAACCTTGTGCTATTAACGGCAATGATCAGTTCAAATTTTGGTGATGATTATGAACAATATATCTTCAAACAAACACCACAGGCCTTGTCAGTAGTTGGGAATTTACATCACATTACTTGACATATCCGTATTCTCAAATTTGGCACATTGCCTTATTGATGTTAAAATGGACATGTTCATATATGGGGTTAGGTATTTTGGATCAAAGGCACATGACAACAATAATCAGTATTCGTCTATAGAAATGAGAAAACATTTTGGTGATAATAATTAACAATATATTGTGAAACACACACTACATGTAGAGTCAGCGTAAAAACTAATGGTTTGCATATAATATGCATTGCAAGTCATAGGAGTTTTATGGGCAGATTGGGACATTGGCTTGGCGTAGGGAGCATATGAGCATGGGTACATTATTATATAAGGTCGGAGATCTGGTGTTGAAGACAAGCATTTGCCCACCATCACCATATTGGGGGTGGATATTGGGTAGACTGAAAAGCATGAACTGTAGCTCCAGTTTCTTTCCATACCAAGTTGTTAGGAGAGAAAAGTCAAACACTATATATAAAATTAAACATCATACATCGAAGAGACAAGTAAAAATCATGTTGAAAAATGCTGGAGCGTCAAATAATTATTTATGGGTAAGTGTGATGATGCACAACACTCAGTAAAGTTTTTAACAAACTAAAATGTACTTTTACCGAATCATAAATATTGTTTTCAAAATCTACGATTATCAGTCAAACTAGATATTATGGCTATTTTAGAAATTCTGGTTTTCAAATTCTGTTCAAGCTTTTTAAATAAATAAGTTTCATTAAAGCAGCCAATTTTTTCAAAAAACATAATTCTATTTATCAGGCTTTAAAAAAGTTTAAATGCTTTTACATGAATATACGATGAAATGTAAATTTATCTCTCAAATACTAAAGCAAACAAAGTACAAATTACATGCATTTGAAGGTAATTGATTTGCATATTAAAGATTAATAGGTTTCAAGTATCAAAAGGAAATTATTTACACAGATACAGAAATATATATAAAATGCTGCAATAGAAATGGAAAAATTAACCAAGCTCTAACTAGGATTTAGTAAAGCACAATGGCTGATATTTTTGAAAAACAAAATGTACACATGTATTACAGCTGATAATGATAACAATTAATTTCTACAGAAATATAAATTCAAATAAAAAAATATTTCTAAAACTGCCAAACTAAAATACCCACCATGCATAGCAAATTAGAGACAATTAGGAAGGAATAACTAATTATTAAAAAATAAGTTGAAGTATATTTCTGATGAAAAAGGTATATTGTACATCGAATAGATTAGAAACTGTGATTGCATAAATAGTTAGTTCAGTATTGTATATAAACATATCTTTTTATGTATGAAATTAATATTATAATTTTATCATCAATTCTATGAGACTACTTATTTGCTCTTCCTTCTGAACAGTAACATAACTATTTCGTGTGCAGCAAAACTACTTAATCACTTATAATTTTATTACATTGAAGCCTACTGATATCTATAGTTACTAACATGAGTTGACAGAGTTGATAATCAACCTGTATCACTGAAGCTGACTGGTCCATATATTATGTAGCAATGACTTGCAGCATTAAGATTCAATTAAATGGAATAAAGACGATATAAAATAATTATAAAAGTGTAGTTGAAGAGAAAATTGCATATTTGATTTTCATGATTAGCACCAATGAAATGAAGGAAGAATTAAAGAAAAATATAAATATCTGTAGCCAACAGAAGTAAATATAGAGTTTAAATTACCATATATTAAAATCAATGTAGATTGCTGAATCATGACAAAATTTTCAAGTGATAAGAATACTGATTGTGAATCTCTTTTCATGCAAAATAAAGCAATATATACAGCTACATCTCAAATAATATAATAACACCAATCATGGCTAGCAAGGTCGAATTTTAATGAAAATATAAATTCAATATATTGAAATATTATCAGTGGAACATTTGAATTGCATATTTGAAAAATCATAATTATACAGGCACCACTCAAATAAAAGTTGAAAGCATATACTAGTAGAAAAAGGCATTGGAAAAGCTAATGGAGGCTAATATGGTGGTATCCTTTGGTTAATTACAGCTTCTGCCACCAATCAAGTTCATTATACATCCGAATATAGATCAGATTTCCGTAACCAGGCCAATAGCGGAGTGCTCAACTAGCCTTCTCTGCCAGGATAAATACAAAACTTGTATTTTGCAATTAAATAAGCAGACTATGCCATGCATCATACTGATTCAGGTTCCTCTCTAATATAGCAGATATTATCCGGTTGGCTGCCTAGTTGGAGTAAAACTTGTGAGAAGTATTCAAAAACCTGACTCAAAGCATCCTTTTTTCAATAAACACAAAAATACTTTTTGTGAAGTCTTGAAACAACTTTTCCCAGTATGATAATGACTAACATAATTGATAGTAATTAAGATGGAACTGATTAACAGTGAAAGAATGAAATGTATAAAAACGGGTCAAATATGCAAACAAAGTGAGTAACAATACATGAGTCTGGAAGTCAATCTAAAAATACCGTCTTTGCTCGTTTTGTAGCCCGGGCCCATATTTTTTTCAACCAACTCACTAACCGGGCCCTTATTCAAACCGCCCTTATTCAAGCACGGGCGCTTGTTATTTTCGATCGTTACGATAATTAATATATTTTTATTTCCAGTTCTCAAGATTCTCATGATTTAAATGAGAATAACGAAAATTTTGACTTTTTTCTACGCACCGCAGGTACAAATCCACAAAAGAAGAAAAGTTTTGCGACGCCCTATCAATATTGAAACGACGCACTTGGGCGTTGCGACGCCCAGTTTGAGAACCATGGTGTTACGTAATCAATGCTATCTGTTATGTACTTGAACGCCTGAGTCGTGAGTGTTATCTACCGGCGCTTAAAATTCAACAGCGTTGTGACAAAAGCGCTTCTTATTTCCTATTGTTCTCTACCACTGAAAAATCAGCTTTTACATCGGGCGGGTATTCAAGCACCGGCCCTTATTTATTTTTATGTTCTGTTCACACGGGCGGCTATTCAAACGAGCCCTTAATCAAGATCGGGCGGGAAAACGAGCATATACGGTATATACATATATGCATAATTATCATGGAGTTGATCAACAATAAAAGGATGAAACAGATAAAAACGATGAAAAATTGAAAAAAATATAAATTGTTGGTTTTGAAAATTCTGACTAATTAACCTTGATTAACAGTATAGAGTTTGATTTAAAAACAAAAAGTTGAGTCAAATCAGACTGATATTGCAGTTCATCAAACATTATAATATGTAAGTAAGTGGCATAATGAAATGCTTGATAATGACAATATAAAATCAATGGAAGGGTTCTAATATTATATTGTCCATGTAGAGTCCAACGTCCATTGTTGATTTTGTATTGTTAGTATTCAATTCCTACACAAATTTTACAAGATAGCTACAAGTAGTTCCGGTAGGTTTAGATGGATTTTCCACCCCGTTTAGGCAATTTAGGGTCTGTTCCGGTAATGACAGGAACTTATTTTTTACCACTGTACCCCCAAAGTTTGCTGTTTTATCTTGAAAATTGCCTTGAGATATATAAAATGTCCTTTAAAGATATCTGAGTCAATCTGACTGATATTGCATTCACCGAACTTTATAATAATTATAAGTGGCTTGATGAAATGCTTGATAATGACACTACAAAATCAATGGATGAGTTTTAATATAGTATTGTCCGGATAGTGTTGAGCGTCCATTGTTGATCATCTATTGTTATTATTCAATTCCTGCTGCCTTTAATTTCGCCTCCAATGCTTTATGAAGCTTTTTGTTATGGCCTTGATCAGGATATCCATTGCTGAAATAGATGAGATTGCATGAGAGATAATGGTAGTTGCATATGAGTCTGATTTCAATTAACTGTAAAAAATAAGATGTTCGATAAAAGAACACTGAAAGTCACAAATATTTGACTCCTTAGTACTTAGAAACGCTTAACTTAGCGATGCCTGTGTGAGTGAGATTTGAATGTGAGATTTAGATGTGCAAAAAGAATGTCAACTTTACTCGTAGGTAGAGATGAATGCCCAAATATTCAAATTTTTCAGAATTTTCAATTGCACTGATAACGTACTGAAATACGAAACATTGATATCAAAATCACTAACTATAGCCCAACACCCCTTCCAGTGTGCAAAGGAAGATTTCGCCAAACAATGATAATTCTGGAGTTTCAAAACCCAGTAAGTCTGATTGGACAGAGCACTGATCGATGCGAAAGTGTAAAACCACCAAATAGAAAATAAATTGATTTGAGGGCAATGGCCTAGTGCAGCGGTTCCCAAAAGGTGAGTCGCGTGTTTTCAGGTGTGCCACGAAAATTATTAGAATAACTAATATAAAATATGATTTTACAATTTACATATTGTCTTTATTATAAAAGTTTTATTGTTTCCTATTTAAATGCTGTGTATATGGATCAATAAATTCCATTTAGCTTGCTATGTCGTTATATAACAATAGATATAAACACCACTGCAATTTCGTGAGATGCAATTTATTTTACCTGCTGAACTGAGTTAAGCGAACATGCAGAGATGAGGAAGAAAAGCTGGCTTTTGCCTCATTCCTTAGGCCTACGAGTTTACTAGAGTTAGAGGACATAAAGTACACCCTAACGATCACGATATTTACCATACTGTTCCGTGCAAGAGCGCCGCGAGCATTTTCCCTTGATAATTTGGCATCGCAAAAGGTTTGGGAACCGCTGGCCTAGTGGTTTAAGTGTTAGACTTAACATGGCTGGCATCGCAATTCGCACATCTCAAGTTCAAAACCCATGAACCCCACCTCACCCAAGGTGTAAAAAATGAGTAGGCAATGCTGAACTGAAAAGATACTATTTCTTCCATATAATAGTAGCCCTTTACATATTGCTAGATCAGTGGAAGTTTGAACAGGGCCTTGTTTACAGCAAAATGTGTGAATGAGCATCTCATATATGAAAACCTTAAACATCTCATTTATATTAGAATTTTGAGAATAAGCAGTGTAAGTGTAAGTATAATTTATATGTTGGATGTCCAATGAAACATTGACAACAGAGAAGCAGAAAATTTAGTCGTTACTGGAATACGGATCAAATAGTTACAAAATTGGTCAACCATAATTCCAATGACAGATGTGACAACAGAGAAACCTAGTAAACAACAGCTGGTCGTTGAACCTGGTTACAGTCACGTTGCAGACAATTCAAGCCTGAATACCATAATGGTTGATTCTGATTGTCACTAAGAAATTACCCTCAGTCACATACACCCTAACATTTTGCAACAGCATGACAAATCATGGTCAATATTTATCAGGAATAAAAAGAATGCTTCCTGGCCATCCCTCACCCATCAACTGAAATTTGATGGGTAATAATAACAAATTTAAAATGTTGCTTGAAATCAAGAGAGGAAAGTTGAGAACGTTGTACTTGATTTTACCAAGGATGAGATCAGGCGCGCAGCCAGGATTTTCAAAAGGGGGGGGGGGGGTTCATAATCATAAATTCCCATTGCGGTCTGTAACAATCTTCGCATTACGCGCTCGTTAAAGGGTCGTCTTTTCAGCGAATAATGATTATTCTTGTTGCGTGAAATATTCAATTCCTGACAACTACAAAATTCTAAAATGTCTTTATATATTTATTTAATTGTGTCCAACGTAACTCGCGGTTTCTTCTTCATACGTCAAAATTAAAACATTAGTTCTCTGAAATGCCACGGCGATCGGTGGACATAAAAATATGAGATAAACGGCGTATTTAATTTGAAAACGTATTTTTGGAATCTTGCCAACTCGTTATCGCCGTTACAAAAATCTCAATAACTGATATAAAATCCCGAAAAGTACAATTTTATTTCGTACAATGAAAATGCCTATGAAGTATATCGTTAAATTAAAAATACATATTCATCGCCGCGATTAGGCCACTTGTTAAAAGAGCCGACGTTTACAACGAAAAATGATTTTCCTGTTGTGCAAAGTAATCAATTCGTGACCGATAAGGGCATATTTAAAATGTCTTGCTTTATTAATTTAATTGTCTTCAATTTAACCAGCGTTTCGTCGACAAAACAAAACAATTTTTTACAATTCACAATTTTAAAATACCTCGGCCAATTGCCGACATAAAAATTTGTGGTAACTGCCCGTCGCCTATTATATATTGTTTTGATCCGCATTTTTTCTATTTTGCAAATTCGACAAATTTGAGATGTGCTTGTAACATTGACATATAAATTACGGTTTTATTTTCAGTATTTTATAATGCAGCTTTTCAATCAAATTTAGATCGCGGTTTTACTCCTTTTGTCTCTAGAACCTCGCCACCGATGAACGTATATTACAAACTCATGAATTCACAATTCCGTGCAAAGTACAAAAATAAAATAATTATCATGTTTATCGTGGCACAAATTTATGACTTAGAAAGAATAAAAACCGACATAAGGGCGTTTACGGCCTAAATAACACGCTGATGAAAACATGGGCGATTTTAGCAGAAGGCAATTGTACGCTTTTTCATTTTTCACATTTACGTGCGGGTACAAAAATAAAATAATTATCATTGTTCCCGCAGTACAAATTTGTGATTTTAAGAGAATAAACACCAATGTGAAGGGCGTTCACGGCATAAATAAGACGCCGCGTTGATGAAAACGAACAGCGATTTTAGCAGAAGGCAATTGCACGTGTTATCGGCAACTTTTTCACTTTTCAGAAAATTTCAAAAGGGGGGGGGGGGGGGGGGGGGGGGGGTTCGACCCCGAAAACCCCCCCTGGCTGCCCCACTGGATGAGATATCTGTGGTTGAGTGGTTACAAATGTCACAAGCTGGATGGATGGTACTGGGATCAAAAGTGCGACCCAAACATGCCTTTCTTTGATTTATAAATAAGAGTTTGCAAAATAGTGTTTAATTTTAATACAAAACATGACTTATTATGTGCAAGTTCATTTTTCTAACTTTGCATGGAAGGTCAGATTGGAAAATAAATATTGATTTGGTTTATTTTAAGGTACTCCCGTAGTATGTGAACCAAGATGGCGGACATCGGAACACAGTATGTGTATCAGGTTTGGGTTAGGCCATAATTTCAGGTACAAATACTACAGGAGTCACTTGGCTGGTTCCCGAACTCGTAATCGAACTAAAACAAGGAAAATTGGAATAAAATTATGGCCTAACCCTAACCTGGTACACATACTATGTTCAGGTGTTCGCCATCTTGTTGCACATTCTATGGAGCAGCGCCGATTTAAATTTTTGCGATTCACATTTTAAATCTCAAGTTTTGTTGGAACTAAATTTTTATTACATCTGTACTTTAATATAACTTAGTTGAGGCCCCAGTTAATCCTTATAACAATTGTGCATATTTTAGAATATTTAATCAGAAAACTTACTTATCTGGACCTCCATGTTTGTTAGTTTTATGAGGAATTTCATCATTCCATATTATCTCTCCTCTACTGCTTCCAATTATCTGAATCTTGAAGAGCAATCCTGCATTGAATGCTTTCTCTAGCAAGGGTATGGATGCGTGATCGAAGAGATACCCAGGTAGATATTCAGTGAACTTCTTTGCCACATATGAAACACCCTGCAAAAATAAACATAATAAGTTATTTAACTTCTATCTCTGATAATTTATTAAAACTGATATGAACACCAGGTGCTCAGAAGTATGCGCATCAAGATGTCGCACAACCTGAATCCTAACCGATACACACATACTATGTTCAGGTTGTGCGCCATCTTGGTGCGCATACTCCTGAAGGTCCAAAAGCTTTAAACTAAAATTTCTGCAACTCAGAATCGATTCGAATAAATTTAACGATTCCTCAGAAGCAGACAGTTGCAAAAGCATTTTTTTGGTGATTTTAGTTGGGATGCTTTCAAATACTCGCTCTGAACAAGGCACAAAACAAGCAGGCACTGATACGTAAATACCTTAATTGAACGATTGGAATCTTTCTCACTAAACATTGACTATCAAAACATTTGATTTCTAGGTCAGGAGGAGGGCACACATTTGAACCAAAGATGTTTTACATGTGCAAACAAGTAAAATATCCTCAGGAAACATATAATCAGTGGCACCTTGTTCAGAGTTGCCTTCACATAACATTTATTAAAAAAGTTTTAATTTTTCAAAAAAGAAATGAAACATAATATATCTATGATTGGAAGCAGAGTTAGAATATGATGACACTAACATTTTACTGATACACAAAAAATCCACTGATATGTAAGAGGTCATTTATGAAAAAACTAAACGACCAACATTTTTTCAAGCAGAGCATTGCTTGCCAATTTATATACATCGTTGGTGAGATCGTCGATTTGGGATTTGAAGATTAATGTGAAGAGAAGTAGCCAAACTATGTTGGCATCACAGGTTAAAAATCTTGGATTCAAGCACATTACTCAGTGCATAATGAAATAGGTAGGAGTGTATGATAAATTAGGTTGGCAATGCAACCAGACAGATTTCAGTACTACAATAAATAGTAGTGCCTTGCATATCAGTGGCTGCTCATACATAGCCTTGTTTGGAACAAAAGACATGACAAACGTTTCATAGAAAAAATTCATATGGTAAGTTTGGAATCTTATAGTCGGACAAAACTATCAGACATCAGATAAATTATGATGATTATTGCCAAAATGAAATACCTAATTTACTATTTCATATAAATTCTTAAATAATATTTTTTACCAATATTAAATATATTCTAAATTGGACCATGTCCAACAAGAGTCTGTGAAAATCACTGTACAATTACATATGTGGAAATTTAATTCAGTAATGCAGAATAACTGATATAAACACAGCTTGGATTGATTTTTGCAATTTGCAATGTTAGATTTGAAAGGAAGTCATACGGTTTTCTTCAATAATCAAATGCTTTAAAAGACAAATTTTGAAATGGAAACCTCAAATCAAGAATTTGTTCTATGTAATATAAACAATTGTGAATATATTCATTCATTTTGAACATCAGCACTGGTGTAGAGGCAAATTCTGCAAGGGGCCATTAAACCAACATAAAAAACTGCTTTCTGGAAACATCGGAAAATATTTCTGAAACATCTAAGCACTAAGGCAGGGTCGTCCAACCCGTGGCCCGCGGGCCACATGTGGCCCGTCAAGGAGTTTTGTGTGGCCCGCGCTGAATTTTCGGAAATGAATAATAAAAAATTAAGTAAAACTTATATTTTTCGAGTGATGTAGTTAATATGAAGTTTTGATATAAACGATTTGTTCATTTTCCTGAAATGCGCTCTGCTAGCCCTTTCAAACGAGCCATGAGTGCCATTTGAAATCGAAACCAACTGGAAGATATCGATACAGATATAGTCGCTTACACACTTGGGCAGAATGGCAGTTTTAATGACCTCATTATTTGGCAGCACTTACTTGTATAGGCAAGTTGTTTTCACAGATGGACCATGTTTAATCCCCTGTGAGATCACTAATTTCTGACAGTCATATAGAAAATTCGCTTCGCATTGCTACATCGTCCATCTCAGCGAATATTGACAAACTTGTTAGCGAGAAACAGTGCCAAACTTCACACTAAAATTTCATTAACTTTTAGTCAGTGTAGCAAAACTATAACATAATTACCATGTTAAGTGGCCTGCGCAATTATTGGTAAACTGAATGTGGCCCGTCGGCCAATAAAGTTGGCCGACCCTGCACTAAAGTGTTGTGATGGCCTTGTGGTTATAGCATTGGACTTAGCTATGTTGGATCATAATTTGAAGGTCTCAAGTTCCATGCCCACTGCCTTTTGAGTAGGCAATGCTGAAACAAAAAAATTACATTCCATCCAAAAATGATAGCTTATTATGCATTAGCGGTTGCTTGTGCAGAGCCCTGTTCAAAGTGAACAATATAATAACGAAAAGTGTAATTAGATTTCAATTGCTATTTGGGGGCCAAGATTATTGATTTGGAAGATTTAATGTTAAACATAGAATCAATGTAAAATAGAACAACAAGAATCTTGGTTCTTGTAAATACATAGTAATTGAATATTCAACCAACTGAATTCATTACAGGACTCACATTCAGACTTCCAGCAGGGAATGAGTAGGTGATGACAGAAGTGCCTAACGGCAACCTTTCATATCCTGGCAGTGATACACGCAACCTTTTCACTGACATTCTTCCACCAGGTGGTAGTTTGTCGATGATTCTTAGACCAGATGGAGTAGCTTGACTTGAAGACTGAGATTCTGAAAATTGAAAAATTTCTTTGTTTTGGTGAATTAGAATTGGATTCAAGTATTCATAGAAAGAGAAAAGTAGGTGAGGCTGACATTGTGATATTACGCATTTATAGAGTAAAGAGAAACATTTTTTCTTTTCAGTGTATGGGCACGCAGACTCACATAATGTTGGAGCTGTTAATAATACAGCAACCAGTCCAAGATTAATACATTATAATGAAAACTGAAACTATGATTAATCCTCCATTCATATCCTCTCACTACTGGTCCCAGTTCATATCAGGCATTGAAATCTTATAATTACCTGAGGCCTTGTTGGAAACATACGGTACTTTCTACTCGAATCACTTTGTAGCATTGTACATTCCAAGGGCTTGTAAGAATAATTTATCAACCATGTTACATGTACGAGATATGTTTATACAAATGAAGTTATTGAATTCAACTCAGAAAGATGCAAATCCTTTGTTTATTTAATTATATTTCATATAATTGACATATACGATGATCTTGTCCGGTGTTTCCCAACCCGAGTCTGCGGTCTCTAATGAGTCCGGGGAGCGTTTGAACGAGTCCGCAACGAGCCGGAAATTCACAGCGGGCCGCATGTGTTTTTGCGAAACTTAACCATCAGCCAAGTTACTATTTACGTCAGAATTTACATAAAACATAGAAACAAGTTTATTCACATAACATTAATCGAGTCAATATTTACTGGATACTGAGTAGGGCTGGGCATATTCGAATATTCAACTAAATAGCAATTTACTATTCGAAAATTTGGTAACAGTTGACGCGACAGGTCACTTGCGCGTCGCTTAATCAAACGGTTGGAATTCACAACTCACTTGCAGATTTCCGACAAAAACATGAATCGGCACGCGCCTGGATAGATAGATACCTAAGTGGTGTTTCTCGCAAGCTTGAACAACAAGGGATATTTTTTTTTCTGGTGGGTGTCAACCTAAATTTTCTAAATTGAAAAGCGACAATACAAAATACTAGAAATAAAACGGAGAACACCATAACTTTTGTTTCAAATTAAAAACGCTCTTTTAGACATTCCAAATCGCAAAATTTCGGGTGTTATTGTAGTACACGTATCAGGGCGTTTTCCCGTAAGACTTCTTTGCTTCACTGCCTCCACATTGGTAGGTACAGTACTGGAGCGCCGTAAATGTTTTACGGACAGCTCAGATTTGTCGAATTCACAAAAATACAAATCAAAACAAAATATAATCGGGCACCACGCAATTTTGTGTCCACTGATTGTCATGATATTTTCTGAGTAGTATTGCTTTTATTTCGTCAACATAACCGCAGATTGAAATGATCACAATAAAATTAACATTATAGCAAGGCGATTACTCCATAGTGACACCCTGTGTCCCACCACTAATTAATTGATAACTCGATAATTATAGAACATAATTCGCCCAGAATCAATAGGCTACTGGTCCGAAATAAGATGAACGCACATGCAAAATCTGGAGCAGATTCAATCTCGCTTTCGTGAGATATCGCGTACATCTAACAGACATACAAATACCTATCAACTTACTTACCGATTAAATTCGATAAGTAATGACAAGTTGACATGAACAAAAATTGGTCAGACTCGATGCTCACTTTATCAATCTCAGTTAAGAAACACAAATGCAAGAGATTGTACCTGAAGTATCACTCCTGTATCCACCCACTGCTCCCATCTGTGGCTCTTCTACATTCTTAGATCCGTGACTACTTGATGCGGTGTTGCCCAAGGAAGTTTCTGTATCTGCTTTAGTACTTGGAGCAGTAAAAATTGCTTTCTGAGCTGCCTGATCTGTGGACTTTTCGTCAGCTCGAGAAAATATTTCATCAACAAGTATATCGTAACATTTACGGGAATCGTTGACCAAAGTTTCTGAGCGAATGGTTTGTTTAAGAAATTGCAGGGGGAATTTTCCGAGATTGAGAAGGCTAAACAGTTCATGAAAATGTTTTTTCCTTTCCTGAATATCTTGCTTTATCCATCTAAGAGCTCCATGCCATTTAACAGTCTCAGAAGAATATTTTGTGTTTGGGGATTTGTAAATCATAATGATGTCATCCTTGCTGATATCACAGAACTCTTTTTTTTCAATGATTTGTTCGAAATTTGCTTCCAGGAATCGATTCATGACATCTTTCACTGGATTTGAGTTTATAACTTGACGAGTTTCAGCCATATTCTTCAGGATGAAGCAGTTGTCAATCTCAAGATTTGTCTCAAGATTCTTGACATCAGAGAATAATGCAGTGATGACTGAATTCTTTGCAATGTCATTACTTTTCACCAATGGTTCTTCCAATACAGTCTCCAGAAGAAATTTGAAAGGATAAGTCCGAATATTGATGACTGTAACAAGATCGGCAAAACATCTCTCTGCATCTTCATCTTTTGCTTTTGCCCATGTTTTCATAGCTTGCCATGATGTTTGATAACTCGCATTTGAAACTTTTATGTAACGCAGGAGATCTGGCTTGATAATGAACGGGAACATCTCAGAGGAAATTACTGATTTGAAATTAGTGATCAGCACCTGTTCTGCTTGTTCTTTTATATCATGACGATCGTACGCTTGAGCTAAATTGATGACAGAAAAACAATTGGTCGACGAGAGATGGGTTTTCAAGTAATGGAAGCAAAAGTTTGTCAAGCCAACCATTTGTAACAGGTTGGATGCTTGCAGGATTTGTTGAACGTATTCCATTTTCAAATTTCCTACTCCTTTATACATGAATTCTATACATTGGGAAATCCCATTCTGATCAACATCCTTCATATTGATAAACCCATCACGAGATTCCTTCATTTTGCTTGTAAACATCGCTTTGAAGTATCCTGACGAGGCTGCCAAGACACAGCGATGAGCACGAAAGGATTTGTCACCGACTTTGACATCGAAATCGCAGAGAATATTTTGTTCTCTCAAGCTATCGAGTGATGTTATAAGCAAACCGGCTTGGGTTGAATTTGTTTGTTTAATGTAATCTTCATTCATGATCAGTCAGCTCAACCTTACTCAGATCAGTAACTAAGTACAGAACTCTAACAGAAGTATAACAATTCTAACACCTGTATGAAAATAATTCATTTTCCAATCTTAGTAGTGGTTTATCTTGAACTTTACGAATTAGTGCTCAATACAGAACATATTTCCTCATTGTTGTAGGTTTAAATTCAATAGGAATTACCATATTTAAAAGGATTAAACTGGTAACAAGCAAGCCCTATAACTCCTGGTGCATAAAAAGTCTCTCGCAATCGAATTCAATGCGAGGATAATTATGTGTGAGAGAATTGCTAAACTTTTCGCCATCGTAGGGTAGTTCACGTAACCCAAAGATGGGCATCTTTTCTAGTCGGCGGGCCAGATGTGGGAAAATGAAGTCCCCGGCAGGCCGGATTATTACAAAAAATACTTCGGTATCAAATCTTTGTTAAATGCTTTGCTCGACACTCTCTGTCAACTTCACGTTTCTTGGGATATTCCATGGTTAATAAAACTTAATATGAAATCTTATTTCTAAAATCTATTAATATTTAGAATCTAAATATAACTGGTAACAGTAGTGGGGAATGTTTACAACGCTCTCTGCTTTGATCTTATATTGTTCGTTTAACAAGTATGCTAACGCAATTGTTTGTTCACTGAGGCAATTGTTTATTTCACCAGCTCGCACTGACAGTGCGATGAGAGCAAAACGATCAGTAACTTTCAAGAATGATGCTTTGGACCACATTACAGAGCGTGGTTGGATACAGTCAGCGGGGCGTATGTTGCCCCCCCCCCCTGATGTAACCGCTGGTTGGATAGGGCTTCCTCTACCACCAAGCCTATGCATCTGAAATCAAATAACTGGCTGACTATTCCATACCCGATATGAACTGGTAACCGAATAAAAGGACATGGTTCGCGCCATATGATTAAGCTTTGGCATCGACGTTCCCCTACCACAGAATAAATATGTAAATCTCATCCTGACCATTCAATGGGACTTTTTTCGCAGTAAATTGAATGTGGGCTTGGCGCTCTCACCTATTCAGTAAGCTTACCTCACATCTCTTTTAGATAAATGCCCCTAAGCAGACCTTCTCATTTCTGCGCTGCTTTCATGTTAATAATTAGATCGAGTATACCTTGCTATCATGCTGCAATATACTGTATGCCATACTTAAATAAGGTTCAGTTTATTTGATCACAAAATGTAGCCTTTTTATCCATTTCCACAGAAACTTTTTTCAGAAACTAATATCACAAAAAGAACAGAAATCAGACTGAAATACATTTTACTATACTATATTATGTACACCCAGAAATAGAAGTAGTCCTCTCCATATCCAAGCCAGTGAGATTAGGTAGCCTATATATGCATGAAACAGCAGCACTGTCTTATTTTCACTAGAATTGAATTATTCTGACAAGCCGTGCCCTTTCAAAAGCTAATACTGTTTGCCAAGTACCATAAAGCTACTTAAACTAGTATAGAAATGTTATACATCAATACTCTAAGTGACAGAACTCAATAAATCTTTCTGGAGAGATTAGCTGCCTAGTCATAATCTCTTATCTCTCTTGTTTCATTCATAAATTTTAAAAAACTCTCACTGCAACATCCTTGCAATATATGCACATGGATCTGTCGGCACAGAAGAAGGATAAGTAGTTAGTCCCGTAGAAACCAAATTCACAGCATTTCTTATTTAATTCTTCATTTAGTTGCCATTTTCGTCCCATTCACCCATGGAGTTCTCAGTAAATGCAGGCACATTTAACAATTATTATTCCTATTTACCGATACTAGTTAGTCACCTACAATAGGTTTCTGAATTAAAATATACAAAGCATATTGAAAAGTAGTTTGCATGCATTTGTTGAAGACTTCAAAAGCTGAAGAAAGATCCACAGATGAAAGATTTACAGACTTTTCGTCCCACTGACGTCCACTTCATGAATTTTACTGGCAACTTGTTTTCTACTGTTACAAACCCAATTATCACAAATATAAATCAATGTATTTGTATATTATATTTTTAAACAACTCCCAAAGGGACTGAAAATCAAACCCGAACCGCCCTATGCCACCTCATGACCCAAAAAAGGTTGTTGAAGGTCTGAAATGAACTGACTGTGAAACAAAAAGTCTGTATTCCATCTGAAACACATCGTTGTAATTAAGGAGTCTGATGTAGTTTTTACAATTATGTGAAACTTGAACAATATGGATTTTTCCAAAGTAGCTATCTGTGGACAATTAAAGGGTTTCTTTCAATAGTGAGTGCCTCATGGAAGGAGTATTTTCACAACCTTTCTCTGGGCAGTTAGGGAAGTTGATGGGACTATAGCCCCCAGTGCGTTGTTTAGAGAAGGGGTTCTCAACCAGGGGTAAATTTTGCAGGCAAAAAATTCCCCTTCTCTACACTGAATAGGCTATAAGTTTCCTTATTAATGTAGCTTTTAAGCAGATTGCTAATACAGAGAAGACTGTCCGTAGATATGTGAACTCAATACAATGCTTCTACATTCATAACTTAACATTGAATTTTTTTTCTTCCAAATCTATTTTCGTATGGCATAGCAGGTATTTGTGATAGGAAAAATAGTAAGGGGAAAAATTCGATAAGGAATAAATGAGAGAATAAAGGCTGAACACCCTTGGTTTACAGTGTATTGTGTTGTCCTAATTTTGTGATATTACTTTACAACACACCCATATTCACTATAGCCCTTATAAATGACCCTAATTATATATTTGATAAATACATAACACAATAATAAACAGTATAACATATTATACCCAAGTCCAAATCTCTAGATTGCGTGCAGAAAAGTGACACTACATATAAATACAAGTGTAAGAAAAAATATATTTAACAGCTACGTTTAAACTGGAGTATCAACCAATTTAGCAATGTTTGTTTAATATAATAATAACGCAACATTGGTGAAATTTCCAGAGCTGGGCAGACTTGAGTCTTGGACTTGGCATGAGTTGGATATCATTTATCGGTGACTGAAAATGGCTAGGGTAGTCAGTGTTCTCCAACCTATTGGTTGCAACACAAAACTGGTTTACCTGGAAATCCTCCTCTTTTGCTTTTTATTTTTTTCATTTATCTCAATTTATAGTGAATTTCTTTGTTTGATTTTTATTTGGTATTTACGGTAAGTGTTTCACAATTGTACATGTGGGAAGTATCGCAGTATGAGTATGAGCAACACTAACCGTAATTGAAAATATTCTAGATCAGGGGTGTGCAACAGGCGGCTTTGGCTACGTCCCGGCCTGTCCAGCCATTCAGTGTGGCCCTTATGGCCCAAGTATAAAATCCCAATTTCTGTCAAAGCTGATGTTAACAAACTATGCAAAAAACTCAAAATTCCAAGTGTCAGACTAATGTTAAACAAGAGAGCTACGCCCAAATATATGGACACGTCTGTTCGCAGTACAGTTAGGTTTACCGTACCGTCAGATCACAGTCTACAAATATATTCACACCAAGCGAAGCAGTACAGTAGGACACAAAATGGCGGCCGATGTCCGCAGAACGTTCAGTGACGTCATAGCAAACAAAAACAAATCTCACAGAGCTAACAGAAATATTTGAAATAAATAAAAGTAATAGCCTTCTGGAGAAAAATTTCATCTTTAACCACTAAAAATTTCAAAGCAATTGGTCCAGTGATCGAAGAGGAAAGCGTTTTTTTAATATTTCCACTAGGTGTCCAAAAAGTGTCAAAGAATAACAAGAACACCATTACAACAAAACGATCATTATGTCCACTAAACGTGTCCAATAAATAAATGTTTGCATTGTGAGAATTTTTTTAAATTAGTTGTGTACATAGAAAAACTTTTTTGTGTGGCCTGGTCAGATGTCTGAAGTTGGTTATATGGTGCACCCCTGTTCTAAATTATTTTCAATTACGGTTAGTGTCGCTCATCCAGTATCCACCATATTTATCTCTTACAAAGTAATTTTTAACCAGTGATGTCCGATTTCTAGCTCCGAATGAGCAAAATTGATAAAAAATTGTCATACATATATAAAATAATATTAGAATTATTGGTATGCAATAGAAATATTTTTATTACGCTAAGTATTCATGATAGATTGTATTTGAATTACAGGCTTCTTGTGCACTGCAAATATAGTATGATTTAAAAACAAAAATATTATCAACATAATGTGGATCTTAGATAGTAACAACACAATTTCAAATGCGATTAGAAGCCATTAGAGAAAGAGATTTCCAACTTTCCAAGCTTTTTCTCCAATTTTTATTGTTTTGAAAAATAGCATCAAAATATTTGAAAAAAAAACGAAAACATTTTATTCATAAAATTTCTTTCATTTTCAGATGTAAAATGTAAAATTTGTTCCACCCACACCTGGTTTAAAGACCTATTTTCTGCACAGTTTACAGTCTCAAATTGTTGCACTATTAGCTACAAAATTGGCTAAAATTATTGTGCATGCTATTTGAAGTTTTTCACCTTTTTTCGATAATTAATACATAATGCAGTACACAGTTCATACTATTTCGTCTTTCAAGTATTTTTTGAATATTAATACATGATGCAATGAGTTTTACAATTTTTATGACATTACTCTTTCCCGGTTTTTAGAAGTCTGATGCATTTTTCAAGATTGTCGACAGCAGTAGGAATATCTTGATACATAATAGCACTTGTTGCATATTTGCAAAGTTTCTGTGCCTGGTTGAATTGCATGGGGGTCAATTCCGCTCCCCCTGTTTGAAGGTCGGAGTACGAAGGGGTGGGGTCTTCATAGGATGAAGGTGCGGGCTCAACAGGCTTACTGCGCGCTACTGGTTTAGGAGGCTCAGCTGGCGGTTGGGCTGGGCCTGCTGTTGGTACCGGTGGTGGTGCATACGACTCCTGGTGGCTTGTGCTGGGACCAGCAGCAGCATTTTCTAGCTCATCCTCCCAGCTGTCATCGAGCCCCCCCACTGGTCCAGGTTGTGGTGTTTCCCCGTTTTTCAAACAATTATGAATGTAAGTGGCCTTCCAACGAGCATATTTCCTATGATGGCTCGCCTCCTCACCTAATTCTTCACAAAGTCCTTCCGCAACGTCAAATAGAACAGACGACGTGTAGAATAGTCGTACGACGTTTTTTCCAAAATCAGAATTCCGATCTTTCGCGTCTGCAACACTGAATAGCTTCATTGCCTGTTCCTCAATTAGAGCTTCACCAACAACCTACAAACATAAAAAATAATGTGAAAATAATTTATAATCAGTAGCATATATTTTCACAATGCTGAAGAGGTGCAATAAACATACAGTATGTGAACACAAGCTAAAGAGATTCAAAGCTGGTTACTGGGCAGTGACATCCTCAACGAAGTCTAACAGAAAATGATTAGGGAAAAGTGGGACAATATATTGTCAAAAATATTCGAACCAGTTGAGGCAACCTGGTATAACCACCTGAATAAGCACCACATATAATCATGACAATTGCATTAGAGAATGTATTTACCTCTGAAGAAACTTGCTCTTTTCTTTCAGGGTCGACTGATAAAACAGCTTTTTGTTTTTCAAGCGATGTCATTAATTGGATCAAATAACTTTTGCATTCGGGCGATTTTGAATCAATTTTCATCCCTGTTTGCATGGCATGCATATCACAGTAATATGCAGTAACTGGATCCTTTTTTCGCATGTCATTCGCGACCTTTAGGAAAGGTTGAATCGCTTTCAGCTTTAGCGGCAACTGAGCCATGTTGCTAACTATATGACAAAAACTATCTAATGCTGAAAATATAGAAATTGAAAAGTAAGAGCAAATTGACCACCTTTTAATGATTTTAGAGATTACCACTTTGCTAATAGTTTAGTTCTGAAAGCAGAACCTAAAAATTAAAATAAGGCACTACCTAAAATCAAAACTAAAACAAGTACCGTAAACGCAGGTAACTTCGGATGGTTTATAACTTCGGATGAAATTTTCAATCGTTTATATCTCGACTAAATTACGTCATATTCTGCTTCTGGCAGTTTCTATAGAGAGTCCTTATATATCTTAATCTCTTATCATATTCAGTCGCCTAATAGGATTTATTTTTTGACACAAAAAATCACCTTTTTGCCAAAAATTGACACCTCGCTTTTGAGCGGCTAAAATAGCGACTTCTATCGACGCTAACTTCACTAAAAGACCGTCAATCGCTAGAGGGCATACACAATGTACAAGGAAAATTACAGTGATCACGAGATGTCGTACGAGATTCAAGTAAAATATATTATTTTGATTTAAAAATTTCGTCAAAATATCGACGTTACGGTGCTTACGCTGAACGTGACGTCAACAACGTGATTCAATTTCGCTCCATTTAAGGCCGACGTCACATTGCGTAGCTCGTGCGTAACTCGCTGCGACATTTGAACGCCAGACTATGTGGCGCCACGTGTAGTTAAATATAAAGTGAAAACTCCTACCTGATCCTCGTCACCAAATCCTACAAAAACTTAATTATAGCCCCGGTCATATGCTGTTTATTTATTGTGAATCCGATTAATGCACATTAAATTTGTGTGTTAACATTTCGGCATTCTTCGACCGTATAGATGTTGTTGATACGTAAGGCTGATGAACAGCCAGATACGCGTATCTATACTATCACAATGACAAGGTTTTACGATCGGCGATGATAATATATTAAGAGTAGAATGTTGCACAGGTGAGCATGAAACTCTGCACAGGTGCACACAGCAGGAGATTGGAGGTTTTTGGCGTTTTTATCCGTTTCATGTCTATCTGCCTGTGAATACATTATATCTGAATTATCAACACGGCCACAAGCTACACTGTTCCATATTGTTGTCCACTTCCATTTTTTTTACTTTTACTACCTACCGTAATTCATCATCCATTTTTCTTTTTTATTATTTTCATTCGTTTCATTTTTGTTTTGTATTAAAAATTGTTTTCCATTTTTACTTTTACGACTTATTTTATTCGTCCGTTTTTTATTTTCATTTGTCCCATGTTGTCTCATTTTTGTTTCGTATTGAAACGATCATAATAGCAAGATATAGCACTTTCATGAAATTAAGAATAGTCAAGAGATAAATGGTTTAGTTTTGCGAAACGTCAGGAATAGGGCTGGGCAAAATTATTACATGCGTTGTATTTTGAAGCATTTAGCGGTAATAATTATGGCGCGACACTGTCAAAATCGTCGAGTAAAGTGCTGAGTTCGCAAATTCCGCAGATAAAATTGTGAATTAGTCGGTAACGGTTTTAGCTATAATAACCGTTGGGGTATTGTTTTGTTCAAAAAAAAAAGTTAAAACTTGAGGGAAAGACGAAAAGCCTTATGACAAGTATAAATGCATAACGGCCGATTTATTCAATCATTATTATAAATAAAAATTCAGTATTCGCACAATCGCGGGTGCAAAGCATAACAACATCAATCATCGTCTTAATAAATATCTCCATCTCGGCGACGATAATAATATCACCGTTCGCTTTAAACTCGAACGATTAATAGTATACAAACGGTGATAAGTAAGATCAAAGCCAACACGTAAGATTAAATCAGAACAAAATTAATTTGGGTTTTGAAATCAGTCCTTCTTGTCTTCAAGAGCTGTTGCCGATGTAAACACACGGGTACACCAGATATATAAAACTTTGATGTCCGCCGACCCGGAAGAATTAATAATCACAAAAACGGCCGTCATAGATGAACGTCAGTGTGCGACACGCAAAACGAATCACGGCGTCGTAAGTTCTACGCAGCGACGTTATCACGCGTCACTGATCACGCAGACATTTCTCTCTCACGACGAAGTGACGCAAAGCGAAAAGTGGCCATCCGAAGTTATAAACATTTGGAATACAGATCGGCAGGCAAATAAAGTCAATAATTTGAATGAAAAAAAGTATTGATTGATATGAAACCGAGTTTATCGCGAGGAGAAAGGCTTCAATGTATTATATTCCAAGTTTGGCTTCAATTGAACAATAAACGGCGGAGAAATTGTTCATAATATAGTGAAATCATCCGAAGTTACCTGCTTTTACGGTATTAGAGATTTAGAGTACCCAGTTCCTGTGCTCAAGTAAGCTCTTTTCAAATTTTTTTCACAACTTCATTAATCATCATTCAACACAGTGAAACCAATGCAGTCTAAATCACATTTGTCAAGAATGGAGTGTTTCATCTTTTTTTCGTTATGAGCATCTTTCTGTCTGGATTTCGAAGGTGTACGGTAACTGTTTTTCAATATTTGTTACATGCACTTACTCATAAGTAAGGGCGACTCATTTTGAGCAAAGTTATTGGATGTCTATTAAATCCAGAGACTCAAGTAACTAGCCAACGTAAAAGAGAGACTGTGGAGGTTCGAATATCACGGGGATAATTATGAGCTGGTACCTGATCGAGAAGCTGTGGCTAGCCATACGATTAAACAGTCTGTAAAGGCTTTCCTCTACCGTACCCCGGTATTGATACTGAGATATGTAAATTCTATTCCAACATTAAAACTTCTTGGTGTGCGCATCGTGCTAAGCGTTGTGAGTACGATTGCCACCGCACCTCTGATTATCCTGCTGTCCTGCGTGGGTTCGAATTCAGTGGGAATAATTATGTGCGAGACGATTGATGGACTCCCAGCCGCTATCGTTTAGTCTGTAAGTTCACGTACCGTAACCGCCTGTCAGTTACTTCTTCCTCCATCATTAAGCCCATGTATTTGAAACAAATAATTAATAAATAGTTTTGCACTCTCCTTCGGGATGACTACGGAAATCTCATTATTATATCTAATGCGACAAAAACAGCGAACAAGAAGAAAACAAACTTCAGCCTAACATCACATGACAAGAAAGGGAAAATACCGAAATATCATCTTGCCATATTTACTAAAAAGAATCATGACAAATTTCCGAATTTATTTTTTATGATAAAATAAAATGTGAGAAACTAACACTTAAATTGCACTCATCATCTTTCACCTTACCGCGCGATAAAAGTAGTTGTCATTTAATGTTGCGATACAATGGAATAATTGTTGGCTTAAAACTTAATCTCACAAAAATGTGGCATCCTAAACTTTGTCGTGAGACGGTGGGCCAGCGACTCTGCAAAGCGGTCAAATTAATTTTCTTCTTTTAATGAATGAATGGAAATAAGTTCAAAGCCCTTTATTATTAAAAGTTGAACTTAGTCGCTCAGATTTGAAATACTAAAGGATAAAGAATCTCAAAATCAAAGTTTACAACATACATTCTCTATATCGAGTACCTTGCACAAACTTAGAGTATGATACCGTACATATAAGCAATAAATACGAAACTCATAGGTTATATATGGAATTAATTAGGATTAGGATAGGATTAGGATTTACATATTTATCCCGGGGAGAGGAAAGCCGATAAGACGGTTTATCCATATGGCGAACCACGGCCTCTCGTCCGGTTACCATTCCAAGTCGGGTATGGGATTAGTTTTACTGTATTGTTTGTTTTCGGAAACATGGACTTGGTGGTGGAGGAAGCCGTAACCGACCAGCGGTTACGTGAACCACCCAACGACTGCGAGGAGTCCAGCAATCCTCTCGCATATAACCATCCCTACATGGGATTCGAACCTGCGAACCCACGCAGAGTAATTAGAGGTGCGGTGGCGAGCGTATTCCTAACGCTTAAGGCCAACTCACACACACACCGACCATTCCGACCTCTCCGACGCCGCCCAAATTGATAACAAAAACAATTGAAGGGTGTTCACACTGTGAGCGTGCGAACGGAATTTCGATTTGTCAAATCGACAAACTCGCGCAAGAAGCAATTTCGTCGAAGTGCCTGACCACACATCGACGAGTTGTCGTTCTCTGTTTGAACAGTGGCCTCGCTTTTGATTCGACCTCGCTGCCTTGCGTTTACCTGGATTGCCGTTGGGTTCCAGTACCAGTATCGACAGTTGAGAAATATGAAAGCATCCATGAGTAACAAACAGAAGATTTCGCTGTTATATCTGCTGCGGCAAAAACGTAGGCGCCGTAAAAGGCTTTACTGGGTCCATCCCATACTACAGAGAAGAAATGAGTTAGGTAAGTTGTTTTAGTCAATACCGGTACCGGTAGTAACGGTACGTACAGGGCTGGCAAAATACGGTAATACAGTAATAGCCTCTCACTCTTCATTTTAAAGTCTGTATACCAGTACTGCAGTAACAATATTTCATTTAACAGGCGAATTCAGCAGACTCGTGAAAGAGCTAGAGTTGGAGAGAGAGTCTTATTTCTTCCAGTACTTTAGATTGTCTACAGAAAAGTTTAGGGAGCTTGCCCGACTTATAGGCCCAAAGATCGCCAGGCTAGATACAAACTGGAGGAAATCGATATCAGCCGAGCAAAGGCTAGCAATAACATTGAGGCAAGATCATTATTTTACAGAAGTCTTGGCTATATTATGACTAGAAAATCATATAATTTTATTTTTTTCAAGATCTATTCCAGGAGCATTTTATCTAGCGTAGGCAGTGTTGGTGTTGGTAAACTTTTCATATTGGATATTGCCTAAGTAAAGTTTATGCATTACAGTTCAAAATGTCTGTACTCGTACTCCAGTGCCGTTGCCATTTTGTTACTCATCGATCTTAAGATCGGTAAGTATGTTGATAGGTATTTGTCTGTATGTCTGTCTGTCTGTTAGATGAACGGGATATCTCACGAACGCGAGGTTGAATCTGCTCCAAATTTTGCATGTGCATGCATTATATCTCGGACCAGAAGAGTATAAATTTTGGATGAATTATGTCGTATAATTAGCGAGTTATTAATGAATTACCGATCTAAGATCGATAAGTCTTCGGTCTCCGACCGATATTCTCGTTTACTTTTTAATATTTTAAACGAGATATCGGTCGGAGACCGAAGACTCATCGATCCAGACTTCTGATCCGAGCTATGCCGAATGCGCATGCAAAATTTGTAGCAGATTCAACCTCGCGTTCATGAGATATCGCGTAAATCTAACAGACAGACAGACAAATACTTACCGATCTTAAGATTGATAAGTAATAAGATTAAGACTGTGCTGAATGTAGAGTTACTTAATCATCTCATTGTGCAAGTCTAATCCTAGTCAGTACATATTCAGGTATATTTCTAGTTGTTACCGTTATAAAACTGTGTATTTTTCCACAGGTTTCTTGCTACTGGGGACTCGTACCGCACAATTGGAACATCATACAGAGTCGGGTGGTCTACAATTTCAGGAATTGTTCCTGACACGTGCAAAGCTCTGTATGATGTTCTTCAGCCTTTACATATGAGTGTACCCGGTAAAAAAGAATGGAGATCTATTTGTGACAATTTTTGGAATAAATGGCAGTTCCCAAATTGCTTGGGTGCCATTGATGGGAAGCATGTGGTCATACGCTCACCGGCTAATTCAGGCTCGAAATACTTCAACTACAAGGGTGCTTTTAGCATTGTGTTGCTAGCCGTTGTAGATGCAGAGTAAGTATACTAAAAATGTGTTAAGATCGTAATCGACTTTTTTTGCGAAAAATAATGTCTATTCCTCCGCATCATCTGAAAGTGGTATGTAATAGCAGAAATTTTGTGTAAGTGGCATTGCATTGAGTGCACACTAAAAAACTATCATGCATTATCATATTGAATTATTTTTAAGCTAGATTTGAATTAACAAACTAAAATTATTTTGAATAACTTATCACCCAATTTATTAGCCAAACACTTCTTTTACAGTTACAAATTTATACTCATCAGCGTTGGGGGTTATGGAAGACAGTCAGATGGTGGTACTTTTGCAGACTCTGAATTGGGACATGCAATCAAGCATAATACTTTAAGCATACCAAACCCAAAACCTTTGCCTGGACAAAATGACAATCCTATCCCCCATGTTTTTGTGGCGGATGCCGCTTTTCCACTTAGCATTCATCTGATGAGGCCTTATCCTGGAAAATGCCTTTCAACCAAGAAAACTGTTTTTAACTATAGGCTGTCAAGAGCAAGACGGACTGTTGAAAATGCGTTTGGTATTTTATCCCAACGTTTTCGTGTTTTTCTAAGGCCAATTGCCGTATTGCCTCACAGAGTAGACATTATTGTGAAGGCTGCTTGTTGCTTACATAATTATCTACAAGTGGGAAAAGATGGAATTGGAGGTGAAGCTAACAACATAGCAGACGCACAAAGGCTGGAAGGCATGACACGAACTGGGTGCAATGCTTCTACCGCAGCACTGAATATACGCGAAAACTTTGCGGACTATTTTGTGTCACCTGTTGGATCACTGTCTTGGCAGTATTCCTAGTTTTTATAGTACCTTTGAATAAAAACAATATTGCAAAATGTTCTTGTGTAACAGTGAAGTATTGGGTATTTCCTAAAATTGGGTAATGCTAAACAAGTACCATTACCATAGCATGTATTACCCCCATCCGCCCTGCAGGGTTTTTACAGGGCGGGATCTACAGGCTTCTAAAAAGAACGTGCCATCAGATTCCCCAAATATTAAGCAACAACATTTCCAAAGCAGGCTTTTATTGATTTTGAGACAAAATGTGAAATAGCCCCCAAACGTAATGTTACATGCCTAGATCCCCATATTTGGCCTCATGCACAATTCTCTGTATTTCGCATTTGACAAACGACCTGCTTCTCTCATCTAGGCTTCGCAACGAAAAAGCAAGGCTGGAGCAATAATGGTCTTCTGCATCCAATTTACCATCTGTGAATACAAAATGAGTAAAATTTTAATTCATGCAACTGGCTAAGTGGCTATATTTCAAATTTTTTTCGGAGGACTTGTAGTTAGGCGAAAAACTTGAAATTTATGACTGATCCGAATAGGGTTTTTATTTATTTTTTTGATGCTCCGCGCCTCCACCTCCAGAACTTTACTTGCCAATGTGGTGTTCAGTAAAGGGAAAATACCCAGGTACGTATACTACGGTAGCAGACTTTTTTCAATATCAGTATTGACACAAGAGAAGAGGTTTATAGGATTTTACATATTTATCCTAGGGGAGAGGAGAAAGCTGATAATATGGCTTGTTCATATGGCAAACCAGGCCTCTCGTCCGATTACCAGTCCAAGTCTGGTATTGGATTAGTCGGCATGGACTTGATAGTGAAGAAAGTCGTAACCGACCAGCAGTTACGTGAACCACCCTATAGCGGCGAGGAGTCCAGTGATCCTCCCGCACATAATTTGCCCCCACAGGATGCGAACCCACACAGGGTAATCAGAGGTGCTATGGTGAACAAATTTCTAACAGCTTAGTACGATGCGACACACCACCAAGCTTTATATTTGAAATTCCATATTATTTTTCCATACCTCTCACACATTCCAGGATGGCCTCGTCTATTTTGTCAGGTGTATTTTTTTTGGGGCGCTTTGGGGTCAAATTGGTATAATCGATTGAATCTGTATAACTCGGTGACTGAATTGACAACTGAACTTCCTCAGAAGATACTCCTTCATCAATTTCACTTGAATCCGTTGTCAAATTTCCAGAAGTACTGAAAAATAAAATTGATGAAGCTTAGTTGCGGAGATATAGGTAATAACAAATCTCTGATTAAGCAGACTGTCCTAACAATCATCCATTTGATAACAGATTATGATAGGAAATGCAGAAAAACATAGATTGCTGCGGAAATCTATCTGCTGCCATTTGAACATTGAATTCACATGATGACAAACATGCGAGTATTTCTATCCAGCCAAACAAAACATTTCTATAAAATACCTGACTGACCTTCTTGGCTGGACATGTGGCTCTAAAAACTCCAAGGCATGCATGAACTGCCATCTCCCTCCTGATGCTGCCCCTGCACCACTTCTGTGTAAATCTCTCTCTTTCCTTTTTTCCCTCATATATCTTTCTCTCAACTTTGACCACAATTTTTTGACCACATCAACTGAATAAGCAAGAAACTAAAAATGTATTGCTATTTTGAGTTGCCCTATTTGCCTGTCTAAACACTAAGATGTTGTTCAACTATTATCCACGGAACTTCCTCGCTCAATAGGCTATGCCCGGGCTACTCAACTATTTTTGCCAAAGGTCCAAAAACAAAACTTGAAAATTCCTGGGGTACGGTCTGACCAAAAAATGCATTTCATACTGCGCATAACTATATTTTAGTGACTATATCTTTTCGCTTAAAAAGTTAAGGAAACGAGAGTTGTGAAAAACTGACTAACCGCAAAATATTCCACATCCTTTTACATATCCAAAGTTAAATGGAGACAATCCTCCAAAATAAAAAAAAAAACAGACGCGGTCTGAATCGAATACATTAAAGTTCCGGATTCGGACCGCGGTCCGCTAGTTGATTAGCCCTGGGCTATACTACCAAGAGGATCCAAAATATCACAGGAAATATTTAATTTAACTATCGATTTGGCGGGTCCCATGTAGTTTCTCACTCTTCTATCTGGCGTGGCGTAAAAATGTTCGCATAGGTAAATTCTAACCCCCACCTGACTATGCCATCCAAAATTATGTTGTAAACAATCGCCCGAAATGTCATCTGTGCAACAATAAACAACTCACTAACCCGGCAACTCTCTCGTATCAGGATTGTTACGACGAAAAAGCGAGAGAAATAGCTAGCTTGATCTTGGGTGAAAGTCTGTGCATGTTGAACGACCATTTTGGTTTGGAGGGCCATATTACGTCACTGTGACGTCGAAGTGGCATAATTTTTGGACGACGTAGTCAGGTGGGGGTTAGGATTGGCATAAGCAAAAATTGTCGAGCCAGACCAATTAGAAGTACATGAGGTAAGAAACTACTCGAGGCCCGATTCGGCTAGATATAATTGGAACTTTGTAACTAGCTTGTGCATTATTAATAGACCCATAATGTGGTGACAATATGGATCGTTGTGAAGGTTGAAACTGTAAAGTACTCTGGAGACATGTGATGGATGTGCACTAATTCAAGAAATGGTCTCCACTTACCATTAGTGTTCATTGCCGATGCGATAGATCTCCAAGTTATATCTCGAAGGTTGCTGTTCCTATAACTTTTTATTGATGAGTTATATAGATGTGGATGTTGCTCGACAAGGCCTATAAGCATGCCCTCATCTAGAACTATGGTGATCTGTCTGCAAAATGAATGATCGGTATTACAATATTAAGGTGTCTTGTTAATTATTCAAGAGCTATTCCAGATACATGCTCAACAGGCTACATGCATTCCTAGTACTGTAGTAAGCAGTAAAAATATAAGAAAGGTCTGAAGGTAGTGATGTATCGTAAAGCCGTATGAGAGTTATAGAAAGATATTTTAGGATAGGATTTACATATTTATCTTGGGGGAGAGGAAAGCTGATAAGACGGCTTATCCATATGGCGAACCACGGCCTCTCGTCCCGTTACCATTCCAAGTTGGGTATGGGATTAGTTATATTGCTTATTTTCGGAAGCATGGTTTATTTTGGTCATCACGTCCATTCATCCAAACTCAGATAAGGAGGATTTACATATTTATCACGGGGGAGAGGTATGTGTAACCTGGTAACGGTATTCCAGGCATGTCACAGCAATAAATATCAGAATATTGGGCATGTCAGCCTGTGGTAGTAACACCAGACTGACAGATAACCATACAGTAATAGCTGTGAATTGTCTGAGCCTGCAATAACCGTAGTGCTTTAATTGAATAAAAAATATGAGAAACTCACTCGTTCAGTTCCATCGTTTTTGTGACTTATTTCTGCAGTCTCGCTAATAAGCAATTTCTAGGCCACCGTATAGTATAAAAACTGAATAAGAAAACAAATCGTTTAGTAACTTATGCAGTAGGATACGGGTAATAAGCTAGCTAACAACTTACATTGCAATTACCGGTACAGAACACGGCAAAACACGCGAGCGCAATCGCACCGCGGCTGTGTGACAGCAAACGTGCGAATGCAAACCGACTGACGAACCGTGTTGCCTCATCGACAGATTGTCGATCAGTGGGATGTGTGTGTGAACGTGACGATGGCCGATGTCGAAACGATTTGTCGGTCGGTCGAATTGGTCGCTCTGTGTGTGAGTCGGCCTTTAGCCCGTTGAGCAACACCGCCGCGCCTAATGATAAAAATAGAAACTTTTTTAAGACTAATATTGCGAACTAAGCATCAACTGAGTTTTATTTGGTTATAAACACACTGCTAATGAATACTAGTGGCTCGCAATTTTGTCCCTCAGTGGAAAAACGCCATGAAATCGAAAAATGATGCCTTGTACCAGTATATCAGCTTTGTGTGAGATAGTGTCTCAATTCATTCATGTATAATATACTTGTTGATCAATTACTATTTATTTCGAAGCATGATTTTAATTGTTTGTGGCATTTTTTAAAAACGGGATATCTATACCCACCATAAATGGTAGTATAATGCACTAAATTGAGTCAAAATAATTGATTTGACAGATCATTCACGATTTTGAAGAAGTTTCGCTTTGGTTGCCGCATTGCCCTGGTTGTGGCATTGCTGGTTTCAGCGAAACTCAGATTGTGATGGCCGTTTATCTGCCGGTCTCTTGTGTTCGTGTTGAGATCTGGTCGTTCCATTGGCCGACATTTATTATTGTATAATATAATTGGCATGGAAATTTTTATTATTCGGTAATTGGTTGTCGTACGTAGTAAGCCGACGAATGAAACTTCATTGAGTTTTTTACTGTGAAAAGATAAACCGATAGAAGTGGCTCTAGCTCTCTTTAGCAGCCCTATTCGGAGATTAGGCCATGTTTTTTATGAATCTCTGGTGTAGAAATTCTGAATTCACTGGAGTCAAAATTCGATTCGGAGTCGGATTCAATTTTTTTTACAATCCGGAGACGAGAATTGGAAACAAAATTTTTCGGATTGAGAGCAGATTCTAAATTTATCAACTCCTCAGCCATATGCTTTGCTTATGAGTGAGTGCCAATAAACGAAAGTTAAATAGCAAAACACGCTTGACTGCCTAGGGAACCCCGATTTATAAAGCGTTATCAAAATACTATATTAAATGTTTTAAAAAAGCACCCTCTAATAAACCAGTGGTTATCAAACTCTTTAAGCCGCGCACCCTTTATAGAATTTAACAAGTCTGCAGCTCCACCTGAAAAAATAACTAGCTAACAATAACCAACAAGTAACAGATAGTAAGGCGAAATATGTTTAATTCAAAAATACGTTGAAAATACGTGTACCTATTAAAAAATATAAACAATAATAAAATGTTAATATTCAAAACAAAGCGGGCAAAATCAAATCTAACAAATAATTTTATTTCGAATTTGCTTCACGCCGCTCAAAAAACGGTCTACGCGCCCATCGTTTGAGAACCACTGCTCTAAACGCATATTAATGCGTTTTAATTTACGGCTTTTCAGTTTTGAATGAGATCGTAGAGGCTGTTGGGTGGAGATTTAAACAGGACTGTAACACGGAGCCATTTAAAGTTGGCTACCACTTCTGACTCCACATTAACAAGAATTTCCGTTCCGAAATCCACGAACCAAAGTTCGATATTAGTCAAATGTATTTACCAACCAGTAAAAAATAATATACGAAATCGTGAAAAAATGAATGAAGTTCTACACTCGTTTTTACTGGGGGAAAGGAAGCCGCGGAGAACCAAAACTGGTTACCGAGCAAAGACACCCATGACTCAATATCTTATCAAATTTGTAGACAGTGGCGTATGTAGGGTATGACAGCTATGGCTCGTGCCATGAACGACGTTTGCATTGGGGCGCAAAAAGAGCGAGAAGTTCCTTTCGTAAAAGTTTTAATAAATTCATTTCAAATCGGAAATATATGAAAATCGTACTTTCATGAAGTTATCAACAATTATATTCCAGTTTCCATATATGCGACTTTTTCTGGAAATGCTAAAAAAATCACCCATGTTCGCCAAACTCGGTTCAGCACTCAGCAGACAAATAAACTGCCGCTCGCAAAATTATGTTTTCGAATAAGAAACAATAACACATTTATAGCAAATACAATATGTGAAATCCTGTTAGTTTTTCCAGCGCACTTAGCAACTCGCTGCGGCGCACCCTTTGGAAACTGCTGCCATAAGATAGATAGATAGATAGTTTATTTCGAAAACTCCATAACAAACCTAAATTTAAAATGGAGAATTCTGGAGGGCAAGCAAAACCTGCAAAAAAGTTTAAAACATGAAGTATCTCATGTGCCTGCCCACCAGCACGCACACAAAAACACAAGCCCAATTAAATGAAGCTTGGGCCAAACTTAAAAAACAAAATACACGATAGTAATAAACTTTCGGGCTGTTGTACTCTCTTTCAACAATTACGTTGATAATGACCAATACCTACAACCTCATGCAAAGATAATGTGGGGAGTGGAATGTAATAAATTTGCGACGATAGTCATACTCATGAAGCCATGAAAGCTTTGGGAAAAACCAAGCCACGAAAAACTACACTGATTGCTAGATTGGGCATTGCGGAAAAGGTGATAAGTGGTTTCATATACAAACAAACGCAAAACCATGGCGGCAAATTCGGTGTGCGGACACTCATAAAAGCAATTATTAGGAAAAACACTAATCACACGTGAGCAGGTCTGTAGCCTAATTGATACATTGACGTGGCCAACATTGTTAAAACAGTACCGGTATACACACAGAGAGAACAAATCAAAAATATGCCACTAAATGAATGTTTAAAAATGTTACACTGTAAGTTACACTGCAAACTATTTACACATATATAGTTGAATACTCAGTATTCAAGCGGAATTTCTAGAAATAGCAGTATATCATACTCTTTGTCACAAAATAAAATATCTGAATCAATCCCTGTTGTATTCATCTTTCGATTCTGTTATGATGTCCGTATGTTGTCTTTATGCTGCCATGTAATTTCATATTTCGGCCTTTACTTGTTGATATTCCTTAAGTGCTGGTTCATTGTTGTCAATCTAATCTTTCTGCGCCGTTCAAAAATGCGACCGCACCCGACGACTGCCAAACACAAACTTTAAATCCAATCTTTTATCCATAAACTTCTTTAATTCCGGTGGATGGGTCTTGATCATGTTGATATCACGATAATAAAAGATTATATATACGACATACTGTGGAGAGAGGGTCTGTTATATAAACTATTCAAAATTGAAGTGCGTGGCAGTATTCATCAATGGATTAGATTATTTCTCACAACACGCTCATTTCAAGTCAGAGTATATTCGTCGATGTCGGCTACAAAAAAAAAAAAAAAAAAAAAAAAAAAATATTATAATATTATAAATAATATATATCACAACAGTGGAGCGTTAGTAAGTTTATCCCATTATTTTGAAATATGAACGTACGTGTGCCGAGTTTTAAACGTGAAATGCCTGAAAAATATTCTGATTCGATTCCAACTGTAGCCCAAATGTAAATCTAACGTCTTTTCACGATCCCACGCATGACTGTATAATAAACATATGGTAATTTAATTTTCAAACGTTTCCTGCATGCAGCGTTCCTCTCTATTGTGACTCATAATACTCATAAAACTATACGGAAGGCTTCTATGATTCAATAATTCTGGTGATTATTCGGAAATAAACTCAATTTACTTTGGCGTGCTTCGAACAGTAGCAAAGTAAAAGCTTTCACATATGGACTGCGCTTCCATATACTGTTTTTACGCATCCCAAATCAAATAAAGAAAGAAAATCGCTTTTTTAGGATGAGGGTGTGGTATTGAAAAGATAAATTTTAGTCGACAATAGGCTGTTACGTATAATATATGCAGTAGATCGAGAGTTAGTGGGTTGTGGTATCATTGACAGAATTTTAGAAAGGCTAGGACAGTCGGCGCTCCAGAAGTATCTAATATGGATGTTACTAATTTTGTTAGATTACTTTGCATCAAGTTGTGTAAAAGACTGAGACCTATGAGCAGGGGGTATATTCACTTGGCTAACACGGACAGTCCCCGAACTCGTAATAGAACTAAAATAAGGAAAATCGAGAGTTAGTGGGTTGTGATATCACTGACAGAGTTTGAGAAAGGCTAGGAAAGCCGGCACTGCAGGAGTATGTATACCAATATTGAGTTAACTAATTTTGTTCGCCTACTTTACCTCAAGTTGTGTAAAGGGACCAAAGCGTATGTGTAGTGGGTGGGTATATTTACTTGGCTAACACAGACAGTCCCCGAACTCACAATAAAACTAAAATATGGAAGATTGGAATAAAATTATGGCCTAACCCTAACCTGGTACACACACAACGGGATAATAATTTTGTTAGACATTGTAAAAGTATTTTGTAAGTTAGCCTTGCTTACGGCATATTATACGGATTATTGTCACCTGAGAGCGGGTTTATTAACATACACATAAACGGATATCGCGGTCTAAGCTATTGTCTCTTCTTCTATCTAATATATAGGGCGTTCATGACAGATGTATTGAATGAAGTAGAAATACTAAATATACTTGAATAATTACTGATTAAAAACAATAAACCTGGTTGGAAATGTTTTGAGAACTGATTTCATAACAGAATTGGAATTGTAAAAGATCTGCCAATGACCTTGGGATCTACAAATGACCTTGACATCTGTTTCCCGCCAAGATTGACAGTAACCCTTAGACATCGGAACTTATTATATCTATACACCATCACTCATAGCAAAACTATAGGTCAGGGTCGGCCAACCTTTTTGGCCAACGGTTCACATTTAGTTTATCTAGTTTTGCTACACTGACTAAAAGTTAATGACAAAAAAGTTAAAAGTCAAAAACAAACAAAACCCTCGCATCAAACTTTCTCAATAATAAGAACAATATAAAACAAAGATACTGTACAGTCAACAAAGGTATTTCTACGCGTAGATATTTTGGTGTGAAGTTTGGCACTGTTTTTCGCTAACAAGTTTTCAATATTCGCTGAAATGGACGATGTAGCAATGCGAAGCCAATTTTTTATATGATTGTCAGAAATTAGTGATCTCATTTGCTTGGACAAGTACGTGCTGACAAATAATGAGGTCATTAAAACTGTCATTCTGTCAATCCTCTGAAATTCTTTCTTTAGAGACGTATTTTCTGTAAAATTGAGTAATGGAAGTCTTTAAACCTCTCCCTTACATCAGACTGTTAATTGTACGTTATTTAGGCGCCAAAGCAATCCAAAGTTGTCAACTCATCAATATTTTGCTTAATTGCCAAAACATTAAGGATTTTATGCATACCACGCCTAAACACACAGCATTGGCAATTATCATTTATGCCCCCAGCAGGTTTGACCAAGTAATATCTGGTTGGTGCTGAATTTGAATGAGAAAAGAAGATTGTCTGACAGATAATATAACGTTAAAGAGAATAGTAAAAAACCCAAGTATGTAAGCGACTATTTATATATCGATATCTTCCAGTTGGTTTAGATTCAAAATTGCACTCATGGCTCATGGTTTGAAAGGGCTAGCATAGCGCATTTCAGGAAAATGAACAAATTGTTTGTATCAATAATAATACCAATAACTACATCACTTGAAAAAATAGAAGTTTTACTTACTATTTTTTTTATTTATTTCCGAAAATACAGCGCGGGCCACTCGAAACTTCTAGGCGGGCCACATGTGACCCGCGGGCCACGGGTTGGACGAACCTGCTATAGGTTATTGATGAGATCCTAGACATCTTTCCATACAGTCTGTTAGTTGTTACTTCCAGGTTAAGATGGACACCCTGTACTTAAAAATGTTCACAGTTCAAAATGTAGAGACAGATATTCAGTAGTTATGTCTCATTCAGTTACTTTACTTTTACAAGTATCAGCGTTGTAGTTTCGCCAACACTATACATATGCAAATTCAAAGTTTATAATTCCAACTCTGGGAATTTGACAATAAGACTCCGATTATACTTTCATTAAAAAAAAACTACGTTGATAATGACAACTCACATTTTCTATTATTAGTCTATTAAGATGTAAAAAGCAAATAGTTGTTTCTCTAGTTTTGTATTCATTATGTGGAATTAAAGCTGAATCATGACAAAAGAACTTCTGGCGCTTCTGCTCATAAGTAAGTTACTCTTATGTTTTTTGCGTAACTTTAAATTTGGTCTGTGAATTGTTTTATCAAGTAAAATAGGAAATCGTATAGTATTGCTACAGTGAAAGTTCAAGAATTTAGATACCAGGGTCTTACTTGCTGATTTTCTGTCTAGTCCAGGGGTGGGCGAGCCCATTTATTCGGCACGCGAAACGAGATCATTCTCCTTCAGATATTCTACATAACATAAAAAGTTTTAAGACTGATGTAGCTGATGAAACTCGATGTTCATTCATTCGTTACTGTTTGTTAATAATCCGTTATTTAAACTCGTTTTGTCCTTTCATGACATAAGCCTACAAAGAAAAAATATATTATGAAGTAACAACTGCATGCGCTCTCGGCAAACCATACTTCAATATATTATTAAGTAAATAAAAAAACATTTGAATATTCAGAAAATAGCTCATATGCCGGTGAAGATGATCAGTCAAATACATAACACATTTTTAGGTTTCAAACAGTTTTGTCACTAATAACAAAATATCTACCACCCCCTTAAGTTTCACCCCCCCCCCCCCCCCTAAAATAAAAATTTGGGGACATACTGGTTCAAGTATCACGGTGCCACAGATTATGCTTGTTCCAGTCAAGGTAGCGATATTGATAATGCCCGAAAGTTAAGGTTTTGTAATAAAATGAATCCTTCCTTACATTTTATTATCTTTAACGAATTCCAAAAACAAAGCTGCTAAAGTGAGGTAAACAGAATAAACACGACGAACCTAGGTTACGTTCAGATCTTGCCAAACCTTTCTGCTGCCCAAGGTAAATTTCTGACATGATGTACTATAGTTTAAACAAACTTTGAAAACAGTTCGGGGGATAAACAATCTGAAATTTTTATTTGCCATGTTAGATCGAAACAGCTAGCGAGACCGGCCGAACGCCGGAAAAAGTGTGCTTTAATGAGTCTTGATGGTTCAAAAAGTGTTCAAGCTACGAAAAATTGTTATGTATAATACATTACATTTCAAAAGGGAGGGGAGGGGGGAGTCGACCCCCAAAACCACCCCCCTATCTGACCATGATGATACAACAATGATATCCCAAAATAAAACTGTGACGTCATATTTTTATTTCTCAAGGTCTATTATGGCTTCCATTCTCGTCGGCAACTTGCTCTATATTCGGCGGAAATTCAACAACGAAACTTTCAAACCAATCAGGGGAATTTAAAGGAATGGGAAAATTCCACATTAACGACACCTGCACATGGGAATTCACCGACCCCGGTTACAAGGGCGGTGTTTTCCTTCTCAAGATCAAATACCTATTTGTTCGTCACGTTACCTCATCAATTTGTGCCGATGGCTTCTTTAAGCTCCCAAACGGTGAGAAACATACTTAGATCACATGGAAAGTTTTTTCCTTTTTCAATTGTTTTTTTTTAACAATTTTACGAAGAGACATGTTTGAGGAGAATATAAGCAAAACATTGTTGCGTCATAAAAATTGAAACACCAAAATTACAGGTACTCCCGTAGTATGTGTGCCAGGTTAGGGTTAGGTCACAATTTTATTTCAATTTTTCTGATTTTAGTTCTATTATGAGTTCGGGTGGACTGTCTGTGTTAGCCAAATGAATATACCCCCTGCCCATAGGTTTCAGCCCCTTTACACAACTTGATGTAAAATAGGCGAATAAAATTAGTTACCTTCATATTGATACACATACTTCTGGAGCGCCAAGTTACAAACTAATATATATAGTGGAAGAGAATTGACCTCTAAACTAGTGGTTCTCAACCTTTTTCAGTTCGCGGACCGGTGAAATTTCAAAATAAATTTACACAAAACATAATCAAAAGAATACAATTACGACAAAGGTAGGCAGTGCAAAAAAAGACAATCTAACTTAATGAGAAATTTGCTACTGTATCTTTGATATTATACGTGTTAAACGCGGTTCTATTGAAGTTTCTGCAAGGCGAAGCAGAGCGTTGACTTCCGCACGATTTCTCTGTTTGGTCTTGATGAGAGATAACGATAAAAATCTAATCTCACAAAGGTAAGTTGTACACAGACAGCAGTTTTTTTAATGGCTCTGTGACTGAGCTCGGAATATTCGTTTTCAATAGATATCCGAAACTGTTACAATGGTAACACAACGTGATATCGCAGAGGAAAGCTAAATCATTGATTCTTTCTCAACAATGTTAAGATTGCACGAACTAAAATCCTTTGCAAGAGGATTAACAATCCAAAAGTTTATAGGACTACTTTCAAACTAGGGAACGTGCAAACTGCGAAGTTCCCAATCAGGTACCATACCTTAGCCACCGTTATGAGATCATAGACTTAACTCCAGCGGTTCAGGGCCTAGAATGGGTAGAAGACCGCTCACCGAATTTGGTTGTTAGACGAATACCGGTACTACGAATCAATAAGAGTTCAAAAAAAATGACAAAATGAATGGAAATATCGTCTATACTCTGTATTTTGCAATTTGCTTATAATATATTAATATTGGAATATATTTGGCGGACCGGCAGCAAAGTTGCCGCGGACCGGCGGTTGAGAACCACTGCTCTAAACGATACATACGATCGTATGAGATGATATGAATAAGGAAGAAACCTTCAGGAGAAAAAAAATCCAAGCGTGAATTTCTAGTGCTCAACAACGTAACAAAAACAATCCTAGACGTCTTTCCTTTGTTTCACGCGCAGTATATTTTCCCTTTTCGCAGATCAGAAGTTCTGTGAATCGCTTACTCAGCCAGATCAACAAAAATGCTTCATGTACACGACAACATGCGGAAAAGAAATTGACCAAGAATGCGAAACTTTATCAATTTGGCCGCCCTCATTCATGTTGCACATGGGCAGCGAAAGTAGTGACCGTCAAGGTCTCGATTTTACATACAAATTCATCAATTGCTCAGGTAAACGCAACTGTTTATGTTCTTTAACATTTTTTATTACTTTGCAAGACACGATACACCAACTGACATACGCTACCCACATCACAGGCGTAGCCAGGATGGGCCTGAAGGACCATGCTCCTACCCCACAAAAAAATTTAATATATATATTTTTTAATGAAATTTTGCGGCATTCGCAGTGAGACATAAATTCTTACGCTTTTTACAACGCCATTTTACTCTATTCCTAAACGATTTACTGAAAACTGTCTTTTCCTGGCTTGTCATCAATAATTCACTCTCTAAAGAGTCTAAAGTCTAAATATACCGAGATAGATGGAAACGCGCTTAAATCGCTTGGAGGAGAGATTCTTCAAGATATTATTAAATATCAATGACTGCTTTTATCTACCCTTGTTCGAAGCAAAAGGCACGAGTAATCGTCGTATTAGGTCAATATACAAAATTTCCCCTCACCCCACCGAATTTCGGCTCGCTGCGCGCTAACCCACATATGCACTAAGAGCTATTTTTATTCATCAAGCTACAACCACCGAAGTAGATGATGTGACTTCGTCTGGCACCACTCCTACGACCACACTGAATGAAGGTAACTAAATAATGAGCCGTTTGCTCCCTTATAGGCGTCAATCACTCCAATATTTGAAGCTATGTACGGTTAAATAGCGATAAATTGTTAATTCAAGCTCCTTCGCGAAGGGTCTGATGTTTAGAGCGGTCCATGTTAGAAATATCAGGGTTAAATTATTCTTCAAAGGTTTTTCGAAATATGAGCTTCTCATGTAATATTAGTCGATTTGTTTTTTTACTATATTTCGCGTGAGAATATGGAAACCGTTCGTGAAAATTGTTATTCCTTTTCGTTCAATTTTCAATACACCAATTTAGAAGGATTAATGGGCGCTCCCGTAGTCTTCGTACCAAGATGGCGCACAACCTGAACATAGTATGTGTACCAGGTTAGGGTTAGCAGGGTGTGCGCCATCTTGGTACGGATACTATGGGAGCGCCGATTAATGTACTTTTGGGGAAAATACTTGAACCTATAACCAATATATTTAGAGCCCCCGAAGTATGTGCACCAAGATGGCGCACAACCTGAATACTAACCCGGTACACAAACTATGATCAGGTTGTGCACCAATACTTCTGGAGGTCCATATTTTTCCCTGAATAGTGTAGTCGGGAATGTTCTCCCTGACCCTTAAGCACGTGTGTTCATACAATACCTATTATTACAGATCAACAATTGTCTGACCTCGTGGTTCCTATAGCGGCAGCAAGTGGCGGGATTCTCTTTATTGCGATTATTGCTCTTATCATCATCTTTTGTAAACAGAGGTGAGTGCGCTGATGTACGTTCTGGGACAGTGATTCTCAAACGTTGGGGCGCGCCCCACAAGAGGGGCGTAGAGAATTTTTTGAGGGTTAAAAATAAAAATACTTGACTCAAGCTATATATACTGTATGCTGAGTTGTTAGTCGGGATCGCACATCGCGGACTTGTAATGTTTCTCACAACTTAAACCAAATTTATTTCTTTTACATATTATCTTTGGGACTCCTGAAGTATGCGTACCAAGATGGCGGACACTGGAACGTAGTATGTGTACCAGGTCGGGTTAAGCCATAAGTTTATTCCAATTTTTCTTATGTTAGTTCTATTACGAGTTCGGGGACTAGCCAAGTGACTGAAATTATGGCCTAACCCTAACCTGGTACACATACTACGTTCCAGTGTCCGCCATCTTGGTACCATACTTCAGGAGCACCTTATGTTTTGCATGAACTGCAGGCTGAAAAGTCTGGTTCAAATTCCATACCCATCACCTCACCCTGAGCGTAATAAGTTTGACAGGCAAAGCCGAACCGGAGAGAACCGACAGTTTCCTCGCAAATAATAGCTTTTTATATATCAGTGGCATCGTTTGGTAAATGTATAAAAAGGCCACATCAAAATCTGTGCTTGCATTTAGGAAATCCAATTCTTCCAAACCAAAGCCAGAGAAAAGTGATCAACCCAGTAGCGGAAACGCAACCACAAAACTGAGTCATGAGATCGATGTCGGTTATGATACTTTGCATGCAGGTTTGTTTGTTTTTATTATACAGGATACATTTAATATAGTTACAAAAAGGGGACCTCGCAAAGTATGCGCACCAAGATGGCGCACAGCCTGAACTCAGGTTGTGTACCAGGTTAGGGTTCAGGTTGTGCGACATCTTGGTGCGCATACCTCAGGAGTACCCAGAAATGTGTATGCTTCGACCCATAGTAGAAATATACAATCGGATACCCTACTCCGGATTAATAAAAACTGTGATTCATATTTCTGATTCCTGATTGCAAAATGCTCTGAACTCCGAACCGAGAGTCGGTGTCAACATTTTTCAGCACCAGAAGTCTGAGTCGATTGTAATTGTTCTCCGACACTGCCGTGGTTAAAACATAGTCTCATTTTTTTTTTAATTGCAAAGAGAAGTTATCGATACAGTATATATTGTTTGTCCCTCACAGATATATTAAATGAAGTGAAATATTTGAACAATTACTGATTAAAATACAACAAACCTAGTTATGATATATTGAGAACTGACTTCATAACAAAATGGAAATTGTAAAGGGATCAGTATCACCGTCGGTTCTGTCGTCAAGGATGTGCGACATTTATCCATGTTATCATGGCGCTTAATTTTCATTCAAGGAAGTGGTACTTACGTGCGTTATTTATAGAGAGTAGTGATACTGTGACTGTGTTGATTACCCACACGCTTCTATCGCAAGCATACATGAGTCAAACACAACATACTTAGGCAAATTATGCCTCATATTTGCATATTTTCAGATTATTGAAATCAAAAATTGTGAGACACTGAATTGCTGTAGTGCCAGCCTTTATAGTCATCTACGTGGTAGGCTATTTAAAATGTCAACCTTTAACCTGCTGCCTGCATGACAATCAGTAGCCCTGTACGAAAGAGGCCATTCAAGCGATTGGAACAATATACCCATCCTTATGTCTAGCCTGCTGTCTCTATGGCAGCCCATTAGCCTTCTGCGGAGGAGACCTTTCAAATGAAGATTGTAATAATATATCCATTTCAATTCTTAACCAGCTGTCGATATGTCAGTGATTGGAAGCATATATCCACCCCGTTTAATAATCACTATAAAGTGAATGCCCAACCGTCGCTGAAAAATTGTAACAGAGAATTCAAAAAGCTGCAATTTTTTGTATAAGTTTTCCTCAATTTAAGATGTTGAGCCTCCTATTGGAAGTGAAAAGAGCACTAATAGAAAATGTCTAGAACTAAGAACCAAATTATTGTTACTAGATTATCTTAACAGCAGATATATTTCGTTAGATAGTAACTGTAACGCGGTAGATAGGGATTCCCTGTTTCTCGTCCTGTTACCAGTCCATGTCGGATATCATTTACATAAATGGAATTTCACTTAATCGTGTGTCACTCAAAACCTATTTCCAATTCATATTTTAGTTATGCCGTCTGGCGGAGCAAGCTATGCCACAGTGGACACAAACGACGAGGTGCCTGAAGCAATGTACGCTACCACGAACGAAGTGAAACCGGAACCGAAAGCAGAAGCCTTGGGTAGTAATGATACTTATACTGTTGTTGTAAAAACTAAAAAAAGCAAGAAATCCGAATTCCAGGCATCAGATGAGGGATTGAACGCCACTTACAGCGTTGTTAAGAAGAAACCAAAAGCTGGCAAGACTCAAAAATCCAGCGATCAAATGCAGAATGAATTGTACAACATTATAAGCAAAGAAAAACCTACCGAACCAGCTACTTACGACACTCTGTCGAATGGAAATCACAAGAAACCAGGAACGGATAGCGTGGAAGGAAATATGTACGATTCTCTAAATCACAAAAACGCAAAAGAGGCACCGAAACCCACACAAGGGGACACATACGACTCTCTTGATCATGGTAAAGCTCCTGAGCCTGCTGCTTCCTACGGCTCCCTCGACCATAACGCGGCAGCCCAGCCTCAAGGAGACACTTACGACAGCCTTTACCATGGTAAAGCTCCTGAACCTGCTGCTTCCTACGGCACCCTCGACCATAACGCGGCTGCTAAATCTCAGAGCGAGTACGTCGTCCTGGATGAGAACGCAGCAGAACCTCAAGACGATCAAGAGTCGCAACTATACTCTGTAGTGAACAAACAATCTAAGAAAAGACGAGCTTGAAACTTAATTTAGATAAATTTTTCGTTTTCTTTTTACGAGATAACGTAGTTATGAAGTTTTGTTCAACATTACACTGAAGAGTGTGTATTTCCGACCAAAACAACCTTCCCCGTTATTACGCCCTTACGTGTACAGTAGAGTTCGTTCTTTATTATTTAACCTACCGGGACTATATATACAGGGTGTTAAATAGGTAATGCAAAATTAACAAAAGTTAAGATGAAATGCTACTTAAAACATTTAACGACCGACATCTTTTAACAGTATTGAATTACGGTGAAATGCCATTTAAACATTTCACGACTGACGCTTTTTAAAAGTGACTTTTTTAAGGTTGTCATGACGAAAATTTTGCCTTAATTTTGCATAACTTTTTACCATCCTGATATAATATGATATTTACATATTATTTACGCCATGTTTCTTATTTCCGATCGAATTTTTAATTTCAATGTAGTTTTAATCTAAAACAGGGGCGGGCAAGGTTTTCTGACTGGGGGCCAAAAATTTGGCCCATCTAGACTGGAGGGCCACGTAAGTATGAAGTAAAAGTTACATTTTTGGAGAATATTCACAGCGTTACAAAAGCAAAAGTGGAAAACGATATTCCTCATCCTCATGTCAAAACTTAATCGCAATCCCAACAAATTCCTTGAGCTATTTTCTGCTAAAACATTAAAATTTGGTTTAGTTGGGTTTTGACAGCATCAGGCGGGCCAGATTGAATTAACCAACGGTCCAGATTTGGCCCGAGGGTCTTACTTTGCCCGTGTTTGATCTAAAACCTAGCGGCTGTATTATTTTGTTAACTCTTAAACCAATGCCGGCTATTTGTTGGCCTAATGCGCTGCCTGGCGGGTGAATCTGACAGACATTGCTTCTATAATGTATTATATAGGAAAGCTTGAAACCTTTCATTCCACAGTGCCTGGTGCACAGACCATAATCTCCCATCCAATGTAAAAACAAGTATAATTTATTTGTGCAAGTTTGCTTAAACCAACGCCTCAAATAAAACATAAAGAGCGCTGATGGAAGACCGATAAGTGACTACTGACGCACTAAAAATGATAAATAATTGGTCTTCGCAAAGAATGTCATTAGATTGCGGCTAACATGAGACTTGAAAGGTTTCGAGACAATACTGTTGATGTTTTGGAATCATTATTTCTTTTTATTAAGTTAAACAAAATAATTATTTGAAAGTAATTTCGATTTGACAATATTTTCTGTGCTAGGATAGATATAAAGTCGGCTCGGCGGTGTGGCGCATCGTGATAAGCGTTAGGAATACGCTCGCCACCGCATCTCTGATTACCCTTCGTGGGATCGCAGGTTTGAATCCCATGCGGAGATGATAATGTGCGAAAGAAGTGCTCGCCGCCGTAGGGTGGTTCACGTAACCGCTGGTCGGTTTCGGCTTCCACCACCATCAAATCCATGCTTCCGAAAACAAATAACAAATAACTAACTAATCCCATACCCGACCTGGACTGGTAACCGGACGAGAGGGCGTGGTTCGACATATGATTAAGCCGTCTTATCGGCTTCCCGCTCCCCCGGGACAAATATGTCAATCCTACTCAAAATCATTAAACCAGTGGTTTTATACCTATGGAGGCGTCATTCATACCAGAATGAGGCGCAAATTCATAAAAACTCATAGGGTGGCATGTCGACAAATTGTTTTAAAGTGAGCTTCAAAAGTCAGATTCACTGTGAAATTAGTGTTCTACGCATAAGCTTTTTCGTAAGACACCATCGCATTATTTTCATCTACTATATTTTACGGACCATAACACGATTTAACCTTTTTTTTCACAAAACATCGATTGTGGGCCTTATCAGCCAGTGCTCTTTGCTTTATTGTCTATTCTCAGAACCAGTACCGGTTGCATCTTATTCAATTCAATTAACAATTCGCCTCCACATTTTTGCAATCTATCATTTTATACTCTGTATTTTATTTGTTATTTTTTGTTTAAAAAACACAAGAACGATTCGTTACTATTTATATATATATAATGTTTGATCATTTATTCCAGATTTTTATTTCTTTTCCATACAATCTATGCCTCGAATGTTTTCCTATGCATTGATTTGACTCATTATTATCAGACTCCACCTAATGCCCCAGACAATCTGAACCCTGAAAAAAAAGATTGAATTTTCAACCTTTTTTAATTCAATTTTTCGACTTTTGCAGTGCGACATAAATTCTTACGCTTTTCCAACACCATTTTACTCCATTCTTGAATGATTTAATGAAAACTAACTAACATATTGAAAAATAAATAAGTTCCGAATTCGTTATATCACTTCTTTTTCTATTATTCTGTAACTCCGTATCCAGCAATATTAAGTTGAATACAAGTTTCAATATTTATATTATTGTGAATTATGGACGTGAGAATGGGGCTCCTAGATTCCAGCTCAAATAAAAAAAATCAGGATTAATTTGAACATTCGACCTCGGCTTTTAATGCGAGAGAAGTGCAGGATTACTCGCCGCCGTAAGGCGGTTCACGTAACCGCTGGTCGGTTACGGCTTCCTCCACAATCAAGTCCATGCTTCCGAAAACAAATAACTAATTAATCTCATACCCGACGTGGACTGGTAACCGGACGAGAGAACGTGATTCGTAATATGATTAAGCCGTCTTATCGACTTTCCTCTGTTCGGGATAAATATGTAAATCATATCCTATCCTCTGGGTCCCGCCCACCCCTCCAGTCTATATGGAATCACTTGTACCTGACTAGGGGAACTTTTACACAACACGCGGTAACAAAATGATCACAAAAATGTCCCCGCACCTCTGGTATCTACATAGTATTGGCTATCACTAATATTTCCGTGTTCCTTCTACCGTGAACGCAGGATTTAAATGAGCACAAAATTGTCAATGTATACATCCTTACATCCGTGGTTATTTACCATTGACTATAAAATTCCCACTAATATTACTGTTTTTTTTACAGAAAATGAACACAAAATTGTCTTTTGATACTTTTTATTTAAAGAACAATCAAACAGTTCAGAAATGTAAAATCATCATTAAAATATCCCCGGCCATACATGGCAGACACATATGCATGTACCGCCCACGCATGGCCGAGATAAAAAGAAACTTGATAAATAAATAAATTATATAAATATAGTTGGGCAATCAGCTGACGATCAATGGAAAATGGGACAGAGGATAGCCAAATTCGTAGTAAAACAAGTGACGTCACAATTAGTAAACTTGTCTCGCCATTCTGATTTAAGGTATCTATAGCAGTGCGGTTATGGGGTTTTATTTTTTGAGGATCATAGTCTGTAATTTTCGAAAGTGGGGGGAGGGGGGGGTCCGAAATTTTTAATTGTCAAGGTAGATCGTAACAGCTTTTTTACATTTCAAAGGAGTGCGATCCCTATCCACAGGAAAGCAGTTTACAACAATGACTAATACTCATAAATAGATTTAATGTCGTTGAAAGAGTCAGTATGGGACGAAGTGTCTGTAAGCCCCAGGTTCTGCTCTCTACTATGGTAATATCTGGACAAAACAAAATGCTTGTTGAAGGATTGGCTCATAACAAAATTAAGGCTTGTTTAATGCTTTGTTATGAGATAATAATAAGGCTTGTTCAATGCCTTGTCATGAGACAATAATAGGTCTTTTTCAAGGCCTTGTTACGAGACAATAATAAGGATGTTTCAATGCCTTGTTATGAGACAATAATGAGTCTTTTTCAAGGCCTGTTTCAGAGACAACACAAAAAAAAATATAATAATAAACAAAATAAAAAAACGAAACAAAAATAATTTTCACAGCAGCGAAGCGAGGCATGTTTGCAGTAAAATGTTTGACGCTGCTATTTTTAATTTGCGAATAATGAATTGGATTTGAGGACTGGCTCAACATTGAACAAAAATTGTGTATTCTGATAAATTTCAGCAGAATTTTGCAATAAAAGAGATAAATATAACATAATTTTAACATAATCATAATTTTTCAAAAAAAAGGGAACATTTGTGGGCGCTCCAGAAGTTGGGAACCAAGATGGCGGACATCGAAACGAAGTATGTGTACCAGGTTAGGGTTAGGCCGTAATTCTATTCCGATTTTCCCCTATTTTGGTTCTATTGCGAGTTCGGGGACTAGACAAGTGATTCCTGTAGTATTTGTACCTGAAATTATGGCTAACCAGGTACACATACTACGTCCGGTGTTCACCATCATGGTTCACATACTCAGGGAGTACCCAATTGTGTATATTTGTACATTTGCATCATTTTTGAACTTTTGCAATAAAATAGAACACAAGCAACAATTTTTCTACAATTTGGAACAAGATTTGGGTGAAAATATACAAAAGAAGATTATTTTGAATCAAAATTAGAAAAAATATTGAATAGCTGAATCACAACTATTGTCTATTACTAATTCGAAACTGGTTTCAAGATGAAGCAACAGAAGCATAAGGGCCTTATTCGAATAACGCAGAAATTGTGAGAGGATTCAAAAGCAGCAACGTAATAGAAAAGATAAAATATATTGAAAACAAATTCAATAAATAACTTGATACATAAAATGTTGTTGTCTTGTCCACAACTATTTATGTGACGTAATATTTAATTTTGCTTACTAATTATTATGTCACGGTATTACGCGTCAATTAAACAATCCTATCAAATACTATGTGATTTTAAAGTTTTCCCAAGTCGGTTGTGTTTTCACACGGAACATGAAAATATATAGAAAAACATGAAATGCGAGTTATTTTTATTTAAATTAACAGTGTCTATGTGTAGTCATAATAGGATGTGTGACGTAATAAAAACAACACCCGGAGCAGAAAATAAAATGCAAACTTCGTCAAAAAACAAAGACGAATTGGAAAAAACCCGATAAGAAGACTTGATCGTATAGCAAATCAGTCTTGCAAAACCAGACGTGATAACAGCCGACCAGCTAAACTTACCAGAACCAGGATGGTACTGGCTGAAAAAGAGATGCCAGAAAATTAGTCAGACTGGGCCACCATAGAGACAGCAGGTTATGAATAGGGATGGATATATGGTCCCGATCATCATTTGAATAACTTCCCACATTGAGGGATATTGGGCAGTCATATAGACGGCAGGTTAGGATTGGGGTTCAAAATATGGTCATAATAGCCATTTGATTACCCTACTTTGTAGAGAGAGACTATTCGGATGCCATATATACTCCACTAATTTATAAAAGATCATAATCGCTCCTTCAAATCAACAAACATTGAAAACATATTTAGTACCGGAAGTTTCAAACACATCATAATCAAGCAAACATTCACTATGATAATACAATTAATTCTATACGCATCACAATGATAGTTACAAAATAATACAGAAATAAAGAAGTGAAAACCAAACTTCTCCTGATTTAAGTTACTCGTGGAGTGGTTAAAATGACTTATTTATTCTGGTGTTGTAGGTGAAAAAAGTTGAGTTTGAACTCCCCACAATTGGGTATAAGTACACAAAAGTGGGTAATTTATGAGCTTTTGAAACAGTGGTTCCCAACCTCTTATGGATCTTGGCCCTCTTGTGGAGGTTTTTAGCACTCATGGCCCTCGGTTATCATTAAGGTAGTATTAATCGTGTTATTATTATTGGTAGATATCGAATCCCATTATGTTCAACAATACATGCTCAACGAAATGAAAACACCCTGTGAAATAACCTTATCAAGCGATGAAACTAGCGAGAACTTGAAATTTTCTTGTTGAGGGAAAAGTAAAATCAGTTTTGCGTTTAGCACTTAGAGTTTTATTTGGAATAATGAAAGATTCCAAATATTTTTATCTTGTAAGAGAAATTCTATGAATATCTGTATTGCAAGATTTTCAGATTGAAGTAAATTCGTTAGAGTTCATACATATTAAAAAAAAAATCAGAATTTATTTGAGCCTGAATTTGTCAAAATATTGCTCAGTTCTGATTTTTGATATTGTAAGGAGATATTCAGTATGCAACAATAACATGAAGAATTTTTCAAATTTTGACAAAGACCAAATATTACCATAAAATGACTGCATAATTGCTAAATTTTTTTAGCAGCGTACCGTGTTTTTGAATGTTGCAACCTCCAAAATTACCTAAATTTGCATGTTTTTTTTGTCATAAAATCCTTTTCTCATCAATTATGTCATGGAAATCCTTCAAACTGATAAAATATGCTTCAGTTTTATAAATAACCCCCTCATCCAAGTTTTTCGTTCAAATTTTCCGAACTTCCGTTAAGCAATAACTGTCGTCGTCCCGTTCATCTTCTCATTGATGACATCACAATCCCCATTCTGTTTCTTCAAAGGTTGCATTTCTTGACTGTTCCCGTCGTTCACGGCCTGAAAATAAAAAAAACGGAAATCAGGTCAAAACTCGGACCGAAAACGAACAGGTCATACTCATGTGTTCGCTGCGGTATCATAAGATAGTTAAGAATAGGATTTTCATATGCATCCTGTGGGAGAGGAATGCTGATAAGACAGCGTACGGCGAACTCTCGTCCGGTTACCAGTTAAAGTTAACAGTTGGAAAAGAAGATAATATTGCATCACTTGAATGCAATTGTGAAATTTTACCAAAAATTTTTTTTTTTTTCTCCAATCTGATAGTTTAGAATAGGCGTGATAGGTCATGTGATAGGCAAAAAGGTTAATGGTGACGTCTCACCTTGTGATTTCCGTTCTTATTGTGACTCAATAATCCTTCACCAGATTCGCCAACGTTTCCATTCTTCTCTGTGTCATCGGCATTCTTAGATCTTCTGTGATGTAAGAATGAAGATATTTGTTAGTAATACTCATATATTTATTCCTTAGTATTTGAAGTTATATTGAGTATTTATGCAGAATATACAGAGTACTCCATGAAGTCTTAAAATTTTCAAAATTGCAAGGAGAATTTATCCATACCATATATTGTTTTGGCCCTCACAGATGTATTAAATGGAGTAAAAATACATGAACAATCACTGATTAATAAACAACAAACCTGGTTACGATATATTGAGAACTAATTTCAAAACAAAATTAAAACTGTAAAGGAACTTTATGGACACCCTGTATATCTCCAAGAATAATTCTTTAAATTGTAGAAAATGATGATTCCATTGAGTAATCTATACCTTGGATAACTAGTATAACCAATACCAATTATCCCATGATCATTTATGGGAGTTACTGCATTGTTCAGAATGATCAAAAAAAATACTGTTAAATGTTGGATGACAGCTTTTCCAAAGACTGTTTAGGACTGGCATGGACAAACCACGGCCCGTTGGTTAATTCAATCTGGCCCACCTGCTGCTGCCACAACCAAACTAAAACCAAATTTTGATGTTTCAGCTAATAAAAAAAAAATAGCTCAAGGAATTTGTTGAGATTGTGATTAAATTAGTTTTGACACGAGGCTTATTGTTTTCCACTTTTGCTTTTGTAACAATGCGAATATTGTTCATGAAATGTAACTTTTTACATGGCCCGACAGTCTAGGTCACGGGTTCCCAAACTTCATTGGCCGCGGGACAAAATTTGTATCGGAGGGATGTTCGCGGGCTGGAAGAGTGTAGCGCCCGAAAGCGCTAAACTAAATTACTGCCCTATGCAATCATAATACCGGTACGAATAACTGAGATAACGCTTTAATTGAATTCTTACGATAAAAACATGTGCTTGAAGTATGATAATGGCGTAACTCTTGGCGCTATCTAGAATGCGAAAAGGTGAAACAAAATCTGTTGCACTAACTTGCACACTATTTCACTCAAGCTCGGCGGGCCATTTTAAATCGTTACGCGAGCCGGATTTGGCCCGCGGGTTTGGAAACCCCTGGTCTAGGTGGTCAAAATTTTTGGCCCCTGATCCAAAGACCTTACCCACCCCTGGTCTAAGAGCAAACACCAAATCCTCATACATACCAGGGCTGTGGCTTATCTATAGCCATTTTTGAAAGATTGTACGAAAACACACATTTACTAACCTCAATTTTCTGACGTAGAGCACAATGAGGCCCAGTATGACTAGTAACGCTAGTATACTCAGGACAACTACAATGATGGCGACGGTTCCAGGACCCGACAGATCTTCTTCAGTCGGTTCGCTTGTTTCTAAAAAGTAAAATTAAAAAATGAAATCTCAAAATTTGTGGGCTCGATGGCATAATGTGGGGTTTTTAAAAATGGACCATCGACCCTCTTGGGAGGCACGAGGCGATTATTTCGGAAAATAAATTTTGCTCTTTTCGGGGAAATACTACAGAAATATTCCTTTTTAATTGGTGTAGTTTTACTAATATTTATTTAGTGTTATTGTAAATTTATGCAAACATTACTAATATTTAAACTGTGCAAAAGCCAGAATAGGATTTGCACGTGACAAGAGCTAAAATTCCCTTGATAGATTGAACAAATGACGAAAAAAAAGTTTTTTGCATAGTGAGGGAGGACCAAAGAGTCCCAAAATAGGCGAAGGGTGGATTGTATCAGAAACCAACCGATTTCCCAACCGATGGGTCGCGACCCAAAAGTTGGTTGTCTGAAAATCTTCTTTGGTCGCTTGTGTTTTATCGTAAACATAAGTCTTATTGATTTTACTTTATAGTAAATTTTATTGTTTATTTTATGAACAGTATTGAAGTTTTGTTCAATAGTAATTGTATATTTGGAAAGAAAGTATCTCAGCGTAAAAAACTTGGCCTCATCTATTTTGCTTAGAGCCACGTCATGATTTCAAAAACTCGTTGATGGCAAACCGGGAAATAATGGTTCATGTAAAAATGATTGTTTTAGTTTAATTACGCGACCATAAAAACACTACATGCCGTTTACTATTTGAGCATATTCTTGGATCGCGAGGTTTTGCAAAATTTATTTTTTCAAATAATTGGCCCGCATAAAAAAAGATTGGGACCACTGCTCTAAGTCAGAGATGTGGTGTAACCTGCAGCCCACAAGGAAAATCGTGCGCCCGAGGAGAATCGCGACCCGCGATTAGCGAGTTTAATCTGGTACTTACGAGTAATTCTAATCCCTCACAATGCCCTAATAGCTAGCTTGTGAGAAGCGAACAACGTATGTCACAAGATCAACAACCAAAATTTTGGTGCCTGCAACTACCAGAAAGCCTGTGTAGATAAAGGTGCGGCCCGCGGTTTAAACTAGTTATCTGGCGAACATCCCTGCTTTAAGCCATCCATACACTGATAGCAGAAAATCCCTACCTTGACCGTCTCTTACAGCTTCAGCCGTTGCTTCACCAGACACACCCTGAACTCCATTTTTCGTTGTTGTTTCCTTACTCGTAGAGGATTTCTCTGTTTCTGGGGAACTCAGAGGCTGTTCTTCTGAATCTGTAGTTGTGGTGATTTGGTTTTCTGTTGTGGGCACGTCTTCTTTGCTCTCTGGTGCCCTCCCTTTTGGCACAGCAACAGAAGACGTCGATGCTAAGGTTGATTTCGTAGTAGTTGAAGTCGAAGTAGTTTCTAAATTTAGAAAACAATCAAGAGTTAGAATGAAGGTTTCCCACTCGTCAACGAAATTTCTAAGGTAGAGTTCTTAATATAAGGCGCTTTACACCCCTTCATTGTTAAAAAAGGAAGCAGCCACTTATATAGAAATGCTGAGATTTGGCGAAGACTTCCAGTGTTGATTGACCCAGGGGGCCAAAATTAAAAGCGGAAGGATATTCGCGGGCCAGGAGTGGAGTGCCCACATGCCCCGCAAGGGGGCCGATGTATAATTTATATACCCGTACGTATAATTTAGATACCGATATAATTGGATCGTTACTATTATAAATGTGCTTCAATTAAATTATTTCAAAATTAGCTTCTAACAGTTATTCGTTAGATATCAGTGGCTGCTTGTACATGGCGTTGTACGGAACGAGCGACGCCAAATTGCGTCGTATATAAACTTGAAAATAAATTATGGCAAGATAGAATAGTAGAATACCCCATCATTCGAATATACACGTAAGTATAATAAATTAGTCAAAACCTCATCTTTTTTGTGAGCTGTCATCTTACTACCCATATTTATTTTTTTTATGTATATTGAGAAATAAAGCGTTAAATAATGAAATAAATTCTGCGAACCGGTCGTTAAGATGCGATCAATATCAAACTATACTGACATAGATTTATCATGTGGTTTCTGTACATCAAATCGAACTGCTTTCGGATATACATACAAGCATTAAATGTGGTTATGTCGTGACTCAATTTCAGATCTTTATCAAATACCATACACGTTTGTTTACATTCGGTTTGTGATAAAATGAACTACTGACTGATCTTTATCGGATTAGCGGATAATGGCGTTCAAAAAGTGTATGGAGGTAACTAATTTTGTTGGCCTACTTTACATCAAGTTGTGTAAAGGGACGGAAGCACATGTGCAGGGGGTAATATTTACTTAAAATAACACAGACAGCCCCTGAACTCGTAATACAACTAAAATAGGGAAAATTGGAAAACATTATGGCCTAACTCTAACCTGGTACACACAATACCGGAGTACCAAATAATGATATTGCCGAAAATTGTATCTTGCATTTTGCAATATTATATTCTTAAAAAATCGCAAAAATTCACAGCGAATTTTACTGGAACTCACCAGTAGTTTATATTTCGAAGTAATTTGTTTTTGATCAGTACTTCAGTAATGTGCTATGAAAAAGTGACTGAAAAACTGCCAAAGCTTTTTGGTAATATATTATGAATCGAGAGAAGGAATGAATTAATTTGAGGAATAAAGAATTCAAAAGGAAGGTTGCAATAAATAACATTTAGGTATAATAAAGTGAATTGGAATAAAATTATGGCCTATCCCTAACCTGGTACACATACTACGTTCCGGTGTCCTCCATCTTGGTTCACATACTTCGGGATTACCATTAATTGACAGTGTGCCTTATCGCCCGTAAAATACGCTTTTCGATATAAACACATCTGTATCCAAGTATATAAAATTATTCGTTACCTTCTTTGCACGGGTAGCAGTCATCGTATTCTTCTTGCTTATCATCAATATAACACCAGCCAAATCGCTTCATCACGTGACCCACACATTCGTTGTACACTACGCCTTCATATTCAAACGGAAATTTGCAAGTGTTGCCGCGGTAAGTGCAGGCTTTCGCTGGTGCTGTAAAATAATCAGAAAAAACAAATCAAAAAGCGCTAACGAGAATTTTCAATGTCAATAGTTTTCTTTAAGATTTGCACAGTCACACTCAGAAGTAAAAGAGACTCATCTTTGAGCAAAACTAAGGGAGTCGATTACAAAAAGCCAATACCGGTAACGGTAGGTATAATTAAGATACCGGTATAATTGAATTGTTACGAATAATCACATGCTTAAACTGTGGTAATGACGTAACAATCAGCGGTATCTAGAACGTAAAAAGGTAAAAAACGAAGTGTTAACACCGTGCGGCGGTGTGGCTCAACGGGCTAAGCGTTAGGAATACGCTCGCCACCGCACCTCTAATTACTCTGCGTGGGTTCGCAGGTTCGAATCCCATGCAGAGATGGTTATGTGCGAGAGGATTGCTGGACTCCTCGCCGCCGTTGGGTGGTTCACGTAACCGCTGGTCGGTTACGGCTTCCTCCACCACCAAGTCCATGCTTCCGAAAACAAACAATATAACTAATCCCATACCCGACTTGGAATGGTAACCGGATGAGAGGCTGTGGTTCGTCATATGGATAAGCCGTCTTATCGGCTTTCCTCTACCGGGGATAAATATGAAAAATCTCTCTCTCTCTCATACCGTACTCAACATGGACTGGTCACTGTAAGAAATAGGCAAAGGGTGAAATGTAATAAAAAGTAACAAAGGTACCTTTAGTAACAACAGTAGTGGTTGAGACATCGTCAGTTTTTGTATCTTCAGAAATCTATTAAAAAGAATTGTAAGATTATGATAAGTTGTGATTAACAAAAGGTAACGGGTAGGGGGTGGGACCACCCCATAGAATTTCCCTCACTAATTTTGCAGTGTGTCACTACACTTCAATTTCCAACTAAAATATAAATCAAGAGTCCTACTGCACACTAACACAAATGTATTTCTGTAACATCTCGTCTAACCAAAATCAGACTTCCTCAGCCAAGCAGTTTGTGACAATCACTAAGATTTGTTGTAAAGTGCTTGTCTGAGGAAGTCTGATTTTGGTCAGACGAAACATTACAGAAATATAATTGTGTTAGTGTGCAGTAGGACTCTTGCATTGCATATTATGGTATTTTATTCCTGCTACAGCATCCTTGCATTATAAGCATACGTCTCCACTAACGCAAAGACAGGAGGAGTTAGTCTTGCGTGATCTCTACTGAGAGCTAAATATAAATGTATTTGAAAATCAGAAATCGGTATATATACCAGTTTAGATGGTCAGTAAAATACATAAATATTTATTTTATTAGAGATAAAATAGTTTCATGGGTTGCCTAATAGCAAAATATCTACCAGCCTCCAAAATGAAAAATTTGAGAGCACACTGCTTCCCGAGTCTCACAAAACCCTTTGTGAGAAATACCGGCGTTCCATGAATTTTAATAGTCAATGTTAAACATAATAAAGTTGAAAAAAAATTAAAATGAAATATTTGGAAGCTACTCCGACTGCTTGCACGGAGACTTGTTAATGGCGAAAATGTGACAAGAAACAAACTAACCACTAATATGTCCCCGATAACTTTACGTTCTTCTATCTGCCCAGTAGTTGAACTCTCAACATATCCTTGTGTCGAACTGTCTTCATCATAAGTTAGTAATTCCTGCACTGTTGTTGTCTGAAGTTGTATATCCATCTAAATATCATACCACCCACTTCATATGCTTACTCTAACCATTTGCTTAAAGTTTTATATCTATCCTAACCCAGAACATACAATGAACCCCACTTCATATGCTTACTCCAACCATTTGCCTACGGTTTTATATCTATCCTAACCCAGAACATACCATGAATTCCACTTCATATGCTTACTCTAACCATTTGCCCAAAGTTTTATATTTATTCTAACCCAGAACATACCATGAATTCCACTTCATATGCTTACTCTAACCATTTGCCCAAAGTTTTATATTTATTCTAACCCAGAACATACCATGAACCCCACTTCATATACCTCGGCATCTGAAAACAGGTAACTGGCTAACTCATCTATCCTACATAGGATTTACATATTTATCCCGGGGGAGAGGATAGCCGATAAGACGGCCTATCCATATAGCGAACCACGGCCTCTTGTCCGATTACCATTCCAAGTTGGGTATGGGATTAATTATATATTGTTTGTTTTTGGAAGCATGGACTTGGTAGTGGAAGAAGCCGTAACCAACCAGCGGTTACGTGAACCACCCAACGACTGCAGGGAGTCCTGCAATCTTCTTGCACATAACCATCCCTGCATGAGATTTGAACCTGCGAACCCACACAGAGTAATTAGAGGTGCGGTGGCGAGCATGTTCCTAAAGCTTCGCCCGTTGAGCCACACCGTCGCGAATGAAAATTTTGAAATGAAATATTTGAAAGCTACTCCGACTGCTTGCCTTTTTAAGCCTTGTTAATGGCGAAAATGTGACGAGAAACAAACTAACCTCTAATATGTCCCCGATAACTTTGCGTTCTTCTATCTGCCCAGTAGTTGAACTCTCAACATAACCTTGTGTCGAACTGTCTTCATCATAAGTTAGTAATTCCTGCACTGTTGTTGCCTGAAGTTGTATATCCATCTAAATATCATACCACCCACTTCATATGCTTACTCTAACCATTTGCTTAAAGTTTTATATCTATCCTAACCCAGAACATACCATGAATTCCACTTCATATGCTTACTCTAACCATTTGCCTACGGTTTTATATCTTCCTAACCCAGAACATACCATGAATTCCACTTCATATGCTTACTCTAACCATTTGCCTACGGTTTTATATCTTCCTAACCCAGAACATACCATGAATTCCACTGCATATGATTACTCTAACCATTTGCCTACGGTTTTATATCTATCCCAACCCAGAACATACCATGAATCCCACTTCATATGCTTACTCTAACCATTTGCCTACGGTTTTATATCTTCCTAACCCAGAACATACCATGAATTCCACTTCATATGCTTACTCTAACCATTTGCCTACGGTTTTATATCTTCCTAACCCAGAACATACCATGAATTCCACTTCATATGCTTACTCTAACCATTTGCCTACGATTTTATATCTTCCTAACCCAGAACATACCATGAATTCCACTTCATATGCTTACTCTAACCATTTGCCTACGATTTTATATCTTCCTAACCCAGAACATACCATGAATTCCACTTCATATGCTTACTCTAACCATTTGCCTACGGTTTTATATCTTCCTAACTCAGAACACACCATGAACCCCACTTCATATTCCATGCATCTGAAAACAGGTAACTGGCTAACTCATCTATCCTACATAGACTGGTAACTGGACGAGAGGCCGTGGTTCGCCATATGATTAAGCCATATTATCGGATTTCCTCTCCCCCCAGGATAAATATGTAAACCCTGTCCTATATTATTCGGGATAAGCTAATTAGGTACGGTAGTTAGTATTGACGGTTTTATTTGTCGAAGTGCACATTATGAAACAGAGGATTTCTACACTTCTAAACTAAGTTATGCCTAACTGCAACTCATAGTAAACCCCATAAACATCACCAGCTGTTGGGCCAGAGCCTTGTTCAGAGCGAACAAGTTTAAGCCTCAATTGAAAACAAATTACCAGCGATTCATCATTGATGACTTTGTCTTCTGCTATTTCCTCAGTAGTCGAACTCTTGTCATTCTCAGCTGAGCCTTGCGTCGTACTGTCGTCATCGTCGACGGGTAATTCCTGCTCTGTAGCTGCGACATTTCCATCTGAAAATATGATAAAAATTCGTCATTGAGTGGTCTTGGTGACAAGATAGAAATTTTAGATTTAAGTGTATTTACGTCTCAGGTTAAAATCTCGGCTGCTAAATTGTGATCTGTTGTACAAAGCCCCCCGCCAAAAAAACACCCGTCACCGCTTGAAATGAAAAACGAGAATATGGGTCGGAGACCAAAGACTTATCGATCGAAAGTTAGGGACACCGTGTGTCCCATCACTCTTTAATTAATAACTCGCTAATTATACGACATAATTCATCCAAAGTCGAAATATGATGAATGTACATGTAAAATTTGAAGCAGATTCAACCTTGTTTTCGTGAGATATCGCGTGCATCTAAAAGACAAACAGACAAATACCTATCGAAATACTTATCGATAAAGATCGATAAGAAATGAGTAATTATCCAGGGTTAGACGTTTTTTTCAAATCTCACATTTTTGTATTAGTGGCGATGCTTTGTACAAAAGATCCATAAGTTAGGTAGTCGATGCCGAAACGTTAAAATTCCGGTCTTTCCCGGACATAATATAGAAACGAGAATATCGGTCAAAAACCGAAGACTTATCGATCGAAAGTTAGGGGATCCCCCAAAACAGCGCTCTTACTCCATAGTGACACCTTGTGTCCCATCACTAATTAATTAATAACTCGCTAATTATACGACATAATTCATCCAAATGGCTCTGGTCCGACATATGATGAATGCACATGCAGAATCTGGAGCAGATTCGATCTCGCTTTCGTGAGATATCGCGTGCATCTAACAGACAAACAAACAGACAGACAAATACCTATCAACATACTTACCGATTAAAATCGATAAGTAACATCCACGAACCACCAACACTTTAATAGTACAGTTAAGTCAAGCGAAAATTCAGAACACACCTTAAAACTAAAATAGCAAAATATTTCAGTTGATAAAGTACCTTTATGGGAGTGTGAATATATTAAATTCATTTATAAGACTCTTTGTTAGTTACTGAAAATCTCGCATACCACCGGAGATACAGGCGCACAAAATTAACAGAAGTAGGTATTTAAAGTGAACCATGGAAAGACTCGTCAATGTATTAGGATTAATTAAAGACATAAGAAATATCAACGCGTGTCCTAAAATACTTTTTAACTATCTACGACCCTACGTCTGCGTTTTTAATGCATACGTTGACGAGCGCGCGGTGTTGCAAATTGACTGGAAAAGTGTCTTTTGTGTTTGAAATATGACGTCATGTACTCGGTTGATTCAACTCGCGCCCTTGACCTATTAGGTATTACTCGGATTTATCGAATCCGCTTATTTCCAGCCATGCAAATCCGTTTTTTTGCACATAGTTCCATAAAGTCGAAGACGAGAATTCATCCAGGTAACTATTTAACTGCGGCATGTGCAAAGCTCGATATTATATAACACGAACCAAGTATGATAAAACTGGCGGGAAAAATGCGACAACGGGTTTCTCATTGGCGCGCATCGATCACCCACAGTCGTGTTATCCACAATGAAATTTTAATTCGATTCATTCAATAAACAAGGTTCGCCATCCCTGCCACGGGGCCTACGAAATACGATGAACTTAATTTCAACAGAGATAGAAGGGAGTCGTTAAAGGGCTGTTACTTAATCATACGGGCCAGATATTTCACCCTAATTTGCTCGTTTTTTTCCCTTCTAATTTATAATATGACATTCGGTAATATTCAATCAACGTTTGGAACAAATTATGCTTTGCGATGTCCGTATTAGTCTATTCAGCCCTTGTATCCATATATTTGAGCATGATTCGAATTTTAAATATTTAATAAAGTCACTGCGTCTCAATGGTCGCCCGCGAATTTGTTTATAAAATTTAATTTTGTTCACTTCATAGTTAAGTCAGTCTCTTGTGTTTCTGTTTCAGCAAAATAGTCATGGTCGCGTCATCTTGTAAGGGCCTTGAACCGAACTATTTCGGGGCGTAATAAATTGATCTGGCAACTAGGGCTCGGCAAAGTATTCGAATAACGAATAGCGAATCGACTATTAAATCATTCGAATATCTGGTACCACGTGACCTGCGCCGCTTTGCTTGGATACGGAACACGCGCACCTCTAAGTTAATCATGAATTGCGCGAGAATTCACCCACGGCTCTCGCAGACAGATAGAAACGACAAATTTGAAAAACCGTTGTCTTTGCGTTATGGTGTTATTTGCTTTTTTTTGCAACAAACGTATCGTTTCAATTCGCTATTCGATGAAATTAACCAGTAAAAAAACGCTTTATTGCCGACTTTTTAATGTTCCTATTAAATTGACATCTCCCAAAGGGAGAGACGACCTTCGACGTCCTGGACCCCTTTTCTTTCTATAAAAATATTCGGTATTCGTTAAAAATATTTAAATTTTCGATTCGAAAAAAATATTCGGTCTGCCCACCCCTACAGTGACAATGCCCGACTGGTAAGATTCCGGAGAAAGGAGTAGTTCGTATCAGCGGATAGATAAAGTGTTGAATGTAGCTACGTCGGCGTCCAGATCAGAGGTTACAATCTTCGTTTGACAGGGTGAAATAAACAGTAGGGTGTACAGAGAAAACCAGGAAAGATTTTGGCCGTATTTCGAAAGTAGTAGCTCTGCAAGTGCCATTGGCGGCGACCCCGAAGTATATGTACCAAGATGGCGCACAACCTGAACATAGTACCTGTACCAGGTTAGGATTCAGGTTGTGCGTCATCTCGGTACACATACTTACGGAGCGCCTCATTGGATGCTTCTACAGAGCGAATGAAGCGCATGTGAAATATCCACGAGAATGTAATCACACATGCATACCTTCAATTTCCGGCGATTCCGTGCTTTGGTCTCCCTCTGAGATCGATTCCAGTCCACCGGCCAATTTTAGGGCATCAGTTTGTGTTGAGGCCGAAGTAGAGGTAGTAGAAGTAGACGATATAGTAGTTGTAGTACTTGGTATAGTAGTGGTTGTGGAGGGTACCGTTGTAGTGGTGCTGATCGTAGTCGATGTGGTGGTTGAGGCCTTGGTTGTGGTGGTGCTAACCGTGGTTGGTGTGGTGGTAGGGGACTTGGTTGTGCTCGCAGTAGTTGTACTAGTCGTTGTGGTGGTCGAAGTTAAATCTTCTAAAATAAGAATAAAAAAATTTTTTGATATGTTAGTAAGGGATTATATCATGCCAGCTCCGAATTCCGTGAAACCACATTTCGAAAACAATAACTTTAGTTTATACACGCCTTCTTTAATTGTCTGTCGAAAATGTTTAGTAAACTTTATGATTTTTCAAATTTCGGTCAGAAATTTAAAATTTAATCGCCACCATTGGAAGTTTAAAAATATGTCCTCGATTACAATACGAACATGCCAAACACTGTCTGCAAACTGGCAACTGACTCGGATGACCCCTAAAGATCGTACCATTGCCTCTCAGTCATGTACCATAAAGATCTGTTTATTTGATATTTATATATGTAAGTATATGTTGTTTTCTTGGTTTGACGAAATGAAATAAACTCTCTTTAGTGCGGTATAAATCAGTGTTCCCCAAGCGTTACAAAATTGGGTCGCATGAAAATTCTTTTTCATCGCCTTTAGACAAAAACCCGTTTCATAGTGAATTCATTGTTTTTACGTGTATGTTTTTTGTATTTGGTATTGAAGTGTTGCTCATAAGTAATTGTATATATTGGAAGTATCACAGCGTAAAAACTAAAACCATCTATTTTGTTCAAAAAAGTCGATTTCAAGAAATCGCTGATGATGATTATACGAGAATATCGGTCAGAGACCGAAGACTTATCGATCTAAAGTTAGGGGATCCCCCAAAACAGCGCTCTTACTCCATAGTGACACCTTGTGTCTCATCACTAATTAATTAATAATTCGCTAATTATACGACATAATTCGCCCAAAATAGGCTTCTGGTCCGAGATAAGATGAATGCACATGCAAAATCTGGAGCAGATTCAATCTCGCTTTCGTGAGATATCGCGTGCATCTAACAGACAAACAGACATACAGACGAATACCTATCAACATACTTACCGAATAAAATCGATAAGTAATAATAATGTTGAAATGATGAAATAAATAATAAGGGAATAACTGTTATGTGAAAATGATACGGTAGTTTCTTTTATACTAGTATTTTAATTTTGCGTCCATAGAAGCACTACGTGTTGTTCAATATTTAAGCATATCCTTGGGTTGCGAGATTTTACAAAAAAATATTTTTATACAAAATTAGGATCGTTCGAAAAAGTTTTACCTAATGAATCCTACGTTATGGTGTGGAAAACCTTGCGCTATAGTACCGCATTATAGTATGCTTTGCTGACCTGGACAGATATCACAGTAGGCCCATCCATGCGACCCGTCTGTATGGCACCAATGGCCGCCCCATCCACCTTTGCATTCATTATACGTTTCTCCGTCTTCTTCAAAGGGAAAAACGCACTTCTCGTCGCTCTTGGAGCATCTGTAAACTGTGCAATAAAAATCAGTGTCGTTAGTTCGATGAAAACTAAATACTCTTAAAAGAACACGGTATGAGGTCTGGGGAAGATGATAAGATAGTTTGTACATAAATGAAACTACTTATCACATCAAATAGTTGCAAAAGAAAATTAACAAAAATGATTACCATTCAAATTCACCATCAATATCACTGTCGAACTTTAGTGAAATTAGAGGTATAAGCGATAAGCCGACCCCTTGATTTGGAAATATTTCTTTGAGTTCAAACACAGCTTATATATGCGAGGATATTAAATAAGTATAGTTATCTCTCTTCTAAACTCCATTATCTGTTCAAAAAGTATTTGAGCTAAGTTAATATTGCCATACCCAGTACCCCACCGAGGGTGTTGCAATAAATTGGGTGGACAGGACGAAACGATTCTTTCAAAACTATAGGAAATCAGCGAAGCGAAACTGGTAGAAATAATCTGATCCCAATTTTCACGTGAAGTTGCTGTTATTTTATGTTTCCTTTCCATGTTAGGCCTCGCCAAAACGAACACTCCAGCCAAAAGCAACGTGAGTACCGGTACCACAAGTATGAACAAATATTTATTGATTATAATCAAACTCAGATCGCCAGCATTTTCGGGTTTTAACGAAGTACACGCCGCAATTACTTAAATAACACCGAACAGAATTGTGATGTAAAAATATAGCTTAATTTTTTTTTAAATAAAAATCCGCCTCGCAAGGAACGCTCTACTCTATTTGGTATGAGATATACCAGCTTAGTTGAACATTAGGTGAATTTTATTTCAACTAAACGTGTCTGTGAAGAATTTCATTCCGTGCCAGACTAACCTTTTTTTAAAATAACATAAAAATTTCAGATCAAATTTTTGTTTGGCGTTATTTTAAGGAGTTACGGCGTTTACTTCGCTAGTCCCCAATTTTTTGATCCACAAGAATAAGATAGGCTATTGCACAACTTTATAACTTATTCCAACTTCACCAAAGGTCGTGAAATCAGTGATTATCAGTTTATTGTCTGGCCTGAACAAGTGGGATCTCTACCGGTACAAATTCAGATTATAAAAAAATAGTTACCTTGGCCATCCACGCTGTAAATCATCAACATCGAAATCAGAGCTAGAAAAATGCAATTTCGCATAAGGTCCATTTTTCTAGAAGACTGAATGAAAATCTTTTTTAAAATCAGAAAATTGATTCAAATTTGCTTCACACGAGTAGCAAGATTCCAAGTCGGCGTGAGAAAGAACTAATATTGTTACGTCACAGTGAATTTTGGTAACCAATCAAGCGAGGCCGAATTTAACTCCCAAATAATTTTGTCGTAAAATCTGTAAATAACAAGAAATAATTTCTATCAAATAAATTCATGAAATATATAATATTATACAGAAATAAATAATAATTCGGTAACTTGCATCGGAGTTGACCTGTCAAAAGCAGGGGTGGCCCTTTCTGGAACAAAATGTGCGGTGCCTACTCTGTCAATTTATTACTTTACGTACGAAAACCTTATGCCACAGTTAAAATATTATAAGCGCAAAAAACTAGTTGAAAAAAAACAGTATATCACACAAATTAGCGCGGGGCCCACATAGGAAGAAGTAGCCGAATGTCGGTCTGTCTAAAAGTCCAATCTATAAATTTATCTTTTACTAGACTCACTTGACTGACATTCGCCAGCAGGCAAATTCACTCCAATGACTCACTGTATTTTAGTAGTAGGCCACATATTCGCTCAGAGATGAGTCTTTTTTGCTTTTGAGTGATTGCTATGCCCTCTCTTTCTCAAAAAATGAACTAATAAATATTGTAATGTTTTGCCTTCTCTACGGCAACTGCTTCTTAGTACTGTGAATGACTCAAAAATGCCTTATGCGGGGAAGCGGTAAAGAAATTTCCGCTCATTTATTAAATGGGATTCTTAAAGTCACCCACGGCTGACATATAGTCGAAGACTACCAGGACGTTTCGTTCGAAACTCCGTTCTGGTGTTGCCAGTTATTATACATATTATACATTTCGAAATCAGATAAAAATATTTGACTCTGACCACAACAAACACTGTCATATTATGGAGTTATTTAATCGCGACGAATTCGAATAGAAAAATATTTGACTCTGATCACTGCGTATTTTACCTTGGAATATTCTAACTAAGTTATCACTGACAGATTATATTTGTAAATTCAAAATGCCAGGATTGGGCTATTGTGAAATAATAAACACCAAAAGCACATGCTCGTGACATAACAATACGAACGGAAATTACAGTTTTAATTTAAATAAACACGGGTGAATATATATTATAAGGCTAAGCGGTTAATTAAGTGCGTATCAAGTATGGTTCATCTTCGACATTGAGGTTGCGCGGAAGTGCATAATGAGTCAGCTAGTAGGCTAAAAGTGGCGTGATGTTCTGGTTTTAAATTATGCATGCATGAACCTCTCCGTCGAACTGGTTAAATTTGCTTTTTAGATGAATTTGAATAATTACCACTTTCTAAAGCCTTTTACAAAATTAAAAATCGTTCAAAAAGAATAGAAAAAATTCGGCAAAGATTGCAGTATGTTCAAATTACCATCCAGGAGTATGAAGTATATAAAACCGATAACCTATGAAGGGTACTCCTGAAGTATGTGCACCAAGATGTCGCACAACTTGAACCCTTAACCTGGTACACAACCTGAGTTCAGGTTGTGCGCCATCTTGGTGCGCATACTTCAGGAGGTCTCTATGAAGTATACGAAACCGCATATCTGTTACCAGACTTGGGCAGATTAGCAATCAGTCAAGCCATATCTTTATCCCCCTCCCTTTCCGAGAAGAATCCGAAAAATAAATCACTGCTAAAATTTGCTCAGAATCACACCCATAAATTTTTGTTTGTAATTTCTATATTCCCAAGTTCACACCTAAAGACTCTTGGTCAAGCGACTATTACTTTTACGTGGCTCAATAATACCTTTCGGCCGCAAAACGAGGAAAAATATTTAAAACAAAACCCTAAATCATAGTTTGTAAAATGCACAACGAAACGGGGCCACCTCTTTGAATGTTATTGGTATTCAATTTTGTCTGTTACATTTCACAGAATCAGCCAAAATTACTTGTCATCTCATCCCTACTAAAAATCGCTCATAATCACGCTCATCCATTAAATTATTTTTGTAATTTTCAAGTTACCAAGTGTACTCCTAACTAGCCTCCGGTAAAGCAAACATAATTTTTATGATCAAAATAAAAACACAAAAAATCGGTTTTAATGCGATGTTACAATCCCGCACTTATTTCATTCTAGTAATCAAAGTCGGTCAACTTTTAGGTAATTATCGGAACAAATTACGCTATAAATTCAGTAACGAGCAATTTCTGATAGTCTCAATAGCTCTTAACATTCTAGCGGTTGACCATAACCTTGCTAAGAGACCAATCTTCTTAATTTACTAACGAGCAGTTCTACACAATGATTTTATTGAGTCTCCGTAATTCATGGACTGTTACTTTGCACAGAGGTCAATCTCCTTAATTTCTGAATGAGTGAGCGTAACTTTACTTTGAGCAATTTTTAAAAAATACTTCGATATGCCGGCGACCTTGCACATGATGTAAATTTTCCTGTCATTAAAAAATAGTATCCTTACGTTTGCGCACGAGTATCCTTGTGAGGATTTTCATCTCCTTAAAAATACTTTGATATCGCGGCCACTTTTCCCACGGCGTAAAGATTCATATTCTTCTAAAATATTTACCCCTTACGTAACAGTAAATGCCTATGCAGAGGCTTGTTCAAAGTGAAGACATGAAAACGCCTTGAGCCCGCACGAATTTGTTATTTTAATCATTCACAGCACCTTGGAAGCATTTATTTAACGCGAGTAATACTGTTCCCATTGATTTGTTATTATTAAAAAAATGACGTAAGGGAACACTGCTGCGTCATTTCTGATTCGGAAACGATGTAGCAGAAGGCACGTTGTGCGTGGGTAACCCAGAGTAACCTCGATAAAGACAAAAAACGCCGGTTCCGGACCACGTGTGTGACCGCGAATAACCCCTGAGACACGCGGGTGGCGCGAGATGCATGAACAGAGGTTACTATCGGTTATTTCAATAAAAGAATGACTTGGCCATATGCCACTAAGATTATTTGGCACTGCCTAGGACCCAATATGAATAATATAATAATAAAGTCATGTTCATATAGACTCTTACAGAGATCAATATCTTAATGATAATTTGGGCATTTATTGCGCGACGAAAGCCTGAAACTAATAAAAGGTATCAGGAGACAATATCCAAATCAAAATTCGGAAGGAAATGCACTCTCTAGAAATCCAAATTGAGTGTAAAGCTGACAAAATTACTAAAAAACGCATTCCGTTTAACCATTTTCGTTAAGATAGTGCCTCTTAAGGGAAAAGCGGTGTCAAATATCACGAAAGTTTGAGTCATTTCTTTTTTCCGTCGAAATATTCACAACAGACATTCTGTACCCGGCAATATAACATGAAATAAATGTGTCAGCTTCAAATATTTCTACTCCCAAAAAATACCGGGAAACAAGTAACCAATCCCAAAATTTCAAATTTAATCCCGAAATGCCAGTCCTATCTTTACTGACCGCGAAATTTTGAGGTAAGTTGTATTCCTGTGTGCGATTTTAGTACGTTAGCTTTCGATTACATTTTTACTTACATCATTCTGATTTTGAAAAACAGAAAATAACGACCACGCCCACTTCTAAATCTCAGGTCTAGATGAGGGGTGTGCAATATTTTTGTCGGCGGGCCATAAAACCAACTCCTTACATCTAGCTGTGCTACACAAAAAAATTAGTTTTTTCATGTACACAACGAATAAAAAAATCTTACAATGAAAAGGCTATCGCTTAGCGTCACAGTAATAATGGCCGCCGGGCAAAACGGCGAAAGATTAAACGCACAGACAAAAGCAAAACATGTATAAGTATTTGCTCACGTGCGCGTGCTTTTTCAAACAAACTGTCGGGTTAGGATTTTACCCTTGATGAAAAATGGGCCACACTGAATGGCTTGGCGGGCCGGTTTGTGGCCCGCCTGTTGCACACCACTGGTCTAGGCTTTATTAAGAAATAAGATCCGAATATATCGAAAATACATATTACACATGGTGTGAACACAATTGAGGAGATAAGTTTACCTTGGAAATTTGAGGAGATAAGTTTACCTTAATAATATTCGAGGCTCGGTAAAATCTCGGTGAAAAAATCCATCCAGTCTGAGCTAACTTAAAGTAAAAAAATATGAAACACTGTGAGTATTCTAGTACGTACAAAACATACTACATACTAACTTCATATAATATTAGCGTCTGCTTTGCCAGAGCCATGTTCAGAGCAACGCTGTAGAAAACCTCTGTGAAAATAACCGCGTAATAACCTTGATTGGCATAATTTTGTGTAAAATCGCACAACTGAGCTATCCTCTTACTATAGTGTCATTAATTGCATCGAACCTCACGCCTACCGTCGTTTTCTAATGTGGTGTCATCATCGCATTGGCAGGTTTAGTTTCTAGTTTCTGGCATGCTTAGTTGGGCTATTAATAAATCTATCTGGTAATGATGGGATTAGAAATTTTGATAACGTTTTCTCATTCGCATGGAACTCACTGTCAAGAGCCAAAGAACTATGGCGAACTTTAGTGGCGTATCTGGGTATGGCAGCCAAGGCGGAGCAAAAAAACTTTTAACTAAGGATTCGTCTTCACACGCTGCACCGTTTTCAAAATAAAAATATTGTGCACCCTGTCGAAGCGCCGCCCATAAAACACGCATTGATAATATACACAATTATAAATAATACGTCCAGCTGGAAGCAGAGTTGAAACCGGGTTGAATTCGCGGAAATATGAAATTTGTATACAAATAATTTCCGTTCAACTTTTCACGCGAGTATGCTCTACTTCATCATTAACTCTAAGCCATTCAACCAATTGAAATAAGGACAAGAAAATTTTGACTCAATTTAGCCATTCTTAGGATTGCAGCAATGGGATCTGACTACTTTTTGCTTCTCTATATAATTTTTCTTTTCCCCAAATTGTACGTCGGAAGATATTTGGAGTGCGCCGCAAAACATTAACAAGAAATTTCCTGAAATTATATCTAGGATTATTTGCACATCCATACAAAGGGATTAAATACACCTGGTGTAGAAATACCCAGATTTCGTAGCTTAAATTGAAGATTTTCCTCAAACTTAAAATACTCTCAAATCCCTTCGTCCCTGTACGAATACCCTGCTAGTACTCTGCCACTCATTAACACATAT